CACAATCTAACAAAGAACATGAAATGGTTATTTCCATTCGACCATTTTCTTTTTAGAGTAATGTAATTACAAATTCCAAATCGGCACTCCTATTACAATTTACTCCAAATTTTCTTCCGACCCAAATTTACCCTTCTTTAGCAATCCGTAAAAAAATCTCGTTAAAATGCATCTATTCCATTTCAAGAAAGCTTCACTTTTTCTTCTTCAAATTCAGAAGAATGAGTGCATCTCCGCCAAGCCACTCCTACACATATGTGGTATTCGCCAATATCTTGGTCATCTGATCACGGATCTAACGTGGAAAAAGTCACACATGCACGCATTGTAACGGAAAGTAAATTTGTGTCAAAACTATTGATTTGAGAATTTTTGTGAGACGAAAGTTAAATTTGAAAGTAAATATTTCATGGGTGTCAAATTAAAAAAGGGTTAATACTACGAAAAATTCTAAATTAGTACATTTGTGATAAATTTATCAAAAACTAATTTTTTAATCACCAAAAATCTCAAACCGGTATACTTGTGATAAATTTACCTCAAACTAATTTTTTAACAACAAAAAATCCCAAATCGAGACACTTGTGATAAACGGAGGGGTAAAACCCCAAAGTGTCATCTCACTCCGCATTTTGACTATAACATTTAGCGGAAACTAAACGGAGGGTAAATTTATCACGGGTGTACCAATTTGAGATTTTTTGTGGCCAAATAATTAGCTTGAGGGTAAATTTATCACGGATGCGCCAATTTGGATTTTTCCGTGATATTAACCCAATTAAAAATTCTCAACAGAAATAACCCTTTTGCGTTTCTCTTCACCCAAAAGGGGCAAAAAGGAAGAGAGATTCTTTGCTCTCGGATCGAAAATGGACAGCGAGATCCGCACCACCGAGATGACGAAGATGGTGATGATGCAGCAGAGAGCAAAGTAAGAGAAAAACCTCCTTCGCTTCAACCTCCCCATGCCGATCCCACTCTGTTTCGCCCCCCTCCTTTCCATCTCCCTCTCCGGCGACGACTTCGATCCCTAAAACCCTTATCGCCCCCCACCCCACCCCCAAATGCGATAGCAATCCCGATCGCGCCCGCCACCTGCTCGACGAAATTCGCCGCCGAGAGATGGAGTCGAGCATCCTCGACTCGATCGGCGTGGAGATCATCGGCGTGATCTCCCCGGTCTCAATCTGCATGCTCCTCGTCGTCCTCTTGGTCTACGCCCTCTCCCCCTCCAACCCTTTCTCCGCCCCCGCCGCGGCCGCCCCGATTCGCACCGCCGCGAACCTCGTGTACGTCGAGAACCCGTCGGATTCCGTCGGCCAGAAGCTGGAAGGGGCGCTCCTCAACGCGCTGGTGTTCGTCATCCTCATCGCGGTGGTCACTTTCCTGCTCGTGGTGCTCTACTACTACAAGTTCACCAAGTTCCTCAAGTACTACATGAACTTCTCCGCCTTCTTCGTGCTGGCCACGATGGGGGGATCGATCTTTCTGTCGATCATTCAGCATTTCTCGATCCCGGTCGATTCGATCACTTGTTTCTTGCTGCTGTTCAATTTCACGGTCGTGGGTGTGTTGTCCGTGTTCGGTGGGGGGATACCCATATTCTTGAGGCAGTGTTATATGGTTTGTTTGGGGATTGTTGTGGCTGCTTGGTTTACGAAACTGCCTGAATGGACGACTTGGGTCTTGCTTGTGGCGTTGGCCGTGTATGATTTGGTGGCTGTTTTGGCACCGGGTGGGCCGCTTAAGATACTGGTTGAATTGGCCTCCAGCAGGGATGAAGAACTCCCTGCTCTGGTTTACGAGGCTCGTCCGATTGCACCTCAAAGTGGTGGTAACCGGGGGTCGAGTTTGGGTCTTTTGGTTGCTGGCGTATCGGATTCAGGGTCGGTTGAGCTGCAATCTATTTCTGGAGACAACACAAGGAGGAATGAGACTGCCAACAATCGTGGTGACGATGGCGTTCCTAGTTTGAGGAGCAATGGAGGTGAGCATAGTCGAGATGAAGGGGAAACCTCCCCGTTGGTGGGTAATTTCCGGGGTAGGGACTCGTCGAGCAGTGAATCGTCGGAGTTCTCAGTGGTGAATGTCATGCCTAACAGAGTGGGACAGTTTGGAAATAGGGAGTCTGAGATTGAGGAAGAAATGTCCCCGCTGGTTGAAATGCTGGGTTTAGGGACTGGGAGAGAGCAGGAACGGAGAGATGATGGGGAGAATGATCGCAATTCCGGTAGAGGAATTAGACTTGGTCTTGGAGATTTCGTGTTTTACAGTGTTCTGGTGGGTAGAGCTGCAATGTATGATTTGATGACAGTCTATGCTTGTTACCTTGCAATTGTTTCGGGACTTGGGTGCACCCTTATATTGTTATCTGTGTGCCGCCGAGCTCTGCCTGCCCTTCCCATATCCATCACATTAGGTGTCATGTTTTACTTCTTGACTCGATTATTAATGGAACCCTTTGTTGTTGGTGTAGCTACGAATTTAATGATGTTTTAATTGTCAATTTTTCATGAGAGAGAAGACGGGGAGATACTTACATTGTTTTAGGACATCACTGATTTTTGTGGTCTTGGCATCCATGTACACTGCAATGGAATGCCCCATAGAAGTATTACTCTTGCTCATGTAACTTTCTGGATGTCCAGGCCCAGTAATGAGACTATCTCAGGAACACATGGTAATGAAACTTTTGCAATATCTTACTTCCTGCTTTTTGGTCCTCGTAGTTTTTAAATTATGTTCTGGATTTCGTTAAGTTTGCGCAAATTCATGAAGTTATCTTTCAGGTTAATTTTTGTAGTGTACGAATTACGAAATACAATCTGCAGTAAATCTAGTGAGATTTGAAAGATGGCCGTGCGATCCTTTCCGTTCACTTTTGATCTTTTGTGCCATAGAACGAGCATTAATCCTTGAATTAATGGGAAGAAGAGAATATGAAAAATGAATTGCTAGGTTGGAAACAATTCTAAGGTAAGAGCTAAGTTTTAATTTGGAAAGTAGGATGCATAGATTATAGTCCCATAGTCCCATATATATCCTATTTCACTACTTCCTTTGTGCGTTTGTGCTCGTTTTTAATGAATGAGACAATTTTGCTTGCTCTTAAATCATAATGTTTAGGGTGATAACAAGCATGATCAGTTTTACTCTACTAATTGTTTATGCTTTTGCGGCATGTTCTAAAATGACATGTGTCAATGTTTTAGCAGAAGATTGATATTAATCTTCCTAAACACTTAATATGCATTAGTAACTTATTAGTGCTTTCTTATTGATATTGTCTTCATTATGTCTTCAAGTGTTTCGATATTCCAATGGATATTTAGCAATCCAAGTGCTCCTTTGATCATAGTTGTCATCCTTTGATGCAACTGAAAGTATGGACCGGAATTTTTGCCATATAAGATGAATGAGATATTGACAGTCCGTGCTCTTGAAGTGAACAAGGGACAAGCCCGTGGCTAAAAGAAGGAGATTCATGTGATAGGCTCTTGGATGAAACCAATCTTTCGTGTGTATGCATGTGCCGTACCTGCCTTCTTTTCAGGTCAGTGTGCGCACTTAGCGTGTACTTTGTGCGAATGGAACCAGGCCAATGTCTTTACTTGTGCTGTAGGTTCCCCCTATGTTGATATCAGCAACCGCAACAGGCAGTAGCAGCTGCTCCACAGCTTCAGTTTTCTCGTGTCTAATGCCCACCCATTCACCATTTGTGTTGTCTAATCCAGACGAGTGTTATGGGCAAAGAAGAAAGCAGGACAGTGTAGATGTTGAAAAATTAGCACGGCTGATGGATTTGACCATCGAATTTTAGAAGCTCTGGGAAATGTTTGTCTCCATTTCATTCTGATTTGGTTGTGCACGATGCGACTGCAGTGATAGGTATCATTTTGGCAGGCAGCCCTGAGTTGTCTGTGGCTGACAGTTGTGTGTGTAGTTTAAAGCCAAATGGATCTGTGGAGGACGAGATCGCTTTGCTTTGATACTTGCTGTTGTTATGTGCTTTGTTCTAGGCGAAACACTATCCACTTGAGTGTCGGGTATTTATTCACAACACGACCTTTTTGAATCTTCTCCGGCGCCTTGAACTGTGTTCTTGATCAACTCATTCGAAGTGATGGTGGATAGAGCGAGAGATTGGAAAGTGGGCCTTTGAGAATAGTGTTTCTTCAGCCATGAAGATGACAGTTTAAGTCTGTTCTGCAGAGCGGAAACACCTACAGCATCTTTTGCTTGCTCGCACGCAACAGACATGCTTATAGGTAAAGCTTTCAGCATCTGCTGATGTCCGAGTGTTTGGACCAGGTAATCCTATCAGAATACAGATTCTTCGGTACTGCGGTCTCTTCAACAATGCGAAAGGTGATACCTTTGAGCTTCTCGTTAGATGATTGCAAGAACAGGATTCGTCGTCGTGGTGTGGATTTTGTGGGTTTTCCTCTTGGAAATCGGAAGTGAGCGTAGTCACGATGAGAGGCCTACGGTGTCACGAGTTTGTCGTACTTGCCTGTGGCTCGTCCCAAATGATGTTCGCTTGTCGTAACCTTCTCGTTCGTGAGCCAAACACTGTGCAAGATATTAACCTCACAAAACCAAAGTGATCGTCATCGACATTGTCATCAATGTGATGGAGTACAGTATTGATTTGGGATAATGATATAAATGGTTCCTAAATTTTGATTTAATATGCAATGTCGTTCTTGAACGTCCTTGAATTTTTAATTGTTCAATGTGATTCATGAACTTTATTTTAATTTGTAACGTGAGTCCTAAACTTTTAATTTGTCCAATGCGATCCATAATCTTTTGATTTATGTTCAATCTAATCAATGTTGTCTTCGAACTTGAAAATAGATCGATATCATTGAACATTTTAAGGAACCATGTGGTGTATCAGATCATAATTCATGGATTATTCGTGGCATTTCCTGCCGATTACCGCCGTTCCCGATGCCCATTACCGTATAAATAGAGTCGGTCCAAAGCCCAAAAGTCCAAAAGCTCCTCCTCCTCCTCCTCTTCTTCTTCTTCTTCCTCCGGTCGACGACGGACGCTTCCAGAAGGAAAAAATGGCGGCGTTTCTGCCGGACGAGCTGTGGAGGCACATACTGGAGATCGGCGTCAAGAGCCCGGCGAAGTCGCTGAGCTACAAGGAGCTGTGCTGCGTCTCGATCTCCTGCAGGCGCCTCCGGCGACTCTCCCGCGACGACTCGCTCTGGTCCCACCTCCTCTCCTCCGATTTCCCTCCGACCTCCCAATCGTCTGCGCCCTCGTCGTCGACCTCGTCTTCTTCTTCTTCTTCTTCTTCTTCTTCTTCGCGTAAGGCCTTGTACCAAATCAGGTAGCGTTTTTGCGTTCTTGACATGGAGGTTGCGATCCTGCTTTTCGTCGTTCTTCGGTTCTTGTTGTGGCGTTATCGCTCTTTTTGTGTGTTCCTTGGTGTGGGTGTGGGGCGAAGGTTCGAGAGGGACAGGGAGAAGAAGAGAGCGGCTCACCGGAGGGCCGTGATGAGGAAGGAGAGCCAAATCTCCGAGCACCTCCGGAGGCTCCGAGACATCGAGGCTTCGCTGGCGCGAGAGTCCGACAAGCTCAAGGCCTCTGCTTCTGAATTGTCGAATTTGCATACGGTCAGGTGAGGATTCTTCTTCTTCTTCTTCTTCCCGTGATGATGCGATTGTTTGATTTGTACTTCGTATGCATGAACACTGAGGTAGACTACAGTGATCAATGGTGGTGTGATTGATCAGGCAAGCCTCGGTGGCTTTGAACGTGTGGCAGCCGGAGGTTGTTAGAGGGAAGCAAAAGCAGATGGTGTCTCAATGTGCTGTGCCCGTCGAGTCTCGAATCAGCGCGGTCGACATGGAGTTTAGGCTCTGCAAGCAGCAAATTACCATGTTGCGCAAGTCCTATGTGAGTTTTTCGAGTACCCATGTACATGTAATTTGATGGATTATTTGAGAGGGGTGGGGGTGGCGGGGAATGTAATGGTCCTCCTGACTAGTCTTTTGATAGGAAGAGGAAAGGAGAAGGCTTGATGCAGCAAAGCGGGAGTTGGAGTCGATCGAGTATCATCCTTTGCGGAGTTGTGAACGAACCAGTTCCAATTTAGGCAGCTCTAGTAGTACAAGGAAGAAGATTAAGAGATGCATAGATGTGGAAGGTTCTGTCTTCGATCTTCATGTCCTTTACTACTCATTCGATCATCAGCTACCTTCTACTAATTTATTGTGCATAGCAGCATCACGTATTTCCTGTTTACTGTGCTTATCTTGCTTTCAAACTACATGCCTTATGACAGTAGAGTTGGCAACAAAGGGAGCAGTACATACAGGATATCTACAGGTCAGGGTGTTTTCAGTGGCTGTGATATTTAGGCTTAAGCTATAACTTGTATTCAAAGTTGAAGCCAAGAATATTTTTTCTCCCAGACACACTTGGCTTTTCGCTTTCGGTACTTGCACTAAGCCTTGCCACTCCCTGAGGCCGACTTTGATGTTTTTAGATTCCGTGAGATGTGAAATCTGATTAGTGGCCAGTATATCACCCACTGGTTGGATATTAGTTTTTCTGCATTCAAATAACAGTATGCAGTCATGGAATGCGACTTAACCAGCCAAGCTGCTTTTGGTCAGGACTACATAATGACATAGCGATGTAGGTTATCATCCCTTTAATGTGAAGCCAATATAATAATAATGTTAATTGAGATTCTAGATTATTGAAATGGGTTCATGATAATTACTGTTGGTTCGATGGAGAAGTTAACCTCCATGATCCTCAATCTGCTCGCACTTGAATAGACATCCGGGTGTGCGGGTAGCCTAATGAAATCAATGCCTAACTGGTTTGGTAGCATGTGGACTAGTGCACATGATCTCACATCCACTGGTTTTATTTGAGTACTGGAATCTTGGTACGGTGAAGACTTAGATAACGGTCACTTGATGGATGATATTTGTGACCTGTGATGGAACTGATTCAAGAGTCTCCTAACATTGCCTTTTGGAAGGTGGCATCTGTAAAAAAGTTGATTTACTCATGTTTAATACAACGACAGCTCACTTGGCAAGTAGAGAAGCAGCTAGCGCCGGCAGTGTAGTAGTCTTGTTTTATTATCGTCTCATCTCGTCTTTCCTGAACAGTGGATCATAAGGTGGCTTAAATGAACCAGGTCAAGTTATCTGGTCAATCAATCCGCTATTCATTTCCTTTTCAGTTAGTGCACTGTTTTATAGATGGGTATGTTAGCAACTTAAGCTGGTTCTCAGTTATAAACAGGATCATTTTTTTAACCTATTGATGCACAAATCTCTCGTTCATGCTTGAGGTGGTATTTAACTGGTGTCTCTTCTATATCATCTCTTTTTACTTCTATATGTTTCCACTTTCAGTGTTGAAGCTAGATATGTCATCCAAATCCATTTTTTTGTCTCTTTTCCTCATGCATGCCACTGCATTGGACATAATTGTCTTGTCATTTGGCCTAGCATGACTTGTAAATGTGTTACTTATTGTTCAGGCTGTGGCAAACTGGGTAAAACATCCTAAGATGATAGGATGTCTTTGATCAGCATGCTGAGGCTGTGCAATGTGAATTTCAAGGCACTTTGGTTTTGGCAACTACAAGTATGGCTACCATGATATATTTATCCAAACTGGTGAACTTGAATGTAGGAGATGTGACCAGTCGCGTTTGCATTGAGGTATTCGCCTGTTGAAACAAGAACCAATTGGATTTCTGAAGTTGGTCTACTAATTAAACAGAGGAAGCCATGACAGATTTTCCGAAAACCAGGATTGCTGTAAGAATGTTGTTTGGCTCACAAAAGTGGCAGCCGCTCAACGAACTATGGTAGCAAGTGTGGAGATTCTCTTTCTAAGGCTGCAAAAAGATGCAGGTTGGTACTGATATTGTGGTTCGTATGTTTGGCAAATGGCGTCACTGTGTCTTGGAGGTGAGATGGTCACAACAAATCAGCAGTAGACATTCGTTGCGAACTCACGCGTAACACGGGGTTAAATCAGTGGCACAAGATAATCTCTACTCAAAAGAAGACTACCTCGGCATCATTATTATCATTATCTGCTTTGATTTATGTTGTAGACTATCTATTTATGTTTGATGATCCAAAATGTACACATTTTCAAAGGCTCGATGTTCTTTGTATAGACAAAAATCCCTGTGTCCATCAGTTCTTATGATTTTTCTTTATCCCTGGATTGCATGCATGTCCATTGGCTTGCATATAGTATGTTTGATGCGCGTGGAATTTACAAAGGGTCACCAGAAAGAGGTCAAGAAGAGAGGGAGACGCTTAAACATTTGATTTCTTCTATAGTCTGATGATACAATCTGCCCACCCACAGCTGGATAAAACTAACATAAGCACTCAAGCTAACAGAAAGATGCTTCAACCGACTCTGTATGCACTTGATTGTTCAATGTGAGTTTATTGCAGCTTCACTTTATCTTTGTATGTAATTCTTGCGATCAACTGATGTCATTCAGCTGACCAAAAGACGGTTGAAGCATGCATCAAACTATAGTCTGATGAGTGCAGCGCCACTCAAAAGATGCCTCAAACTACGGACGGGGTCGGAAGACTGATGGTTCCAACTACATTTTGGGCGTGACTAGAAATGCATGCATCGAACACTTATGACAAAAGTCTTTGACCCAAAAGAAACATACAAGTCCAATCAAGAGCGAAGTACAGAACCGCTCGATTACCACGACCACACTCAACAGCATAACGAATATAACAACAGCACTAGATTGATTTCTCGCACAAAGGATCTCATGAACCAGCAAATAGGATGACAGGAATCAGCAGTCAACTGTTCTAAAATCTAAAAAAGAAAAGAAGACACTAATACACATTCCTGCCCACTGCAAAAACAGCTAGCTACAAATACAAAGGCTCGTGGAAATGCTATCACTCAGGTGCGGATTTGGTTCCACAGCATAGATGCTCATGCAAAGGGATTTCCTCCGATAGAAGCAACAGGCCCCTGTGTTGGGACATTCCTGAAAGACAATAATACAAGATTATTGAGTTGATAAAGAGTAATGAAAGAGATATCTGTCGCCGCCATTAAAGAACAATCATAACTATCAAGAGTCAAATCTCTATGGTAAATTTATCAGTAAAATTTCTCACTCTATTTGCATAATGCCAATTTAAACAATTTCAGTACTCTTCTATAATGATGAAAAACAATGGCAGCAAAAATTTGCAATTCTCTCTCATGGGATAATGAATATCAACAAGACCACTTACGGTATCTGAGAGCTTGGTGCTTGCCCTGTCATGAACGCTAGGCCACCTACAAAATTTTAGACCACAACAGAATTCAGAACAGGAACCAATCAACCCGGTATATGTTGCTCAATTTGGACATGGATCCCTTCTCTCACACGTTACTCCTTTCAGTGCCTAAATAAATCTCAATCATTGATTAATAAAGATGGAGCTTTAGTCAGATGTTAAGATTTGTTGAGGCACCACAAGGAGCACAGGTACGGGGTAGAGGATCTTCACCCACTCCACCCGATACTGATGTGAGTAGGCAGAGGGGCCACGGTGTTCAAATAGCAATGCAGGTTAAGCCGTTCTGCTTGAGGTTCCCACAAGCTGGTATGATGGAATGAGGTTTCGACCATAATCCAATCTCACCGAAGTGCAGAAATGTGAGGATCAGAGAGAACGCATGCACACACTTTTATGTGTAACAGAGGGAGATACTAAGAATTAAATTTTATTGGCTTCTAAACAGTATGAAGTTCCACTTGTACTAAAGCATCTTCAGTTGGATCATCATGTAAATGTTGTCCTCCAATAAAGTGTTGGGTTTTTTGGGGTTTAGGGTAGTTTTGGAAAGTCACTAACATGAACAAGTATCGGCCGTGGGCATGCAGCCCAGTGGTAAGTACAGGAAGATGTTGAGAACAATTCAAAATCCCAAACCCGGGGGCTTAAATATCACGAAGCCACAAACCAAAAAGTCCAATCAAAAGGAAAATACAGTTTGACAAAGAAGTTTCATTAGAATTCACCTTGTGCAGCAGCTGGAACATAAGGTGTCACTGGATTCTGGGGAAACCAAGACTCATTTAGACCATTAAGTAAGGTGGATGACAAATGGGCACTAGGCAGTGCAGCTTGCAATGAACTCATGTCCAAGAACTGCATTGCACAGAACATGTCCAAAATTAGACACCAGAGAAAACATCCATTATTAAACAAATTGATGACAGTAAAACCATTATGTCCTTTTCCTTTTATTTGTTGTATCTTTTCTTTTTTCTCTTTTTCGATGTTTGCCATAGCCAATTGACAGGATGGTTTCCGAGTTTCATCTCTTGGAAGAGCTTGCAATAGTTATTTGATGTAATGATACCAGAGTACTAACAGTGAGGTTCTGTTCTTATGGTGATAAACATGCTCTGTTAAATTTATGAACTGCTCTTTCAAACATTGTATCCTGTAATTTGAGAAGGATACGTTTTGCTTTCGAGTTCCCAGAGAATCAGAAAACACAAAACACCAAGCTATAGTACACCACTAGCCTCAGATAGCGTTAAAAAAGTGCAACACTTCATAAGGGACATAAAAGGGTCACAACCACGAAAGTGACAAAAAATAAGGTCGTGTCACACCAGAACTCTAAAACAAACGACAGAAGATAAAAAAGAGCGAATGACAATTGAAACCAGAAATATGCCGCATCGTGTTCGGAACTTGCATGACTCACCCCATTGCTTTGTTCCAAATCAGAATCATATGGAAGATCAAATGGGTTTGTTGATTTATAGCCTGTTGCACATCCGTGTGCTGAGGTCTCCACCTGAGGAAGTCCATAATGGATAACATAAATTTGAAAGGCAAGCAAAATGCAAAATGGAGCCTGCAACAGGCAACTGATATTCGATGAAGACTACAAACCATAAGAGAGAGCACTGATGGGTTGCATGACGTCCCCATGACTAAATTTGACTGCGCACTTTGACCTGGAGGTCCAGCAAATGATGTGGACAGTGGTAGCCCAAAATCTTTCAAGTCCTACAGACAAAATAATTTCAGAATTTTACTGATGACACTAAGTTTGACATAGGTACAGGAGATGGGAAACCTGTGAAGCTTCTAAGTCCAAGTACTGATGATCAACACTTGATGGAGGAGGGTAGGTGACTACTTGTGTTCCACTATTTTGCTCAACACTTTCAGGAGGAAGGTGTTCAGCAGATTCTCCAAATGCATTCCATGGCTAGTTTGAAAAGGAAAGCAAGGGTGGGTCATTATGTCACTATACATCATTGAGTGCCGCATAAAATTAAACGAACAAGGAAATCACAGCATTTTTAATAAGATATAAGAAAACAACCATGAATCACCTACCCCAAAAAAATCAGCTTATGGAATTATCACATAAGATAGAACATCTCACCTGAGTGCTGGATGCGGTGGTGGGCACTTGACTATTCTCAAGACCTACATGCCACAGATCTGGTACCGATGAAGGAAGATCTTGAGAGCTAGTTTGTTGAGATAGATGCCAATCCATGTTTGGATTGAAAGATGAAAAGGGAACAAATTTCTTGGAACCTCCATCACTAGAAATTAAGGCAGGAGTTGAATTGCTAGTCCCTAGTGCAGATAGAGTGGGATTAGGAGAATCAAATGTCGCCCATCCTTCATTTTTGGGCTTTGACAGCTCAGATACCCTGCTATCCAAGGTCGCATCTGATTGATGCTGCGGAAAATCAGCAAACAAATCCAAAGACGTAGATAGAGATGCTTGGGGAGTCTGATGTTGTAATGTAGATGAAGTTGCATGTGTTGGGGTTAATTGAAAAAGATCTAGAGATGGAGCTGTCGATGTGGCAGCTCCCTTGAACAAATAAACAGTTGAGGCTTCAGAATAAACTGGTTCCGGTGCCAGTTGTGACTTGAATAGGTCTACGTTACTTGAACTTCCAGAAACAGTCGACACTGGAAAAGTAGGCATTTTGTCTGGGTGATTCCCAGAAATCTCAGGCTCAGATATCAAATCCGCTAAACTACCTGAATTAAATGACTGGAGAGACACAGAGTTGCTATCGAATGAACCAAAGCTTCCTGATGATGCAGTTCTCTGTTTAAAAAGAGAGAATTTCCAATCAGATGATTAGAAAAGAAAAGCTCAAGATTAATAAACAAGCAGCAAATATTGAACAAAATATGAAATATGACTTAAAATGCTGGAGGACATATTCCACGACCAACATTCATATATTTGCTCAGTAGAGGTTAATAAAGAACTACCTTCCTACAGAAATCTATGGATACCAACAGCTGCAGTGCCCATATCAAGATGAGTAATAGATTCCACTATAGGAACCAGGAAAGCTTAATTCACCCATTTCCATTCAAATGGATGCATTCTAGTTATAGCTTTTTCGTCTATCTGGCAAGCAACATACTGGCAATTATCTCTTACCAAAAAAAAAACATCCTGGCAATTATTCGCACATAGATTTCTAGATGGCTAAAGCAGAAAACAACAATAAATAATGCAAATTAGTCACATGAATGATATTCAATCATATGGAAATGGTTAAGATCCAACGCTACATCATCTTAGAATTTACTGTTGAGGAAAAAAAAATCCTTACAAGTTCCACCAGAGACAGGAATAATAAAAGTTAATTAAAAAAAGAAGTCTACTGGAAAGCCTTGTGCCGAATGAAACACCTAAGATATGTGCTGGCACAGTTGAGAAGCCTTAGGTATATTGTGGGAAATTGTTTAGATACATCTTTACGTCATAAGCATATCGGTATGTAAAAAATTACACCTAATATACGCACAATCATAATGTTTACAGGACTCTCTGCACAGTTAATCGAAACTCTAAAAACCCTAAAGGTAGCACAGAAAATCAACAAACATCAGAAGCAAGAGGTCAGGCACCTATGCAACTATAAAAGTTGATTTGCCATTGTACAAGAGATTCTCTATTAGTCGTTTCACCAGATTCTAGAACTTTAGTTGGCTAGGAATCATCTGACTAACAATGTCACAACAAGAAACAAATTCAAAACAAGTCATGCCAAGCAATAGAAAATAGACACTCGGCAACTAGTAACTTGCTACAAATGCAACAAATTTATATAACTACAACCTGAGGATGGGGTATCCCATTGGCATCTCTCCGGACATATGCCTCTCGAGATGTATTTGACGTTTGACGACTCAGATTATCCCCTGAAAAATCTCTCGAAAGGTGTCTCTGTGGGCTACCAAATTCACTGTCCTTCCGAAAATTTGGGGACTGAGCACCAGATCTGAATGGATCACCTCCACTAGAAACAGAATAATCTGAGACCCTGGGAGCAGAACCTTCATTTGCAAATCTATCCTCATGCGTACGCTCACTTAAACGTCCTGGACTGTAGATCAGACTGGAGATTTTCCCTTCATACAGGCCTCTATCTGAACCAGGTTTTCTTGTGAGAGAGGCACCTTGCCTGCCATACCGTCGTTCTTCATATTGGTAGTCATAGGGTGGACTCTGAGAGTAAGAATGATAAGAGCTGGCACGCCTCGTCTCGTCCTCCAGGCTTCTCGAGCTCTGTCAAAATTCAGTCAGGGATATTGTAAGATTATCTGCTGTCCAGAAAATGAAGTAATCTAAACTCATAGCAGTGAACTAAATCTCGAGAAATACGGCTTTGATTGATTTATTTCACCGAAGCCAAGGGAACAAAAGAGAAAATCCTCAGCATCCTTGAAATGATTTATTCTTCCTTTTTTTTTCTGACATAGATGGTGATGGTTGTAACATTCTCATTCACCCTAATGAAGATCATACCATGAAAATTTTCAGAATGTAAGGCAGAATTTGAATAAAGTTCACAGTGCATTTCCAATTCTTTCATTTCGGGAAGATGAAAGGGTTTCCAATGAACAAATTCAGCTTCTAAGAGGTTTAAGTTTGGGCACATAGAACCATCGACCACTCTAAATAACCACAACAAGCCAAAAACATCATAATCAGAATATTCTCGACAAGGCAACCTGCAAATCTCTTGGAGGCTTGTCAGAGTTTTTTCCTCCAGCATATCTACGATCCACATATACAGACTTTATGAACTCCCGAACCTTATCAACGTTGCTGCAATATAAGAATGAAAAATGTTAAGATGCATGTTATCCATGACGTGGCACTCAGTGACTTGCAGACATAAGGTCAACCTGCTATCAGGCAATCTCTGTCTTTGTGAATCCCAATCCTTCAAATACATTTCCCTTGCGCGCTGCAAGCACATCGAATATCATATCAAATACCATTACTCTGACAGTGGACAGTAGTGCACATAAGAGTGAGTCTCTTTACCTGATTACCACCATTTTGAAGCGCTTCAACCTCTTGGGAAGTGAACTTCGCCATGGAGACAGATTTTACACGATGAGTAAACTCGCGGCTGTTTGACATAACAGAACTTAAGTCAGACTACACATGTGAAAGCCACAAACTCAAAATTACACAATGCTGGACATACAAGACAAAGATGCTAAAATGCAAGAAAAAATGCTAAGATGCAAGTCAGAAGAAGCATAAACTTGAAAGACTAAATATGATTTCTTAGCATTAATCAAATAAATGAAAAGTGCAAGGACTATAAAGTAAGCAACTAAGCAGAACAGAAACATCATCATGTTTTATAGCATGATGATAATAAAACCTTCTACACTATGTTCGTTGGAAGATTAACTATAGATTCAGATTTGGAGAATCTTACGTCAATTACAGTACTTTGATACATATTTGCAGCCTGACTGAAAACCTTCAATTGCCAAACTCCATGGAAAATATTGGGAACAAAAATCGTGAACAGACATAATACATAACATAGATGTACTGTTTCACTGGCCATGTTGTAGAGAAACAATGTCTCTAAACATTAACCCACCTTAAATCATCACAACCGGTAATCTGATTAAATTTCATAATCCACCTGATTAAGGTTGCCTTGCAAAAGCTGATTGCGGAAGCAGTTAATGCACTCTAAGAAGCACTATCACATTGAGAAATATCTTGATCCTCAAGTTTCAAATGTCATTAAACTATAACCACCGCCGGATGCATAAGTGAAGAGATCGCTGAACAGGCAACATACTTCAAGACCTCCCGTAAAACAGTAATGTGAGAATTCTCAAGACAGATGGACGAGGACCCAACAGAGCTGAAGCTCTTTTCCAGCCAAGATTCCCACGGAAAAGGCAAACTACCACCTATTGACGCAAAAACCACAGGGCTGGGCTTTCGGCTTCTTCTCTCCTCTCATCCACGAAGAGAAAACTTACAAAGCTCACCACCACGACAAGCCCAACTCAGTTCGCATAATTACTCACTTCCCGGAATTGGGGAACTAACTGATACACAGCAAGCCGGAAAACACCAGGCGCGAAAAATGCAACATGGACAGGAGCAACACAACTACTCACTGTATCCCGCCGCAAGTCGTGCAGACGAAAGTCCAAAAGTTTGTGCAAACATACTGGGGACCCTGCACAGAGAGAATTCACAGATCAGGATCAGCAAAAGCACAAAAATGAACTATTAACAAGAGCAGCTTAAGATGAACTGTTAACAAAAAGAGAGAGAGAGAGAGCAGTTATTGCATTGAAAACGACAAGCAGAGAACCGAAAATTACCAAGCTGTTGCAGTCGATGCATCTCCGATTCGGGGGCAGCTTCATGAGACCTCGGATGATCTTCTCGTTCCGCTCCTCTTCCCTCCTGCTCCCCATTTCCTCGACCAAATCACTCCCGACAAGACCACCCCCTCCCGAAAAATCAACGAGAAAAATTTTCAAATTCCCAAACCCTAGACCTCGCCAAAATTCGAACCGAATCCCCTCGGAGATCCCGACGAACCCAGTCAAAATCAAACCGAGATCGACGAAGCTCGAGATTCTCCGCGGACGAAGCGCAGCAATCGCACGACGAAATCCCCCCCCCCCTCCAAAAAAAAAAAAAATCGGAGACGAGCGGCCGCCGGCGATCGGAGGCGGAGGAGGGCTAGGGTTCGAGGTGGGTGGGGGTGCGGATTTCTCGAGGGCGCTGCAATGGAGGAACGGGGACGAACTCGGAATCCGCTCTCGAGCACGATAATGATGAGAGAGAGAGAGAGAGCCCGTACGTTGTGGTTTCAAAAGTTCGTTCCTTTAATTTAATTTATTTCATGGCGCAGAGTAATAATGATTTCGGTCCTTTTTTTATTTTTTTTGAAAAACTCGGCGTACGGATTTGTCTATTCGCTTCAAGGTAAGCGTTGACGAGGAAGATCCGTCCTTCGATTGGACCTAATGATTTGATTCGAGCCAATTTGATGGACCGTCGTCGGCAGTACATCATTGGTTAGTGGTGCCCCCCGATTTCGATTTCGATTTCATTGGTTTATGTTTATCTCTTTTAACTTACGAGAATTTTGACAGCACATCGCAATTGACCTTTTGACGGATGAAAGATTGTGGGTTTGGTTCGGCTTTTTCAAGCAAATTTGAACCTCTAAAGCTGCGTGTAGAAGAACACAGTTGAGGAGTTGAACCTCTATGACCTACGAGAACATAATCAACTTGCTCAGAGCGGCAGAGCGCATCGACTCTGCCCTCGAGCATAGGGAAGCTCACTCACACTTGGGGAACGTCAAAAAACAGAGAGCGAAAAAAGAACTCATTGGATTTCTCTTCTCACGTCCGGCATTGATCCTTTGCTACTGCGAGTCTGCGCCTCTTTCTGTGGATTCCACTGCAACAAAACCGGGCTATTTCTTCTCCTATTAAACGTACAACATATTCTGTCTTCTAACGTTGCTCTGGTTTGAATTGGGCAAGTGATACTTTCAAAAATCTTCAAAGATTTTTATCCTATCTTGAATTGCACCAAACATGTAATGGGAATTTTTTACAATCAGGAGGATATTTGGAGAATTCATAATACAACCTTATCATATCCTATCCTATCTGAATCCAAATCCGAACGGCCAAACGCAACCTAAATACATTTGCAGCCGAAGTTTTAGTGTTCTTTAGGTGCAAAGTTTTGCTTTGCAGATGCTTAAGAGCTCAAGGTAACTTCCGCTCGACTCAAGCGTTTTCGAAATGCTACTTCAGGGGCAAATGGACTTTTCTTCTTCTAACTTTGCCATCGACATACCGTCTAAATTCCAATTTTAGACTCGCCCTAACTTTCCTATGTAGATCTGACTAGCGGACAAAAGAGCTCTAGCGAGCTTGGATCTAACTGGCGTCGCGCAATGACGGTGGCCTGTCACTTAGGGTCCTGTGACCTCAGCGCTTGTCGACTAGGGTTGAACAACATCAGCATTATCTTGCAACCTCGACCAAACTTTGGGAGGTTCGAGGAGGTGGCAACGGGGCAGCGACAGACGAGCTTTGGGAAACATCAAAACTTGTGAGGCCAAGAATTCATCTCCACCGAACTTTGGGAAATGTTGAAGTTTCATGCATCACTAATTACTAAACAATATATTAATTAAGTGACAGATCTTTGGAGTTAAAAAGTCATTTATCTAAATGCAAAGTCATTTTTCCAAAGCTCTCCTCGACTAAACTCACATATTTACAACAAATCCCTCCATTTCCCTTTGGAGCATCTCTTAAAAGATTAACATTTACTTATTATACTCGAAGAGATTCCTTGAGGGTGAAGTCACTTTTCAAGTTTCGAATGCTCCTTGGCGCATTCCATGCCGGGGTTCGTTGTGCCGCCAAGAAAAGCCCGAACACTTTAGGAAACCGTGCGATCCAAGCGTCAAGGGAGTTAGAATTGGGGTCGAGTGCTTCCAAGGTGTTTCAAACTTCATTCGACTCCCTCTTCCGTGTGAAAATGAGTGAGCCATCCCCAAAAATGCCATGGTACACCTTGGTTTCGCAACTTTAAGCCATCACTTAAACCAAAATGTAGATCATGAATGGCATTATTACTTCATCAGTGTTTCTTGAAGTTCTCATCTATCTTCAATGTTATTCACAAGGTTCTTTGTTTCAATCATTTTCACAAGCTTTTGCAGTGTTGTCCACCCCTGATCTCCTTCTTTGTTTACTCACTCAAATTGTAGAAATGGGTCGGTCCCATAACTGCCCAGTCCACTATCGATCCAGTGCACTACAAGTCTACAATACTCTTACTAACCTGTGCTAGGATCCGACTAGATTGATGGTCTTGACCCTTCTTGTTAAACAAGAAAAGCCACACATTTTTCATTGAAGTAAATTGACACGTGTTGACACCTAAATTTTGGGTCATGTAAACCCGTAATTCATCGTATAAGAAATTTAGGGATTGAACTCGACCTCTAAACAAAATTACTAATGATGCATAGTTTATATTTGCATTCTACATTGCATTTATATGGCATTCAGGTACTACCAGCATTTAGGACTAACCCATTTGCATCAAGCAGTTCCATGTGTGAAATAACCTTAGATTTAAGTTCGACATGAGAGACAAGCTTAAAATTGAACTATCCAACTTCTTCGGAGCTTAAGCTTAAATTTAAGGCACGAGATGAGGCCCGAACTTAACTTTCCAACTATCTTGGAGCTCAAACACAAGTCCGACATGGGAGATGAACTCGGAATCAAACTTCCAACACTCTTGGAGCTTAAAAATAGCTCAAGGAGGCAGGGATTGTGCATTCCAAAATTATGGGAATTTCGAGGTCCAGACGACGACCGGTCATTCTAAACTAGTACCACAATTACCTCAAAAAATTGCAAGATATCTAGACCTGTCAATTCTAGAGTTCATCTCAATCAAGGGGCGACATTTGGGTCTGTCTTGGCCGTTTAATAGAGCTCTGACATCCGTGCCCATGTCTTGTCAACTACGCCGGCAGGGTTAGGTCATGCGCCACTTGCTCATCCTCGGTCATGTGCCACGCACATGCCTCGGTCGCATGCCACGCACATGCTAGAATCACATGCCGATCACATAGCCTTTCCATCTCATTATCACGGACAAACATGCATGGGATTATGCAGAACCCCGCACACGCGTCGCACTCGACTCACTTAAATCCTTTTAATATCATCCATCCATTCCTAATCCATCTAATCTCCACCTTCCATTTCAATCTCATCGTCCTCACCAACCATAGTTCCATCTCAACCAACCACCTAATGGCTAATATCAAATCATAATTTAAGTCGAGCTGGGACTATATGATTATGAAATAGGACTCTTGGCCGGCCCATTCGAGGCATCCCCCACACACACTCATGCTTCGGCACTTTCTCCCTCGAGGTTGAACATTCAAGGATGTTATTTGATAGAAACTGTACATCTCTTCGAAATTGTTTACACAGAAAATAATCGGGCATCGACATGAACAAGCACGTGCTTGACATATAAGCATGGACAGTTACATGAGAAACACGTGAACATCATCACGCACGTGACATCTTGTCGACGACTATAGAAATTGATATTAGCTTATCGACATTGATACACATCGGTGACACATATTCAGTTGTGTCGATGCACAACGATGGACTGCTAGCAAATATCAATATGAATACTGGCTATGAGTAAATAGCAAAAAGCCATCTAAGTTCTTCAGAAGCATGAGAAGGTCTAGGATTATGGTTTAGCAGTTCGAGATAAACTGGCAGATGTTCACTTAGGGAGCATGGAAGCATGACTGCAAAGTTCAGAATAGAAAAGCAGTTGAGATCAAGAAGAAATAGGGGTATATTTTTGGAAGGGGACGGTCACCACTCAGGAACAAAATCGTGGGATAGTCATTACTTGAAGCGCGGGGCAACAACCGTCCAAAGTGAAGTCATGGAGCAGTCAGTCCAGTAAAAGCAACCGCTTGGGAGCAGAATCATGGCACCGCGAAAGCATGGGCACGAAATTCTCGGAGATGGAGCAACATGGAAGCAATTGATAGAAACCGCTTTGGGAAAATGCAAATGCTGGAAACCGGGAAGCAGTCGCCACAAGATCATTATAAATATCACCGGTCGCCTACTAGAAGGCCCCTCGCGCAAATCAAACAAATTCACCATCTTCTAGTACTTTACTGTCCCGCATTGCAATTTATTTTCTTAGCTGTAGCTTTTTTATTCGAGTCATCAATCAAATTCCGGCGTGTAATCTCAATCCCGAGTGCTGCATCATCTATTATATTTCGCCATAGTGTCTTTCATATTCTCAAGCTGCATCTTCGATTAAATTCCGGCATAGTTTATTTACATTTGGTTACTTTCTTGAATTTATAATTTTCCGATCTGTGTCGTCGATTGAATTCCCGTCCCGTTCTATATAAAGTTGTCGATTCCCTCGTTCGCCTGGATATTTCCTGTCCGGAGCCATTGCAGAACCCTAATCTCCTCCAATTAAAAGTCGAAGAATAGCTTCCGGTGGAAGATATTTCGTCGCAAGGAGGAACCGGTGAAACAAAAATAGATAGCTCAGTTGATCGGCAGCAAAAAAGTTCAGCGAACACACCACCGAGCATCGAAGAACTCATCTAAACGAAAAGGGCATTAATTGTAGTATTGTATAGCTCTTGATCTAAGACGCTTGCGTATGCTTAACCCTAGACATGCACTGTCCGAAAAAGCTAGAAGCTTCTCGCTGTTTCCACCTAAATCGAAAATCCCACCTCCGACGCGGCGCGGACCGTCCGATTTGAAGACCGGACCGAAATCCAACGGCCCGCTTCGACCGTACGGTGGATCCCCCCTCGCGCTATCAAATCTGAACCCTCCGAAGTCCCTCTCTCTCTCTCCGTGGCTTTGGTTGCTGGGGAAATCGTTAGTTCCACCCACCGTTTGTTTTTCGATTCGGTCGCTCCCCCTTATCCCCTCCTCCTCCTCCCCCATGGCCACCGTCGCGACAACTCCGGCCACCGTCGCCAGAGCCCCGCCGCGGGCGGCCGCCTCCGCCGCGTCGTCGTCGGCGCCCGCGGCGAGGGCCCGCGTCTCGTTCAGGAGGCGGAGCTTCGCGCAGGCTCGCGTCGGCTCCGTTGCTTTCTCCTCCGGCGTTTCTGCCCTCCGGTTGGCCGGTTTCGTGCCCTCCGCCGCCGCCGCCGGCGATGCAGAAGCCATCGAGACCGAGGAGGAGGTCCTGGAACCGCAGGTCGAGGTGCGTCCTCTCCATGGATTAGTTCGATCTTTTTCTTTTTTTGTTTCGTTTTTCTTATCTGAATATGTGAGAAGCTGCGAGTGGGCAATTGGGTGACATCTTTAAGGTTGCGAGTTGTTCTTGGGATGAAATGAGGATGCAGAGAAGGTTGTACTGGAGGAGTGAGTGATTTCAGTTGACCATAGCTTTGATGCAATTCATGAAAGTTGTCTGTTCTTTAGTCAGCTGAATAATATGATGCATTGTTGGGAATGCTGTTCTTTTGATTGAGAAGCTGAATTTAAAAACTATCTGGGTACAGTTAATTGTGGGAGTTTGGACACTGACGCTTTCTCCAGATCGATATTGAAGATCAGAGGCTACCTTTTGCTTTCGAAAGAATCGTGATGAGTGTCTTTAAGGATTGAACTGGAATATAATCAATGAGTAGGATCATCATCTATGGTCTAGCCAAAGTTGAGTATCTGAATACGGGGTTATTAGTCAGAGATATGTCAGAATATACTAGATAGAGGTTAGATGGAAATGAGCCATTGGAGATTGGGTTTCTCATGTGCTTTGCTGTGCTTTTGGAAGATGACATTACTTTAAAGACAGTCTTAGCATCTCCAGTAATGAGCTTAGCCATTTGTTATAGCAGAAAAGATAGGAGCTGATTTTGTTCGAGTCTGATTAATAAACTGCGGTCTCTCCATCTCGGTACGCTTTCTCAGCTTTTGCTTATCTAACTTTTACATGTAGAGGTTTCTTTCAATTACAATAGCCTCTAAACAGCAAATATATCAACGAATAGTTATTTTAATTGGAAAGAAACTATCCTTTTTCCTTAAATCATATATGAAACTTTTCTTTTAGTTAACTATGATTCTGAGAAAACTCTGGAATGACTCTACATACATTTTCTTATCTATATCATTGACACATTAGAGTATCGAGCACCACTATGAGAAAGTATAGCACAATAAATCTCTAAATCTACAGCATCAAAATATATAGCAATTCCAGTGGGTTTTAACAATGTCTAGGTGAAACTGGCGAATAGCTGGAGAATTCTTACGTTTTACCCAAGCCTCTAGGAATTGAAACTGGGACTAAACTTCTTTCAGCGTGACAGGAAGGAGATGATGTATTGCCTCACTTATCAATTTATTATCCAATATATAAATGCTTTCTAACATCATATACTTTTCGGTTTTAAAAGGTCAACATTTTGTAGTCCGTGTGAACTTTTCTCGGATAATTTGGCTAATATATATTTGGTGTGGTTTGAGGGTTAAATCTCTTTGACATAGTTCCTGCGGTTGTCTGGCTTTCTTTACTTTTTAATTTCCTTCTCAACACCGGTTCTCCTTCTATTGAAAGAGGGGACAACTGAATGATCATTTTGAAGAAGGAGCTAAGTTAAGAGAAGAGAAAGTGGAAAATTGCTTGTCGATGTGAATGCATTTATCGACATTGTAGGTGCTTTGTCTTGTAATTGAGTTTTTGTTTTTTGAGATTGATTTGTGTATGGGTTGCACCTCATCCTATATTGAGTTTCTATTTACCTATGAAAAAAAAAGAAAAAGAAAGAGGAACTGGATGATCACATCTTCATTTGATCATGTAAGATTTGTTGGGTTAATTGGAAATTGCTCTTTGGGATTTTTGCCAGCAGTGTAATAATTATGTGAATGGGCTCTGAAGGACAGATGCTTGTTCATGTCCTCCTGACTTGTATCAAGCAGAGAATCGGTTGTGTAGTCGGTCACTGTTGCTCTTTGAAGTTGATTTTGGTAGAAAACCTGAGACATTGCGTCTTCCAAATTGTATATACTAACAAGGTTTCCAAAATTTGGTTTAATAAGTGTTGTGGCTTAGTTCTAAAGAACATTTGACCAAGCCAACCCTTCTGTATTTTTGAACTACTTCTCTAGAAACCCGTCTCAGTTATAGCCCATCATATGGTAAACAGCTTTTATATACCTTCTCACATACCTAGCATTACTCTTGGGAAGTATCTTGTCTATGACAGTATTCTAACAGGTTAGTTAACAGGATGACGCTGATGGTGCTGTTGTCTCAGAAGATGGTGCTGTCGCTGATGAAGTTACTGATACTGAAGAAAAAGCTGCTTCGGCTGTTTTATTATCACTTCAATCCTATAAAGAAGCTCTAGCAAGTAACGATGAATCAAAGGTTGCTGAAATTGAAGCTTTCTTAAAATCCATTGAGGATGAGAAAACCGCTCTTGAAAGTAAGGTGGCTCGTTTGTCTGCTGAATTGTCTGTAGAGAAGGATCGCATTCTCAGGATTGGTGCAGACTTTGAAAATTTTAGAAAGAGGACTGATCGAGAACGTCTTTCGCTGGTAACAAATGCCCAAGGAGAAGTAGTAGAGAATCTATTGCCTGTCTTGGATAACTTTGAGAGAGCTAAATCACAGATTAAAGTGGAGACCGAGGGAGAAGAGAAGATAAACAATAGCTATCAGGGCATATATAAGCAGTTCATAGAAATTCTCGGTTCACTTGGTGTTGTTCCTGTGGAGACAGTTGGGATTCCTTTTGATCCACTAGTAAGTTGTCTTGCTTGCTCCTCACACGAAAGGCTTGCTTTCTGTTCAACTTTTTAGGTTGCTTGTCATGGTAAAAATCGACTGCTGGCCAATTGAACTTACCTCAATGATGAAAAAAGTTCTGTTGCTCTAAACGATAACTATATTCTCATTTAGACAGTGAAGATATAACTTGTTTCTCCATTCACCATCCGAGCTTGCATGAGGTCCCCTAGGAGAACTATTAATGTTGCATCTTTTGAGGTAGAATCCTTGAACTGAAATATGTTGGTTATTCAAACAATAAGAGGTCACCAGTCCATGCTCAAAGGCTGCTTCAGCATCTGCAACAGCTAGTAGCTACAATAGAGATTGAGCTTGTATCTTCTTCTAATTATCCACACCAAAAATAGCCAAGGGAGAGGGATTCCAATGATCGAAGATGCTCGATTGAAACTGTTGCCTTCTCCAATTTCTTCAAATGGTGTATTGACCAAACTTTGAGTAATTGACTTTATGCAGGTGAACTACCGAGTTGGCTCGAAATTCAGTCGAGTACTTGATGAACTCTTTCGAGCGATTGGTGAAGTTTGTTCAGGTTTCTTGAAGACCTGGATTCGCTTTTAAGTTCAACAAATCTCGATTGGTTTGGGCCAACTGGGTGAGTTCACACTTGCTGTAGACATTAATGACCCTATAGTCGGAAGAGGTATGAGGGGTTTGGGACTCCAAGAAACTTTTATTCCATCCCATTTGTTAACAACATTTCCGCCGAGATTTCCAATTAGAATGCACTCTTTGATTCTTTTATCTGATAGTGTCATTTCTTCACTTCTCCTTTAAAAAAGCTGCACGAGGCAATTATGCGCGAGGAGTCTACAGAATACGAAGAAGGCATCATCCTTCAAGAATTTCGCAAGGGGTTTAAACTTGGCGAACGACTATTGCGTCCGTCAATGGTGAAGGTATCAGCTGGTCCAGGGCCTGCAAAGCCAGAAGCAGCTCCGGCTTCTGAAGGAGAGTCAAATGACGCGGAAGAAGTCCCATTGGAAAGCAGTGCGGAAACAGAGTCTGGCTAAGTGGTGACAGACGTATTTTGTCTTCAATTTTGACATGGAGCAGCAAGTGCAATGATTTTCTCAGCTTCAATGGTAGGAATAGTTTTTTGGGGATGCCAACATCTGAGTACAGGTGCTGTTGTTCTTTTGTTGTATTTCTAATGGAGGAGCTACACTGGTTTCGAGCAACGGAAGTCGCCGGGAAGCAGTTTCCTTACGCATGCAATTATGAATTTTTTTGTCAGATCTTCTGTAATACGACCAGGTGAAAGTTGTTTAGAGAAGGTAAACTCCTTTACCACAATTTTCCATTTGTTTATTCAGGTTGACAAGGAAGGACTGATCTTTGTTATAGCTCTTCTTTTTGGCTAAGTTTTTGAGAGTGCATCTTTAAACTCCTAGCTGCAATGGCCGCGCGAGGCTTACTACAAAGCTCAGTCCTGGCCGCTTTTGAGAAGAAATAGAAAAAAGATGAAGAAACGTTTAAGCTTAAGGTAAAGGAACAAGGAGAGACTTTCTCGTCTTCACGTTGCAAGAGAGAGAGAGAGAGAGGGAGGGAGAATGGTGAGGCCTGCTGATTGCAAGAGAAGAAGAGAATGCTGAGTTGAGTGTAAAATTTTGTTGTGTGATTTGAATGCACAGTACAAAATAAAATCACCAATAGATTAGCAACAGCTAATTCTTGCCCTATCTTAGACTACTTCTTCTAAATTGATTCTTAAAGCTAGTTCTCTACGCCATGACATTACTGGAGTCTGAAGTAAAACATGAATATCACTTTGCATGAACATTGCCAGCCTCTCCTTGAATGCCCTTGTCAAAAATGCCACAACCATCTCTAAGGATGTTGACGCCATTTCCAATATGATCGGACGTCTCCGAAGAGATGTTCGCATGGCCATTTGAGGTTATTCGACCGGTGAAAAGTTAGATACCGGCGAACTTTGTCGGAAAAAAACAGATGCAGTGAAGGCATCGAACACGTGGAGAAGATCAGGGGATGGGCAATTCAGGTGCACGTTTGCATGCCTTTCTCGACAAGCACTAATTGCACCTAGGCGAGTGGTCCTGTTTGCCGAATTATGTCGCAATTCGTCGTATCGGACGACAAACATAAATATACTCAGTTGGGGGTTGACTAACCAAACCAACGTTCAAGTGAGATTTAGCTGCTTTCTGATGAATAATAGTATGCGTCGACAGACATAATTCCGTCATCGTTGGTTGGACCGTGCATCCAGCTTCTGCTCTCCTCATTTGATGATGTCGTGAGTTGTTTCGCAGCTGCGAGCCTCTCTGGTCCGACTGGTAGTTGCAGCGTAATCTTTTTCACGGGAAAGAAGAAGAGCCTCCGTGGCCGGCCAAGTTGCCACAAACCCCAACTACTTCAATCCCCGCTCTGCGGCCTGCCTGTGTTAAGAATGGAAAGTGCTCAAAAAGAAAATAATGCCCTTCAAGAAAAATGCAATGTATAGACTGTCGCCGTTTCTCAATGACTTGGACGTTTTGCTTCCGCTTTCTGCATGCTCGCACGTCCAGTCAAAGATGTGCTCGTATGCTTTCGGAGGCCGCTCGCCAGCCACCTCCGTGGGTGAAGCGATAGCCGACGCTTGTGAACACGATGACTTGGCAAGCATTCGTGGAGATGAACTGATAGATGAAATGAAATTCGATGGAGTAGGTAAAATTAAACGGAGTGCATACTCAATTGCAACAAGTCACGTCGCTGTACAGTTCAACTTAAATATTTGTAGCATTATGTAGTCGCGTGTGTTGACTTAGGAATAGAAAGCGAAAGGACGAATATGACTTCTTTCGCACTACATATTGGAGAGAGAACAATGACATCGAGTTGTTTCTCACTACGAATTTTATGAGACGAGAGTATTTATTGGTACACTGCACGCTTTTGACGGATATTTTCAGGCTAGCCAGAGGACTAGTTCACAACTCTGATGACTCTTGCTAGCTTGAAGGTGCTTGGCTTACCTACCACTTTCTTGCTTGCTCTCATATAAAACGGTTACTGATATTAGAGTCTCTTTCCAAGCAGAATTTCCTTCTTCAATCCGATAGAGAAAAGGGCAGCAAGGGTAATATTTTATTTGTATTGTTCACATCCTCTTAAGTGGCCACCGATGAGGACTTGTGGAAATTTTCATTGACTTCGAAGTCTTTGAGTAAGCTCCGTGTGCTTTCCGTATCCTCCTCTTGCTCTTGACTTTATAGTTTCTGGGTTGTTTTACTTCATCTGTTTCAGTTTAAGATTCCCATTCTCCGTTGCCTTCGACGAGTGTGTAGAGAAGCATTAGGTTGTGACCAAGTCTTTCAGCTCCTTACACGTCTTTAGATGATTTTGCCCTCCTAAATTCTCTTGCATTTCATTTTTGGTGTGCAACTTCATCAACCCACTTCATTTCCTGTTCTGGAGGTTAGTTGATGCTCCTGCATAGTCAATTAATTGGACTGCCTTGCTCTCTTTGGTTCAGTTTCTGTGGCATGGATGCCTCACGTTCAATTTACTCTCTCTTTCGATGACAATGAAAACCCGGGTCCATGAATTACACGGCTAACCTCATGGACAGGTAAGGTGCGAGCCCAAACTTGGGCTCTCGAGTCTCGGATGGTTGGCGCACACATCAAATTGTTTATACTTGATAGTGTGAGGAATCAAATCACATTGAGCGCTTTATTCACAAGCCCAAGTTCGTTCCTTAGCCACTAAGCCAACCGCGTGGGCTTGTTTTTATTATATTTCAGTGCACTCTGCAAACTTGACAAGCAATCAGTGCAGAGCATATTCATGTTTTTGTGGATGGTTCTGATCAAAGCAACGAGTTAGCAGAGATTCATCAATCTATCTCCTCCAACCCTAGGCCCCTTCTCTCTCTAACAGAAAGTCTGTAGTTAAGTATGGTAAAGGTAGCAAGTCTTGTTGCTCATTTGAGTCTAGATTGTATAAGGCTTGAACATTCTAGTTTTCTTCTACTGAGAGATTATGTCAAGCATTTTCTGCATTGAGTAACATTCACTCCTAACTATTTTGTATAGGAAGTCGGATGTTGCAACTGGGACTAACATAGAGGTTTACTTTGTTTCAGGTCTATGTGCAGGGAGTTTTACTCATTTGAATTTTAATCTTTTGTCCCTTAATTTGGTTCACTTCCATTCAGTTTCTCAGGAGCATCATGGATGATAATGTGGAGGAGAAACTTTCAGAAACAAGCAATCTGAAGGGGAGAATTTGGAGTGAGACCAAGCTTGTGTGGAAAATCATTCTTCCATCTGTGTTGGCTAGAGTATCCGCGTACGGAATTCCGGTCGTGACACAGATATACATTGGGCACATTAGCGAACTAGATCTTGCCGCTTATGGATTGATACAGAGTGTTCTCTTGTTGTTTGTGAATGGGGTTCTGGTAAGCTCATCTCACTTCATTTATGTGCTAGTTTAACATTTAGCCATTAATGTAGCCTAAACAGAATTAGTCATCTGGTAAAGGCACCCCATCAGTGAGGACAGAAAAAACCTTGAATACGCACTCAGCTTTGCATAAGTTTTTCGTAACCAGCTTATCACAGGGGAATGAAGCCAGTGAACAGTATTGTTTACTACCTGAGCTCGATATCTGGTTTATTAGCATGATTAAGTTAACTCCAACAAGCTTTGGTAGAACATTCCAGTCTTAGACTTCAGCTGAAGGTGCCCTCCCACGGCTGGATATGACCCAAAACTTCTGTTGGATGGGTTCGTGGGACACGTAAACTTATATTCAGGACAAATCAGTTAGCTGTGCTGGTATACAGGGTTTAATATTGTGCGGTGGTTAGGTGTGCTCGTGAGTTCTCATGCCTGCAATTTTGTGTCTGAATCATTAACGAGATGAGATGCTGCAAACATTTGATCTAAGTTTAGATTCCTCTGCATACACTTTGACATTGCTCCAAGGACCATGCTTTTTCCCCTTCCAAAGTATTTCAGACGGGATGTGCCAAATGAACTGAATCATCTTACTTCTCTTATTGGTTTCGTCTAGAACTCATTCTAGCATGGACTGACTTACAAATCCGTTTTCACTGTTCCGAAGCTGGGAATGTCAAGTGCAACTGAAACATTATGTGGGCAAGCATTTGGAGCCGGCCAATACCATATGCTGGGTATTTACTTACAAAGATCGTGGATCGTGGATGTTGTGACGGCAACGATACTCCTCCCTGCGTTTATATTTGCGACTCCGCTCTTCCGGTTGCTTGGTGAGGACGAAGACGTGGCAGTTGCAGCCGGAGAGATCTCTCTTTGGTTCATCCCTTTCATCTACTACTTTGTTTTCTCGCTGACCATGCAAATGTATTTACAAGCACAACTGAAAAACTCAATAGTTGGATGGCTGTGTTCTGGCTCTTTTGTCCTTCATTTGTTACTCTCCTGGATCATGGTTAGCGTACTCGACTTGGGAGTTCCCGGTGCCATGATTGCATTGAACATATCTGGTTGGTCTACGGTAATTGGAGGATTCATCTACATTTTTGGAGGGTGGTGTCCTCAGACATGGAAAGGATTCACCAAAGCTGCCTTTGTTGATCTCATTCCTGTCATAAAGCTGTCAATTTCTTCCGGCGTGATGCTTTGGTAATTCTAAATCTTCTAAACTTGCTTATGTTAAGTAAAATGGAGATAAATGGAAATTGAGGACATCAACAAGAAAAAATCTAAAGATAGCCAGATATATCACAATATGCAACTAAATCCATGGCATCCTTCTTTGGAATGCCGATTGATCCAGAGACCCAAACTCTTTTGGCATTCTACTTTCTGAGTTGTTTCTGGAAATAATCTCTCTTCGGGTTGCTCAATCTGCTTGAACATTCTCATGCATCCATTTCCATAACATAGTTTAGGATGCAAGACATGTTTATTTGTATGTTTCTTCTTTGATAGCTTGGAGCTGTGGTACAGTGCTATCCTTGTGTTATTGGCGGGATATATGCAAAATGCGACCGTGGCAATATCTGCATTCTCGCTCTGGTAAGAAACTCCTCGGGTTTTGTGTTCTCATTTTCCTTGGCTGCTTGTGACATTAATTGATTTGTATCCTGCAGCGTCAGCATCAATTCTTGGGAATTCATGATCTGCCTCGGGTTCCTTACAGCGTCATGGTATGATTCTCTGACCTTAATGGATGTATTTTTTAAGTGCTTGCATTTCTTCCTCTCTCTCTCTCTCTCTCCCTCACTCTCAGACACTAGTAATGTTTATTGAACACGATTATAGTAGGTTAATCCAATCTTTCTCATCTTGCTGTGCATACAGTGTGCGTGTATCCAATGAACTAGGGAGAGGAAACGCCAAAGCGGCAATATTCTCTGTCAAGGTCATCGTCTCCAATTCTTTAGCTATTGGAATAGTGTTCTGGGCACTATTTTTAGCCTTCGGACATGAGATTTCACAGCTTTTCACAAGTAACGAAGAAGTTGCCGAAGCTATGTCCAGTCTCTCTGTTCTCCTTGCGTTCTCCTTCTTGCTCAACAGTGTACAGCCAGTACTGATAGGTAGCTGCAAATTGTCTTGCTCATACTAATGCATATTGTACGGTTGATTAGACATCGCATCGAACATTTTGGGATATTTCTGATTGTGTATTTTGTATATTAAAATCACACTCATATTATTCCATAGCTAGTGCCAACCTACGGATTTTGTGGTTTCAGGTGTTGCCGTCGGTGCTGGTTTACAGAGTGTGGTTGCGATTGTAAACGTCTGCTGCTATTATGTGGTTGGCTTACCCATTGGAGTATTACTTGGATATGTGGCTGATCTGGGAATTAAGGTGACTTTGATCCTGACCATATTTTCGGATGGACATTGAAAAGTTCCAACGTATAGTTCTTTCTAGAAAATCTTGTGAGCAAAAATATGGTCAAAGTTCTCTTTCATTGACCTATTGATTTCTAGTGTATGAGGTGAATTAAAACTTAGTAGATTGGTTCCTGATTAAATTTTTTTAGAAATGAACTTGACATTTACGTGATAATGACAATCGATATGAACATTCATTGACTTATTTCTTTTCTTCTCCTTTTGGATAGGGCCTGTGGGTTGGATTGCTTTGTGGAGTGCTAGCACAGACATTGGTGCTTTCTTTCCTCACTTGGCGAACAAATTGGGAAGAACAGGTACTGCTAGAATGAGTGAAAACATCTGAAGTGCTCAAATTTTCATGAAAGCATCTATGATCGGTGGATTGTTCTTCATTTCATGCAAATGATGACTGCTGAAATACTCATTTTCATTTCAAGAAATCTCTTATTTCTAAAGGCTGAAGAGCATGTCCGTTCCTTTATGTAGGTCAGGAAGGCATCTAAACGTCTTGATCAGTGGCTTTTGGAACCAGAGGAACCTACTGAGAGTATTAGTCATGCTTGAAATCATCCTCCGTAACATGATGCAGAGAGGGGGGAACGACTACTTTAGAAGCATCTTCTTTCCTTTTTCTTTTCCTTTATTCCGGTTTTGGGTAGGTTCACTTTCAAGTAATCGGCATGGCAAGTTTTTGTCAGCTATTTTCGCGGTGCCATGGATCTAAAGCATTTATTCTTTGTTAAAATCAGGTGAATTTGGCTTCACGCTAACGAAATTTTTGGTACCCAATTTGGAAGTAAATTTCACTGTTATTTACAGCATTCACTATGGTTCTAAACCTAGCATATATAGAACATCTGTCATAAGTTTGAGTATACAATACTTTCAAGGAGAGCATTGAGATATGATCCCGGAATATGTGAGCTGTGTTCGGAGGTACCTCTGCAGATGTGCTCAATGTGTTGCATTCTTGAAGATTAATTGGCTGCAGAATTTGCTCCTGACCTGGCTATAAATTCACTGTCATGAGCGCATTCTGCACAATGAGAGATGACTTTGCCACATATTCCTAATGTGCAGCTGTATGTATCAACCTGAAAGCGGGTTCTCGTGTCAAGAACACTCCTTCCATGCTTGATGAAGCAACTGGCTCTGTTGTAGATCTGACCTGTGTTGGCTTAACGAGAAACATGTGTAAAAGTTTTGCCACATATCGGCAAAGGCTAACTACTCATGGGCATCAGTCATGGCAATAATCCAGTGTACTCCTCGCACTGCGAAACTCATATTCACATATTTTACTTGTTAAGTGCACGTGTGAAAGAAGTATCCACAATAAGTTGTTGGAGTGAAAAGGAGGAACCGATATATTCAGTTGACCCGAAAAGCCAATGGCTTAAGCTTTTTAATTAACTCAAACTTCCGACCCAAAAAAAAAAAAAAACTCAAACTTTGGGTTTCCTCTTGGATCTGATTATGAACAGAATAAACTTCTACACAGTTCTCCTCGAGTCGCCATTCTGGTGTAACACGCGAGTTAGTGTACATTCTACTATGCTGAATACTGGTGATAATTAAGTTAGTCATGGATAATTGTGAGCCTTGATGGTTACAAGTTGGCCCCCTGTTCAATGGTAGAAGCATCATTTGACACTAGTAGTGCTGTTGTCTGTTTGAAATTCGTTTTTAGCAAATGGTAACACTGTCATTTTGAATTCAAAGCCTGTTAATATAACCCACAGCTGCTGTTGGAAACAAATCCTTTGTCATTGGCCTAGGCCTTTTGCTCTCAATTCATGGTTTCTCAGCTTTGACCAGTTGTTGAAGGCTTGAAGTTATAAATTTTCAGCTGAACTGGAGAAAAAGAACTTAAAAAAGCAGGATCAGGTCCATCCTCCCTCTGTGGCCGATATAGCTGCCACGATACTTCGATAAACCAATGTAGGGTATGAAAATCGGTTCATGATGTACTAAAGTCTATTTACAAAGTGATGCGAAATCAATCGATGTATATCCATAACACCCTTTAGGGTGGTAGTTGCATTTATCATAGATAGACAGCTCAAAACTACTTTATTACCTTTACCAAAAAAAAAGACAGCTCAAACTACTTTCTCCAGGCACATTACTCTTCTAATGAAAGAGTGGATAATATTTCTCGTGAGATTTTGGTGGGATCACAGCCAACTGTTATAAAAGCTTAAGCTGTTAGATAAAGGCGTGGTTTAATATTTAATTATTCTAACGCTTCCCCTCACGCTTAGTCTGGTCTTTTTTGCCTAGTACTAAGCGTGGACATATTTAATTGGGGAGGCAAATGGGGCCCGGAAAGATTTGAACTCAGGGCCTCCAGCTCTGATACCATGAGAGATTTTGGTAAGACCACAGCCAACTGTTCTAAAAGCTTAAGCTATTAGATGAGGCGTGGTTTAATATTTAATTATTCTAATATCTCTAAAGTTGGTCTTACACGAAACGAATGAGATTTGGCATCATGAGTTATGAACATTTACTACTAAACTACTCTACGGAAGGTTTGACCAAAAAAAAAAACCTACTCTACGGAAGGGAAAAAATGTAAATTCATGCTGTATACCTTTTTTTATCTGGATCGCTAAATGAATTCCATTCCGTCGACCTTTAATGGAAGTTAGTTTTGAGTTTAGGATTCATTCGTAGCCCAGAAGTTTAATTCCCACCTTTATCGAAGTCTTTAGATTGAAATCTAAAGAAAGTCTAATAGTAATTTGCACTTCAGGAAAGCTCGACTTCTTCTTCAAATTCAGAAGAAAGAGTGCATCTCCGCCGCGCTACTCCTGCATAGGCTTTTTCTCCTAGGTCCAATTGCTTTCTGCTACCACCTTGCTACCATATACTGGCTTCCAATATTGCAGTACCCTCGTGCAGTAACTTGTATAAGTCTAAAAAGTCGACTTTTAGCTTGCCTACGTAGATGCAACTGACTCTGCATCTACCACTTTCTTGCTTGCTTTTTTTTTTTTGTCGAATTCTTGCTTGCTTTAACGAGTGACGTTTACTTCAAAAGGTCAGGCAGGCCTCAAATATATCCTTCTTTGTCCTAGCAAATTTTTACTCTTCAATGCAAGGAAAAGAGAATAGGAAACAAAAAAACATGTTTTTAGCTCCTCTTAAGTGGCCATTGGTGTGAACCGTGAAGCTTTGTGGATTTCGATATCTTGAGTGAGTTCTGTTCCCTTCTTGTCCTCTTCTTGCCTGGCTTAGTTTCCTCAATGTATTTGTGTACTTTATCTGTTCAGTTTAAGATCGAAATGCCCCTTGGTTTGTGCTCGTCCAAATGTTCCTGCCTCTTGCCTAGATTTGGCTGCTACGTAAGAACTATAGACAAAATTCATTAGAGGGTCATATGTACACCAATTGTTGGGCAACTTCTAACTTAAGTTGTGTGGGAAAAATGTCCACAATGTATATCAAGCATTTATCTTAACACTTCTCCTGTGAAGAATGGACATTCTCCGCAAAAAACAGGATGATGCTGTAATCATATCAAACCACAACTGGAAGACAATAGACATAGTGACAACTGCTAAGGGAGTGTAAAGATTTGAACCTTTCACCTGCATCTATCAAATACCGTGATTATTCTTGATAAACCTTCTTTCCTCAAATAGCTTAAGTTGTTGAGAAACGCGCTTCCAATGTATATCGAGCATGTATGTCAAAACAACCTGAAAAACAAAAGGATGAAGTCTGCTTATAGTCATCAACTTTCTACCTTTCTAGATGATTGTTCCTTTCTGAAGTCATTGTTGTGTACAATTTCACAATCCCGCTTCATTTTTTTTGTCTCTCGGAATAGATGATGCTAATTTAAAGTCATGTGATTGAACTACCTGGCTCAATTTTGTTCAATATCAGTAGTAAGGGTGCCTACAGTTTAACTCACTCCACTCAGCATAATTTTAAAGTAGTCAGTGAAAAGCACATCCTTTCTTAAGCGGGCCGGCCCAAGTAATTACATTCATTTTAAGTGAAATTCACTATTCTTTCATCTTGTAAACGTTCATCCCTTTCAACAGGGATGTCGGAGGCTACAAAGCGAGCCTGCATAAGAAATTTACTCTTGCTTCAGAATTCAGATACTACTTTTGTTACTTACTATTGACTCAATTCATCCCGTTATCCTCTAGAGAGAGCTTATGGATGAAAATATGGAGCAAAAGCTTTTGGAAACAAGTGACCTGAAGGGGAGAATCTGGACGGAATCTAAGCTTGCATGGAAGATCATTCTTCCGTCAGTACTGGGTAGAGCATCCTCGTATGGACTCCTAGTGGTGACACAGATATACATGGGACACATTAGCGAACTAGATCTTGCTTCTTATGGATTGATACAAACTGTTCTATTGTTGTTTGCGAAAGGGATTCTGGTAAGCTCACGATCTCACTTCTTTTATGTGCCCATTTTAACATTTAGCAACAAATGTAGTCTAATCCGAAATTGTCATTATAAAATTACACCCTCCAGAAAGGGATTGAAGAAGCTAACGTACGCGGTGAGCTCTCTACTTTATAATGCAATGCTCTATGGTGTCATCACATAGAACAGTCCTGTTTGAAAGTTCAGCTGAAGGAATTATGCCTATATGAAACTGGCTAACTAAGCACCAGTATGTAATGCTCATGGACTTACTTACCAGTCCCTTTTTGCTCTTTCAAAGCTGGGAATGTCGAGTGCAACCGAAACATTATGTGGGCAAGCATTTGGAGCAGGTCAATACCACATGCTAGGTATTTACTTGCAAAGATCATGGATCGTAGATCTTGTCACGGCGACAATGCTGCCCCCTTTGTTTATATGGGCGACTCCGCTCTTCCAGTTGCTTGGCGAGGACGAAGATGTAACGGCTGCGGTTGGAAAAATCTCTCTCTGGTTCATACCTTTCGTCTACTACTATGTTTTTCTGTATACCACCCAAATGTACTTCCAATCACAGCTAAAAAACTTGATAGTTGGTTGACTGTGTGCCAGCTCTTTTCTCCTTCATTTGTTACTTTCCTGGATCATGGTAAGCATACTCGATTTGGGGGTTCACGGTGCAATGATTGCTTTGAATGTCTCGGGTTGGTCTACGGTAATTGGAGCATTCGTCTACGTCTTTGGAGGGTGGTGCCCCCGGACATGGAAAGGATTTAATAGAGCTGCCTTTGGTGATCTCATACCGATGATAAAGCTTTCACTTTCTTCTGGCGTCATGCTTTGGTAATGCTAATTCTTGTAGTTCGCTTATTGTCAATGGAAGGAGGACATTTTTACTAACAAAAAAGAATAAGAAAGCCGATGAAAGCAAAGAAAAAAGTGATTCGAGGCATCCTTGGAATTGCCTACTGAACCATAACGACCATGACCAAGTTCTTTTCTTCCATTCTACTTTACTGAAAAGTTGCCGGAAATTGCCTAATTTGCTCATTCTCGAGTATCAATTTACAAAAGTACAAACTTGTCATACATTCCGTGGATACAAATTTGTATGTTTTTTTGTTGGTAGCCTGGAGCTGTGGTACAGTGCTGTTCTCGTCATATTAGCAGGATATATGCGTAATGCAACTGTTGCTATATCTGCATTCTCAATCTGGTAAGGACCTCTTTGGGTTACAAAAAATTCTCATTGCCTGTAGCCCCATGTGACGCAAAATTTTTCTCCCTGCAGCATCAGCATCAATACTTGGGAATATATGATGTGCCTCGGCTTCTTTACTGCGGCATGGTATGAGTTTCTGATCTTAGGAGATGTATTGCACTTGCACTTGCAAGTTCTCTCTCTCTCTCTCTCTCTCTCTCTCTCTCTCTCTCTCTCTCTGTGACAATGCTAATGCTCACCATCATATTGATAATTAAAGGTTTATCTATTATTTTCATATTGCTGCGTGTACAGTGTGCGTGTATCAAATGAACTAGGGGGAGGAAATGCGAGAGCTGCAGTGTTCTCTGTTAAAGTCATCGTCTCCTATTCGTTGTTAATTGGAGTGTTGTTCTGGGTACTATTTTTAGCCTTTGGACATGAGATTGCGCATCTGGTTTCTAGTAATGAAGAAGTTGTGGAAGCCATGTCTGGCCTCACCATTCTACTTGCATTCTCATTCTTGCTCAATGGTGTACAACCAGTACTTATAGGTAAGTACAGACATCTCCTGCTTGCTATCTGTTCCAAAGCCAGTTCCAACCTACAAGTTTTCGGTTTCAGGTGTCGCCATCGGTGCCGGTTTACAACATGCGGCCGCTATCATAAACATCTGCTGCTATTATTTGGTTGGAGTACCAATAGGAGTATTACTTGGATACGTGGCTCATCTGGAAATTAAGGTAACATACTACAGTGGACATAGCAAAACTTATTGAATGTTCAAATGACTGGCTCTTTGTCGAGAATTTGGTAAGAGCGCTGAGCAACAACATGGATACAGTTCATTTTTGCTGACCTACCAATTCTGATGTATGCTCAAATCACTATTATCTTTGCTTGCTTCTCATGAATGATGAGATGAGTTGAAAAATTAGTAGAACGTCCATCCCCGATCAACCTTGTGAAGAGACAAACTAAAGTACTCGTTCTGATAGTTATCCGTACATACGTCGGTGGCTGAAACCTTTGTTCTGTTTTATAAGGCCTGTGGGTCGGATTGCAATGTGGTGTGTTAGCGCAGACATTGGCGCTTTTGCTCCTCACGTGGAGAACAAACTGGGAAGAACAGGTAATGTGTTAAAAAGAATGGAAAGAGCGGAAGTTATCAACAGTGACCCACGAGAAAAAAATAACTATTTCACTCTCATTTCCCTGCTTCATTGGCAGTCATCTGATACCACTCAAAGCTTCTTAGTACTTGGAGGCTAACCAACCTGTATAAACCATTGTGCAGATCAATGAAGCATCTAAGCGTCTCGATCAGTGGCTTTTGGAACCATCGGATGGACCTGCCGATGAGAGTTTGAATCGTGCTTGAAGTCGTCCTCCACAACATAATGAAGAGAGAAATGACTGTTTGGGATTCGCAAGAATTTCTTTTTGTTTTCGGAGTTCTAACAGGACCCGCATTTGAGTAGATCTTGTCGCTACAATCTTTATCAGCTATTTCGCGACTAGTATGGACCTAGATCACTTTTCTGTTGTTGAAAGCAAATGAAATTGACCTCATGCCAACACAAATCCTTTCGGAGCATCGAAATGCAATGAGAGTTTTTAACCGTTGATTATGTTAATGCCACAGATCCTTTGAGGTCATCTACACAGTATATACATTATGGACTAAAGGAGACCTTTGAGACATGACAGTGCTCTTAACATAGGTTACTTGCTGTGGATAGATAACCTGCTTTTAACCAAGTGGGAAGTGATGAATTTCACTACGGTGCAAAAGTTGGCTCACAATATTAGATGACTTGCACACTAAAAGAAAGAAAAACGTGTAAAATCAGCTCTAGCGAGAAGATAGAAGAAACCTTTCCAAGATTTGACAAGGAGCGTAGCGAATCAATCAGATTTTTCGGTTAGAAGTGTCGAGGTCCCCGATCTATATAAACTCGAGCTAAGTTAAAGCTGTACTATTATATTTGCGTTATTTTCCCTGACCAACTTATGGGAGAGATATTTTTACCAACGAATCAGCCGAGTGTTTACAACGCAATCTTGAAATAACAGCCACAACAGAATCACATAATCAGCATCATTTCTTACGGAAATAGCTAGTTGTATTAGGGTTACTTCCAGGCCAATGCAAAAGGCATGTGCTTGTCAAAAGGAGTTGGTTTCTAATCTTCAACATCTTCCAAATGTGGGGGTTTTCAGGATCATGCTTCTCCCAAACCTGGCTCGTTTGGGCGTCAGAGAGAATGCGAGAGTGGCACGCTACAGTCCCAGCATCTTCTAATTCAGAAAAATGAACGGGCTATAAAGTTTTCTGATGACAAATGTAAATGAGATATTTCAGAATATGGTTCTACCGTCCGACATGACCATCCATTTGTCCACCGATTGTGGTGTTCATCACCATTTTCAGACCTACACTACGCGGATGTTGTACAATGATGCATGATGAAGGCCCAATACAACAAAATAATTGAGTAGAACAATCACAGATACTCATGCTGGATCCTCAGGTATACCTCTTTGGCTGCTTCTGATTGACTGTGTCCTGGGTCATTACCAACAGGCGGCGAGACCACTGCTTTGTTCGCGCCCTCCTCTAAATTTAGAGAAGCCATCTCATGACTCGGTGTAAAGCCTCCTTCAGAGGCCTCAGAATCAGGGTCTGAAATGGATGCGTCTTCCTGGTGTATTTCAGACTCAGCAGGGGATAGATAGGACGGTAGAGGAGAATCGGAGACGGAATCGGACATTTTCTTCTTGTCGTCCTCTCTCATCAGTTGTGCATAGGTCTCATAGTTGAAACCGACAGGGTTTTTGCCCCCAAATGCAGATTCCAGCTTATCCATATCAAATAGCTCTTCCATTATCTTCTGGCTTTGCGGATCATCTGAGTAGACAAACTTGACCTTTTTGAATGTCTTGGTCTCAAGGAATGGTTTCACCAACTGCTATTAAGGAAGTTTCATCAATTTAACAATTTCCAACCTCCCACAACTATATATTATCATTCCGACAGACAAAGCGAAAATTTGCTAATTCCAGAAGTTCTCAAAGGCAAGGAAAAGAAGATGAATTTGACGCAAATTTCAGGTCCCTAATTTTGCTTTCCCGTTTTTTCAACTTTTGTCAATTAAGACATAGTTGTGTGGAACTCTATTAAGAAGCCGTCGGTGTAAGACAAGACTTTTCCTAGCAAAATAATGCAGCAACAAAACCGATGTGCTTGCGTAGGATAACCAGTATCTATCATAAGAATCAATGTGGACAGTTGAAAGTTCCAACTTCATTAGTCCTTTACAAGAACTGGTAAATTAACAAGTAAAGGAAATCCAGTTTGACGCATTTACCATGTCCTTTAGAAACTAGACATGTCACTTGCCAATCATCATTTTAATAGCAATCGAATAAACAAAACCACTAATTACTCGTTATGCTGCACTGGTGCTACTTAATATGTTCTAAATCAAGCATCTGCACGCTCCATTTATCCTAGGGGTGTGCAAAAGAACCGGGAACCGTCCGGAACTGGACCGAACCGGCCCAAAACCAGTAGTTTCCATGAGGACCGGTCTGGTTCCCGGTTCCAAATTACTGGAACCAGTGAGTACTGGTTCGGTTCCCGGTTCTAGGCGTGGAACCGCCCACCCGGACCAAACCGGTATATATATTTCTTTTTTTTTTTAATTACAGGCTATAATTTAAAATAGAAATAAACCCTTTACTCGGTCTCTCTCTCACCCCTTAAAGAAAACAGTCTCTCCACCTCCTTTGTTGCTCATCTCGCTCTCCGTCCGTTGTCGCCTCACCTCTCACAGTCGCGGGCTCTCCTCCGACCCTCTCTCACAGTCAGCCTCGCCTCCCTCTCACTCAGACTCACAAGCTTGCCACTCACGACACTCGTCATGACTCTCCTCCACCTCGCTCGCTCACAGTGCTTGTAGTTGTTGCTCGTGGATTGCTGGAAGAACATCTCTGTTTACATCTAGCTTTTTTCCTCTTTTTTTGTGAATTTTCATGTTTTTGTTTGTGTGGAATCTGGTAGAGATGCTTGAGTTAACAGGTTTCTGCAGCATTCTTTCTTGCTGGAGAAATTTCATGTTTTGATTTAATTAAGAGGCATACAACCTCGTCGGTGCCCTGGTCATGCTGTTCATATTGCTAAAGAGAAATGCATGAAAGGTGTTTGTTAAAATGCCAAGCATGAACCATTCCAAAATCAATCTTGAATTAGCAGATGCTTGCAGATTTCCCTAGTAGGACCGGTTCCATGGACCCACCCGGGAACTAGACCGGCGGTCCAGTCCAGTTCGCGGGTGGGTCCATTGAACCAACGGGTGGTTCCCGGTTCCCATTTTGTGGAACCGGTACTTAGTGGGCGGTTCCTGGTTCTAGGGTGGGAACCGCCCACCCGGACCATGCTCACCCATGATTTATCCTCAGTTAACTCGGTGAAAGCACTTCCCATCAGTGCGACACATGTATGGGTAGGCACACTGATTAATTTTGCTAGCAACTGTTCCACTTCCAACTCCATTAAATTGATATACCTTCATCAAACTCATGACCATTCATGGATAGAACAGCATCCAGTATACTTGCCTAGAATTACTTCTCAAGCACCAATCAGCGAAATTGAACACTGTATTAATGGTTAGATTAATCGTACCAATGAACTCAGATTGCAACTTTTTTTTTCTCTAGAAACAAACATCGCTCATCCTGTATGTCTACTCCCATCCATGTAGAATTCTACTCGTGGACACATTTCCAGATTAAAACTTGAAACTCAGGATATGCAAAGAGAAACTTGATCTTTACATGATTGTCCCAATTCTAATATGTGAGAAATCTAGAAATGGATCGATCAGAACAAGCAATAGTTTTAGCTGCTCAATGCATAATATTGTCAGTGAAAGGTACAGAAAACTGAAAAAGAAAAGAAAACAATTACCTTCCAAAAGGACTCAAATATTTTGGGTGGATTATAGAGGATACCGATGCCTAGTCTCTCAGGATAATAATCCTGCAATACATGTGCCGTCTCCCGAGTAACCTTCACTGATATGCTCGACATGTTCCATCCTTGAAAATCAATTAGCCACACCATTTGTTCCTGATCTGGCTTTAAATTCAGAACTGCGTTTTCCATACAATAAACCAAATACTTAATCTGCCCTTCTGTTGCCTTTGTATTCTGTGCCAGAGAACACAGAAAGAATTTCAATTTCTGAGAGCAGAATGTTCTATATTACAAGAAGAGAGAGAAAGACTACCACATATTCCTATTCTGCAATTGTATGTCTTTACCTGAAAACCTGGTCTCATGACAAGAACAGTCCTTCCATGCTTGTCAAAGTAATTGGTTCTGTAAATTTTACCTGTCTCAGCTTCACGAGCGATGTCTTCCTAGAAGCATCACAAACACAGAAGCTTCGTCACATGTCAACAAAAGCCAAGATGCTCATGGCAATAACCAAGTAAGTGAAGCATTTCTAAGGTCAATTAGTAAGTGATGCTCATTAATACTACAGGTGAAACATGAAAGTTAAATTATGCCCTGTTCAATCTCATGCAAAATAAAAAAATTTGGTTTGAACTCATTGCAGTCATGTGTCCTCACTCTGAAAACCCATAGAAAGACAGTCGTATCAGGGTATAAGCAAGGTGCTTATCGTTCATCATCCCATGGCAGTTAGAATGAGTCGACCAAAGTTTTCTAAAGGATCATAGAGCATTAACGATGTTAACTCATCAGCTGTCTTAATAGCTGTTCCAGATCAACTTGCAGGGTATTTGACATCAACATTAAGAACTAGGTCGTGCAAACAAGATGCAAAATATTAGTAATTAAGACAGAATTTACCCATCTAATTTTTTCTGGCTTGTAAACCAGTCTCCATTTCAATGTTTCTTTCAGCATCTTGGCCGCCTTCTTGGTGTTCCAGTTTCTTGCCTTGAGGTACCTTATGATTGATGCATCTGAACATAGTGTTGGAAGCTTATCAGCAAGAGGCCCCAAAATCTTTCTGACTTCATTGACCTGATGGAAAGGAGACAAGTGAGTATTCAAATAAAGAGTCAACATTTAACAATCCTAAATATCTGTCAACCACAAAATGGGTTCACTTTTTTTTCCCATTCATACTTGTCGCAGGAATCTAGTTTGCCAAGTGAAGTTACTATCTACCATTCTAGAGGAAAATGAAAGAGTAGTATCACAGAAGTCAAAACATAGCAGAGCTTCTCAAGCACTACAAACAATGGAGAAGAATCCTCTGAAGTGCTTTAGGAAAATGGGTAGGACTGGGAACTAGAGTGAACTTTTGAAAAGGTAGCTACACTGCTCAGATGTTGTCAGCATTGCACTAGCCACTCCGAATGAGCACGATGCTCATGTTTGGTTGGCACATAAAGGATTGTGTCAGTATCTTCCCAAGGGGTGATACCATGCTATGGGTGTATATAGTTTGAAAGTGCTCATTGAAAGAGCTTCTCTATGCTTTGAAGTCACTTTTCAAAAGCTGGCAAAGATTGTCAGACATGTTGATAGAAAAATCATCATTAGTCAAGTACATGTCAGCCAGATTAATGGCAAACACAGCAAAATGCTTCTACGTTGATAACAACAGAAAGTTTGTGCCAAAAGATCACCACGGTGTGCCCTAGTTTTGTTACGAAAAATCACAGAAGATAGCATACAGGCTGTAACCCGGCAGCATAACATATTTTGCTAACACGGTCCAATACATGAATCTATTTAACCATGCGAAAGAACACATAAAATGACTCCTCACATGAGAGAGAATATAAAACTGAGTAATAACTCACTGACAGACACAAAAGAATTTGCATCTTCACTAGTGTAGTTATTTTATGTTGAGTAGATGGTGCATAACAATCAGCAAGGCCCCACATAGATCAGAGATGGGACTATAGCTTAATATACTTTTGCAAGGAAAGACAAGTCACAGACAGAAATGTGGTAAAACAAGAGATGGGATACACCGGAGCAGAGCATTTCAGCAAGAAAGACAAAAGTTCAATCAATGATATTAGCACTAATCTTGTACTATAGGGCCCAATTCCTTTAAAAAGCACCAACTTCAGGTCCTATCTCAATTTTGGCCCGGACAGTTTTTTTCCTCATAAAAAAGCACCAACTTTAAGTCAATACTCAACTCTGGCCCCCATCAAGTTTCCGTCTAATGATGCCATTAAATATTCGACGTGTACTCGGCGACTCATTGGACGGAAACTTGATGAAGGTCAGATTTGGGTGCCAACTAAAAGTTTGTGCTTTTTCATAAGACAAAAAAGGTTTGGGCCAGAATTGGAATCCGAGCTAAAGTTGATGCTTTTTTATGAAAAAAAGAAAAGTTTGGCCAGAACTTGAACCCAAGCTAAAGCTTGTGCTTTTTAAGGGAATTAGGCCTTTCATATAAAAGAATAGTAAATTTCTTACAGAAACACTGCATATACATAAAGATGTTTCAGCTCTACACCTTGGTCTGTTGCTCTTCGAAGGACAGACTTTTCTCTGCTCCACTTGCCCGTGACTTTCTGAAAGACATATTTCAAATTCTGGAGCAGGCTGAAACTTAGAAGAAAACAGAAAATCTTCATCATAAAAAACTGGAGAAAAGAAAGAAGAGCAAGTTAAAAAGGTGCAAACATGTGCACATGCTTATATTAGACAAACAAGACCTTCAGGCAATCAATTCATTATACTTCAGATTGAAAAGCATGATACTGAAAATTGCAGACGAAGACATACCCATTTTGATCTATAACTAGAAGAATTTGTTAGCACGAGACATCCACAAATTTTAAAGATCGTTAGTCAGCTTCAGGACAAGATGGAAGAGAAGCAACCCACTTGAGAATACTTAGAGCCTCACTTAAGTAAATTATATTTAAATCAACAATTAAAAGTATAAGGTGAGTGAAATCATTGAGAAAGTACAGGGTTTGTACACTTTACACATATATGCTGACATGGCAAATTTCTGAAAATCCAACTCAACAACCCGTTGCCTCCAAGTCTAAGATACACTGGAAAGGCAAAATAAAAAACCATATTTTCCCCAAATAACTAAGATGTCTAGCTGCGGATTTTCTGTCAGTTTCTTTAGGAGGCAAACAAAGAGACATATCTACTCCACTGAAGAAGGCACTTCAAAAATAGTCTAAAGAGGACAATAGTAATGAAGACATATCTTCATGTCAGTTCTAAATGATGGAAGAGAAGTGATATATCAAATTGTGGCATATCAAAACTATAGAAATAGTAATGAAGAACACAAAATCACACACTATTAGCATTCAGAATTAGGCACTTTTCCCAGAAGTTCAAGATCAAGGTTTACACTGACCCAGCCATGGTTTATATCCCCTTCAATTACCCAATAAAGATTCAGTACATATCTCCACAGCCAAAACTCTCATTTTTGTCCAATTGAGGCTCAAAACTATATCATCCTAAACACTTGAAAGCTGCACAAGCCTCGTATTTGGCCCATAAAATTCCTCTAGCAAATTTCTCTTCTATTCTTAAGCCAAAGAGGAATTTCCTGAGCAATCAATTTCCCTGCAGAACATCCATCTTAAATCTCTTGAATATATATTCAGATGAAGCAAGGAAGATAGGAGATGCCACCAGTTCTCCCAATGGAGCACATCAAAAGGTGTAGTTATCTTACTTCACAGGAATAAAGAAGAAAACGGAAGAAGACGAAGAGCACTTCAATCACGACTGGAACAAAGCTTCAAGATAGGGTCTGCCTTCCAGATACAGTTGGGAAAAAAGTACCAACGGAGGGGGGCATTGGCTATTTATTTAAGTTTCCCTTGCTGCCCAGGCTCTAGATTAGGCGAATGCCAATAATTGGAAAGGATGATAAGCGGCCATTATTGCACTTGGTAGTGAAAATATGCACCTTAGTTGAGGAGACGATCGGGATTCCTATCCAAGTATTTCACTAGTATTCTTCTGATCTTGAGTTCAGCTAGGCTTAAGGTCCAGAAGTTCTGAATCTTAAAGGAAAATGTAGAAAAAAAGAAGGGGGCAAAAATGAGCCATGCACTTCTAATTTCTTTTTGCACATACTACAGACTCCAGAAGCATTGGTCGACACCTGAAGAAAGATTTTATTTGTATCCAAATTAGATACCCTCAGTGAGCATATGACTTCCAGTTTGAGATTGATGAACTAGGATTCTGCAATTAGAATAGGTTACTCTCCATATAAAGATTCTATGTCTCCAATTGTAATGCATTTAAAGAAAAAACTGCACTCCCCTGCTCTAGCATGGCAAACTATCTCCCTTCCATCTGTTTTCTGATTGCCAATAGATTGCCGGAGAGTGAGGCCACTACATGAAAGCTCAACCTGAAAAGGTACACACCTGTAACAATTCCTTGCTTTTCCTAGATCATCGATGCATCTTCATGCTAATTTCTCTTTCGACTGCCAACCAAGATAGCTCAAGGTTTCCTCTGATGAAATTAAAGTTTGTAAATGCAATTTCTGATTGCTCAACATAACTAGTAAAGGGTAAGTTACCAAACATCCCCCAAACATGATAACAGAATGACCATCATAACCCAAACAAATCGCACCAAAAAGAATTGCATAAACTTCTTTCTCCAGTTCCCTATCATCTCTAGCAGGCAAAAAAGCGGAAATGATACAGCTCCGCATACGGGCTGAGTGATCCAACAAATGAAAATGATATAAAGCACCGCCATTTCCTCATCGGCTGATAAAAAAACAGAGCTTTATCACATATACATGCAAACATATTCAGGACATCGCATAAAATGCAATCGATGTTCCATCAACAAACCGTCAAGAACCCAAAATCGCACGTCTCGCGCATGTAATTGGACGTGCTTGATGGAGATAGCTTAGTTACCACAAGGATAAGCTAACACGTCAGCATGCGACCGTGGTGATGATGGTGATGGTGATGGTGATGGTGATCAACGACCCTTTGGATGATAGATTCTAATACACCAGAACAACGATATCATTCAACAGAACAACCCCAGAACCCGGACAAGGTCGCTCAAAAAGCAAGAAGACGGGTGACCCATCTTCCGTTTTCCCAGGCGGGAGACGAACGGCGATGCGGAGATATCAAAACCACACGAAACGTGCGAATGCAACATGCGCCCGCGTGCACACGATGCGCAACAAGAAGCGATCCAAAAGAAGGGGCGGCGAGGACGAGGAGGAGGACGACACACGCAAGGGTCTTACAGAGATGCCGTGAACAACAAGGGGGAGGAGGGAGGAGCTCGCGGTTGTCAGATGTGAGCTGGTGGGAACCGCGAATCTGCATGATTCGCCCGCAATCCTTGGGAGCTCATGAGGGATGATGATGATGATGATGACGACGATGATGGGTCGCTTGCTTTGCTTTGCGTTGCTTGCTCTGCTGGGTATGTCGAGGACGAAGAAGGAAGAAGGGAGAGAGTAAACGGGCGTGATCCACTGATCCTGCCGCTATCTCTCCATTTTTGGAACCATATATACATGCATATCGCGACCCCAAGAAAAAACCAACCATTGACGTTAGCTTTGTACTAGACTTAATAAGAAAGTGTTAATATGACGAAAAATTCAAAATTAATATATTGATGATAATTTTATTTTAAATTAATTTTTTATCATGAAAAATTTTAAATTAATACGCTTGTTATAATTTTATCTCAAAATAATATTTTGATCACTAAAAACCCTAAACTGGTACATTTGTGACAAATTTACCCTCTGTTAGTTTCCGTTAAATTGGATTAATAACACAAAAAAGCACAAACTGATACACCTATAACAAACGAAGGGTAAAACATAAAACTCTCACATCATTTAACTGTCACTTGTCATTTAACAAAGCAATTTGACAATAAAATTTAACGTAAACAAACCGAGGGTAAAATTATCACAGGTGTACCGTTTGGAATTTTTTGTGGTCAAAAAATTAGTTTAGAATAAAATTATCACAGGTGTACCAGTTTGAGGTTTTTTCGTGGTATTAACCCTATTAGAAAATATTTTCCCAAAAATATCAGCTTATATCGTCCATAAAAATGAATGATATCTTCAACCTTCACCATAATATTTAAGTTAATATCATAAAAAAACTCAAACTAGTACACCTGTGATAAATTTACCCCAATTCCAATCTGGTACACCCATGACAAATTTGCCATCCGTTAATTTTTGTTCAATTTTACCGTCAAATTGCTGAGTTAATTGACACGTGACAGTTGACGGGAGTACAAGTTTGGGGTTTTACTCATCTATTTGTCACAGGTATACCAATTTGTGATTTTTCGTAGTATTAATCAAATTTAACGTATTAATTGAATTTAACGGAGAGTAAATTTGCCACAAGTTGACCAGTTTGGGGTAGTTTGGAGTAAATTTGTTACATGTGTACCAGCTTGGGGTTTTTTGTGATAAAAAAATTAGTTTGGGCTAAATTTGTCACAAGTGTACTAATTTGGAGTTTTTCATGGTATTTATCCAAAATATTTAGATATAAGTACAGATAATAAAAATATTTTTCATTGATTAATTATTTCGAGCGATACGAGTAATTATTTTTGAGAAAATATTTTTAAAATTATTTATTTTTCGTAAAATAAATGAAGCCCGAAAAGCGAAATTAAAATAAGGAATTGCAGTGAGACATTCCGTCAAGCTAACATCTGGTGTGGAATTTTACGTTTTGAAGCATCCCAAAATGTCTGACCTAAATAAAAGAAAGCATCCCAAAACGACGGTGTTTCTTCTCGGGCAGGCCTTTTTTTTTTTTCCTTTTTTTTCCTTGAAATAAACGCAATTTAGGGGTCGTATCAAGTGGCTCCAAATGGGGCAATTTGGGGAAAATCAAGTTGGAGGCAAAAATGGGTTTGCTAGGGTTCTTGTGAAGGCAAAATTTGCAAACCAAATCACATTCGGAGAAACCACTATTCATCATTAGTGACGACTCCGTTCGATCGTGATTTCATTGCACAATGGCTCCGCCAACCACAGATTTCGTCCAACATCATTCTTGCCTTTGATTGCGCTCGATGAGATCGCTCCACGTGGTAACGGTCCATGTAGGATCCATCGGATATGGGCTTACCACATCATGTGACACGTAAGATGCCAGTAACAATAAAATTCGAACGGAATTATATTAGATAATAAATTGAAATGACATGTAATATATGAGGAAAAAAAACAATCGCATGAAATGAAAGGACAAAGTTAGAAAGAATGCGGGATTTCGAGAAGTTATAGTGAGGAAAAAAAGGATAATAACACATATGATACTTAAACTTTAGCTCAATATGTAATGCGGTTCATAAACTTTTAATTTGTTCAATATGGTCATTGAACTTTAGCCCAATGTACAAGGCCCTCCCTGAATTTTTTATTTGTTTAATGTGATCCATGAATTTTCGGTAAATTTTCAAACTAGTCCTTAAACTATATTGAAAACATCCAATGTTATATTTCTATCATTGAACATTTTTATATAGTTCAAGGACTAGTTTGAATATGTATCAAAAGCTCAAAAATTACATTGAATAAATTAAAAATTTAGAGATTATATTATATATTATGTCAAAATTTAAAAATCGCTTTTTTTCGATGAAAAATGGTCAATTTTGTGACAACCATTCAAATCTACCTCTTTTATATACAGTGGGCCCCGGCCGGGGCCTATGGGATGTCGAATGGATGGATGGATAGATAGATCGAGGCGGGGACGAAGACCGAGAAAGTAGATTTGATTCGCGATTTTTGACCATATGGTGAGGTTTGGTGGCAAGTAAGCCAATGAGATCCGGCCACGTGTGCGTGGGAAAATTGGATGGACGGACGGACGGACGAGATTGAAGGAGGCACGTCCAGCGTGACGATCACGATCGTGATGTCATTTGGCCTCTTCGATTATTTCGATCCGGACGACTTTCTAGAATCCATTTTGCGGAGTCTCCTTTGCGAAAACGACCTCAAGCTCTTTCATTCGTAATTTTCCCCATGTTTTTTTTTTTGAGGACCCCGTCTAGTCAATATTCATTTAATATATATGACCAAAATAAAAAAAAATGTTCATTTAATAGCTAATTTGTTTTTAAATTGAAAGTAGTTAGTTGGCTGACCCTTGGTTTAATTGGTACGCCGCGAGAAAATAGAGATGGGTGGGTGGTCGAGTCCATGTGTGCACGATAGAAAGCGCCAATAGACAAGCGCCACCTAGCTACTGTCAAGCTAGCAGCTAAACTTGGCCGGCACGCAGCAAAGCGTTGTAATTTCCGTCATTGGGTGCGTGGCCTCATAATGGCGAATGGATTGCGACTTGTACGGGCATAGAGTTTTTTTTTTTTTTTGTCGATCCTACTCTATCTCTCACACTCACGATACACACTCAGACTTGCGCCCCACCTCTTACAGGGCGTGGACGTCGAAACCCACATCTTAAACTACGCGGCCCCACCCCTATCCCTTGCGAAGGTGGGGATTCGAACTCCCCACTTCCCCCTTCTCAAGTGAGAAGGGTGGCCACTGGGGTAAACCCCCAGTGGTAAAACTTACGGGCATTGAGTTTGCGAGGTCCTTGACATGCCGTCAGACGGTGTAACATGGACATTGGCTAAACCAGTCCGTACGCATCAACATGGGCGTCCACGTGAGCATTTGCAAAATTTATCCGCATCATTTGTTGGCATCGTTCAACGGCCCGGCCCCATCAATTAAATTTGATCGGATTTGATGTCGGAGAAATTTCATGAAAATAGAATAATTTGGTTAAACAAATTAAAGATACGCGGACTTAATTCGAGAAAGCATGGAGGACGTGAACGACAAAGTAGAACTTTTCTCTCTCACAACCTTAAGAACATCATTATGTGTCTCGACCGCCGATCCCTCACATGCTCGGACCCTCCCTCCAGTCAGCATTTTATGTTGACCCAATATTTTTAGGACGACGAGGGGTCAGATGAGAAACTCCGTGTAGAGAGGAAAGATTTTCACCGGAGTTATATTTGAGCATTCAACCAACTACACCGCGGCCTTCCAAGGAGAGGCTGCTCGACCACGACCGGCCCCTAATCGGGTCGATCGGAGCATTTCCCGAAATTCATAAGGTAGTGGTGCGGCTTTCGAGCAAAGTGTCCTTTTTTTTGCCAAAACCATTGCAAAGACAATGAATCTGTGGGTCTTAAAGAGTGGCAAAGAACCATCTGCACCGTTCGGAGACAGTCTCTTTACCTTTCTTAACAACATTGCACAAGAAACACCAGTTTGGTCGGTTCTCTCCAACCTCTGAGATGGAGACACTAGGTTGGACAAACTTTAGTTTGCATGACACCCTTAGTTTGAATAGCCTCTTTCTTATTCTCCTTCTGCTATGCCTGTCGCCGAGCTAGATAATAGGCATACATTGGCAAGAGAAGGAAAATCCGAGATCATATTCCAGATGGTCACGGTGGCGAGTTTTTCATCTAGCCCTTCGTGAAAAGCCAATCGAAGCAGCTACAATTCCTTGAAGACCAAAGGCATTTTGTCCAGTCGATATGAAGAATGCCTTGCTTGACATATATTACTTTCAAGCTATATTATTCGGCAACAAGTACATACAGTGCACATTCAGCTCAAGCTCATCAAGTAATACCTCAACATCATCTCATCTAATACCAGGAAAAGTGTGAAAGCGAAGCCAACTCATACCTACAGCGAGGGATTCGCTTTCCATTCTGCTTCCCGGTCACCATATTTTTGCTTTTCCTAGCTCTCACAGACTTTTATCTTTGACACCAGTTCTTGCTCCATCAGGAACAATTTCCCCAACTTTCACATACTTCTCCATGAACTTGTATTCCCAATCCTGCAAAACTTCAAGCTCAGACTCACTCAGCCCCTCAATGTTCCCCGTAAGATCTTTTGGATCAAACGACATTAATGCTAACGCCCTGCTCGCATCTCTTCCTGCAAACAAGGCATATGGCCCCCCTGGACCATAAAACATCCTGCACCGAATTATCACAGAGAGAGAGAGAGAGAGAGAATCAGATTCCCACTGAGAATAAATTCAACAAACATTTGCACGGTGCACAACTTCATCTGATGCAACCATTTAATCTCCCAATGAATCATATGCCAGCAACTTTAGGGTGCGTCTCATTTCCGTATCCTCGGCTATAGATTGGGAGTTGGAGCCTCCAACTCTAATCTTAGTGATTTTCAGTACAATGCCAATGAATGCGGAGTCCAAATGCAAGTAAATTAAACAGTCTACTTCAGTTCAGCCGAGAATTTAACACTGCTTTTACTTGCCCTTACAGTTTTATCACCACTCGGCGGCATTCTTCTCCGTGAGCTTATTACACGGACTAAGCATTCGAATGCCAAGTCAAACAGACAAACGAGATTCAAGCCACACCAAATTACGGAATTCGACTACTGTAGAGAATAGTTGATACCATTACCAGTTAGACGAAGGAAATTCGATCTCACTTCCCTGTCCAATCCACTTGCACAACCTCAGGGTTCCAAAGTCCGACCGCGAATCCCTAATACTGACATCCGATTCTCGTACCGCTAATCACAACCCTATCACTTTACTGCATGTATTTAAGCATCCATGGAGCTTATCTGGTCATCTACTGTCGAACAGCGCATTCAACACACACATGGTATCGGCAATCAGAAAGCCCAATCAGTGGTTCAATCATCGCATAAACCAAACTCAACCAAGATCCAACAAGCAGATACACCCAATCAGCACGCACAGACATCGTCATGTACCAGAAACAAGGCAACGAATGCTCACCTGGAGCGAGAGACATCGTAGATCTGGCCCTTGATCGCCATGAGAAGCGGCTTGCTCGGATCGGAGCCGTTGTAAGCCCGCAGCTGCTCCTCCGTCACGTCCCCGAGCTGGACCGGCTCGGCGGGGACGGTCGGCGGCGGCGGCGGCGGCGGCGGGGCGGCGGACGTCGTGGCGCTCGCCGCGGCCGCCTTCTTGTCGAGATCGTCGTCGGGGTCAACGAACATGCCGCACACCGCCTTGTAGACGGCGACCATGAGGGCGAGGATGGTGAAGAATGCCGCCGGGGAGAGGCCCGTGTACGCCGCTATCGCCTCCGTCGCCGCCGCGTGAAGCCCCATGTCGAGAGAATCTCGGGGAGCCGAAACATGAAATGGTGATTAATCATCAGCTCGTCGACGTCCATTCGCACGATTTACCTACCACGCCTCCGGCTCACCTACTTTAACTCGCAGGAGGCAAATGACAAAGATAGGAGGATTTAATGCACTTAAAAAAGACTTAAAAGTTGTGTACAAAGCGTAATTGAGTTCTAAAATTTTTTAAAAAGTGCAATTAGATCTTAAAATTTATCACAAAAATATAATCGAGTACTGAAAATTTCAAAAAGTGCAATCAAATCGTAAAATTTGTCATGAAAGTGTAATCGAATTCTAAAATTTTCAAAAAGTACAACCAACAGAAAGATTTGATTGTGCCAATTTAATAGTTTTAGGACTTAATTGCACTTTTGTGATAAATATCAGAACTTCCAATTCACTTATCTCAAAAATAATATGTGTGAGATAAATAATTGTTTTTTTTAATTAATCCGTTTATTTTGCCAAAATAAATTATTTAAAAAATAATTTCGTAAAAATAATCACTTGTATCACTTGAAATAATTAGTTCATGAAAATTTTTTCATTATCATCAACAATTTATATGTAAATATTTCCATGGACGATAAAGTTTTTTTTTCTTTTTTTCATTTTTATAAGCGATACCAATAACCATTTTTAGGAAAATGTTTTCCAAATAATTCGTTTTTCGCGAAACGAACACATTCAATACGTTCGAATTTTTCTTTAAACATGATGTCAATTTTAATTATAGACCTAATTTTGGGGTTTCAAAGTATGTACATGTACCCTAAAATGACCAAAAAAACTTTTTAGATTAATTTGGTCCAATTATGTAAAGACCCCCTCTACGAAATTACTTTGCTAGACATAAGTATTGAAAGTGCATCATTGAGATCACAAGTTTCGAATAGTGAGATTTGGATTTCAACCTCGAATTCAAAGAGGTGTAAATTATAAAGATGAAAACGATTATAGGATGCAAATCGACCACAAAAGGTGTTAAGAGCGGTTATTATTGTTTATTTTTTTTTATGAAAAAGTTTAGGAAGAGCGATTATTCTTAATTTAGCTAATGAGATGTGATATTTGAGGCAGGGAGCTTTGTTAGCACACTATACCATATCCCATTAGCAAATTGATTTACACTATGTCTGTGTTCTTCTCCTAATGTAAAAGCGAAACTTGTAGATCACCTCCGATCACTCTTTTCCTCGTCTCAACTCCCTTTGTATCATTGCTAATCATCCGTCATCGCCACCGCCACCATCTTCAGCATCCACAAGAGCTCATATGCGCCCTCAACGGATCTTGCGTGGGGAGCTTGACAAAGTGTTGAGCTCGAGTGGTGGCGAGCTTTGGCTAGAAGCAGGCTTGATGGCTATGCTCGACAAGGGCTAAGTGGCGGTTAGAGAGAGAGAGAGAAGTGTTTTAAAGTAACTATCAAGTTAATGTGAACATGTGATGTGCAGAGCACAAGCCCCATTAACTAGGCGTCCTGTCAAACGTATTCCGTCCAATTCATTTCTCTTAATATCTTGCAACCTTAGGTATCATGAAATCTCTCATGGCACAAGAAAGCAAGATGGGAATACACATCTTACATAGCGCATAACTACTGTGCGGACTATACAATGCCCTTTTTTCTTGATATGAACATCCGTAGAGATCAATCAAACAGAGTTTGGATATAAAAGTTCTATAGATGTTGATGATTGGAGGGACTATAATGCCATTTTTTTGCAAGTGATGCTTCCTATATCGAATGTATCGTTGCTTTATGCAACTAATTGTTTGCAATCCCTGTAAGAATCAAGGCAACAAAATACCAACTATCAATATCTATAGAACATGTGCCCATGTCTTATTCAAGTAATAATAATGTGTGTGTATTTTCCAAGGTTAACGAGTCATCCGTCATTCTCCATATACAATCCCAAGTGTATATATCTATCTTATCCAGTTCCATTACATCTTGATATCTTATTAATGATCGTTTCACATGACGGCGCACGCGTGGACGTTGTCGTCGCTGAACATGAAGACAGTGTTGTCATCGACGGTGGAGTATGCCTGGTTGGGGAAGTAGCCGTGGATGCTCTCGTTGAAGCCATGGCGGTAGTAGTTGTAGGTGGTGGAGTAGGTGGACTCGTCAAGGTACTGGGCGGCGTACGGGTAGTACTCGCTGTCGTACGGGTAGGGCCAGAACTCGGCCTTCCGCCCCGTCCTCCTCACCACCTTCAGCACCTTCCGCTGGTCGACGTACCCCGTCACCGTCACCTTCTGCGAGTCCATGTCCACCTCCACACTGTCCACTCCTACATTAGGTGCATTGCACAAGTAGAGCGAGAGAGGCAGAGTTACTTGCATATGCGTACCTTAACGATTATTAATAAGTCTTATTTAAATGTGTTTCGAAAATTCAAAGTTTATTATTTGAAGTAAGCAGCTTTATTAAAATGAGTAATTTTTTTCATTTTCAAATTGTCTTGGAAAATATTATTTCTACGTTTACTTAACTTAACCAAATGCCACAGAAACACTTAGTAACATGACCCTTTGTTCTTTTTATGTCGAGGAAATCTACATATATGTGTGTTCAACATGTACCTTATATGTCCAGCTTGAGGCCTTCAATTTGTACTGTTCAATTATTAGTGAAAATAATCAATGATGTTGATTTCCTTGTGAGTAGATAATTGTCCTTAACTTGTGGGAATTCTTTGCTGCTATTCACATAAATAAGGGGAATATCATCATGATGATCATGAGAACTATAAATTGACAAAGGAAATGTGTCTGTGGACATCATTCCCTTACTAAACCATGGACGCTCTCAGTCAGATTAAATCGTGTCTTTATTTCTTTATAATCAAGGAGCGCGGGTGCAGTGACGCGATTTCCTTAAGACTCATGAAGTACCTTAATTAGATTAAGTTTTAGATTCATGCATAACTTCTGGAAAGCAAATCCGATCAATTAGATCCTTCGAACTAGGTAGAATGAAGTTCATTTTGAAATTAGGTAATAATCAATTTGGGAGATTGCATGCCTGTGCTGAAGAACTTTATACTGAAACATGCATAAAAATGTTTTATGTGCAGTAAATATCATATATGGAATGCGTGCATGGTTGGATGGTAATAACTTGATTATGCATAAATCCTAGCCGTGATAGATATGCATGAAAAACCATGCAAACGATGAAGAAGATGAAAACCCATCACTTAGTGCATCAAAATATGCTGTTTCAGATGGTTTTTTCAGGAGCAGAATCTTGCCATCTATTTTCGATACTGCCCTTCGCACCCTCTTCTCGCACCCTTCGCAGTCCATGTGCACCAGAAGTTCCACAATCTATAAAACCCCAACAGTAATGATAATGATAATCGCAAACTATATAACATAACTACAATAATGCGAAGAAAAATCAATGAAAATGGCGATTACTATGATCTGTATGCAATTGTAAACAAGACTTAGCCCTTGCAAAACCTTGGAGAAAGCTAATCACGAGCAGTTTCAACGAGTCGAATCAAGATCAAGAGAGAGCACTTACGGACAAAGCATTTGATATTTCTTTCTTACTGGAGCCCCAACCAAGCATGAGTGCGACCCGATATGTTCCTCCCTTGCCAGATCTGAGGACGATGATTGCCCCCTCGAACGCGCCGTTTAAGTTTAAGGTGGGATTTGGCGCTCCTCCTCCTGTTTTCCCTCTCTCTCTTTCGAGAAGATGAAGATGGGAGGGTGGTCTGGATGTGGAGCTCGCGCGTTACCTTCTTCAAGATGACGACAGAAGGCATTTAATCATGTGCGCCGGCTTGAGATGCATCCAACCCAATTTGCCAACGCCTCCACGCCTAGGAATTTCCAATTAGAGATTGAGAGATTCATGCTGCGGAATATTGTCCGAGAGAATGTGGGAGAATATGGAACGACCAATGTGAATTCGTCGCCGTTGTGTTTGTCGATAATATGCCAGAATCTATGTCCCGCTTGGTCGAGATCATATACACAGCGAATAATGGAAAAGTAAGTTCCTTAGAAAGTAAGATGGTGGCCTTATTCTCCGGAAAAATGCACAGAATACAAAGATAAAAAGAGCAGACGTCAAGCATTGGTTAATATTAAAAGAACGATGACATTAAGAAATAAGAATGATGTTTGTGGACTGTGGAATTGTGGGATCAAACGTACGTAGTATTACAGCTTGTTTGGTGTGTTTGTAGGGTTTCTTTAGACTTGTACGCAAGAGGGAATTAGCTTGTGATAGCTCATACGCGGTGTCGTAGAGCCCAGCGAACCTGGTTTTACGTTAGCTAAACTTCTGTCATTTCGATTAACAAGCACCGACGGTGGTGCTATACTTCGATTCTACGTCTGCATGGCTGAGCTTGAATCTTTTCCGCGGGGCTGTTACGCGCCGCGACCATCTCGGGGAAGCACGGGACTGTGCGGGTTTTTCTCCGCCGGTCATCGGTAAGAAAAAGGAAAGTCCTTGTTGTCATATAATGCATCCACCATTTGACATGTTGATGCAACGCCATACATTATGTGCCCTCATTCATTGTGATCCTAACGGGTTATGAAAACATTAAAAGTCATCCGGCGTGTAACATCATATAGTCAGTCATATGGCGCATAACATTGTATATCAACACGTAATACACATGATGTGGGAAAATTATCTAAAAAATCATAAATCTATCGTACGACTGCCAATTCAATCATAAACCTTTTAATTATGTCAATTTGTTCTTAAACCTTTTAACAATTTGTTAATATAATTCTTCCAATAAAATCATTCAAATAATAGGTTTAGGACAGAATTGACAAATTGTCAAAATGTTTAGGACTAAATTGACAAATTGAAGGTTTGGGATTAAATTGACAAACTGTCAAAAGTTTTATGACTGAATTGGCAAATTGTCAAAATCTTTAAAACTGAATTGTTAAAATTGAAAGGTCTAGAACTGAATTGGCCGCTAAATAATAGATTAATGACTTTTTGGACAATTATCCCCACATGATAGACATTGTACATATAAGAGTTTCTCATAGGGGAAAAGCGACATGGCAAAATTGAAATCATCATCGACGTCAAATATGTGTTACATATTTTGAAGTTCATAAAATCTATCACATCATTTACTATATCAATTCTAAGTAGATCAATTTTGATGTATCTAGCATTGCTCTTGTTTCCGTCACCAATATCTATCACATATAACATGTTGCATCGCCAGTCTTGCATGGTCTTAATTTTTTTTGAAGTAGGAAAAAAGATTTTTTTTAAGTGGGTACTTTTTTTTTTTAACAAGTAAATGGGTTACATTTTCTATGCTTTTCGACTTCATTCCAACTATCCATGTTCCTTATTCCCATTACCTTTTGTGCTGGGTCATTCAAGTTGATGGCAGGGGCTTCTTTCAATAGGGGAATAGTATAAATGGATAGAAAGGAACCCTTGCACATAATTCTTATGAAGCACATGTTGGTGTGGTGGCTTCTCACACACACACAATGTCTGCAGCTATCATCAGGACCATCTCTTTAGCATATGCCCTTTTCAAGTGTAGCCTTTCATAAGTGATTGCTTGCCCTCATAAGCTGAAGCACATCTCTCCAAATTTGATGTTCCTTTGAGTTGCAATGTGGTATGGAATTGATACCCTCCCCTTCGGCCCATTGATAATCTTATATCCTTTTTATAACTTTTAAAAAATAGTCACACCACAAACACATCGTGCCATGTTGGATGCATGTGTTCACAGACACGCGTGTATACAGGGATCATGGGATTATTCCCCTAATTGAGTACTACAACAATGATGTAGTTGCAGGGTTTTTTGAGAGTTGAAATTTAGGAAAAAAATAGAAAAACGTAGCTCACCTTTCACCCAAGTACCACTTACATGTTTCTACTTTTAGAAGTACCAAGGCCATTTGAACCTTCACATAGATTATCCTCGGATCTCTGTTTATGAAAATGCAATTTTCTTTCCGAAATGCCCATCCCTGAATCCTAAATTCTTACATCTATCCAAAACGCTCAAAACCAACTACAAAGGCAAACCATCCAATTCCCAAAGAAAAATGACAAAAAGAGTTTGCAAGGAGGGGCAATTTTGGTCTTTCAATGAGTGATTTATCTGGAGGTATGTGAATAGTATTTGTAAAGATAGAGATATGTAAGTGATCAATGGGTCAAAAGCTAGATATGTCTTTGACATTTTCCCCTTAATACTCTTTTCGCCTATTAAATAGATTAGAGAGAAGGAACCCAAGCAACAAATTCAAGAAATTTGGATGTTCTCTTAATATTGATTAGATATGGAAAATTGACTGTTTTCATCAATTTAGTTAAGTTTATAACACCTTGAGTGCAAATGCACATCAAGCATTCATCTATTTCTCTTGAAATTTATAGCCTTTAGGTACTATAAGAGCATTTGATTCCGTCACTCATCTACTTTATCAATCCAGCCACGCTCGATCTCATCAAGTTAATGGAAACATCTTTACAAGGAGATTAGTAAATTTGTCAAAGTAAGTCATGAATCAATTTATTAACTCATATATGATAGGCTGAGTTGTTACGTGGATTAGTTATATTCAGTAAATAGATTTCCTACAATGGGTTATATATGAAAGTGTCTTGGCAACATGGATCATGTCGGATATGAGTTAATAGATTTGTATTACAAATAAATTGGTCATAAATAGGTTATTTTCTTGTCGGATGGTCATAAACAGGTTAATGGGTCAATTTAGGTCAAACTATTTATGACCCAACTCAAACTCGACTCGACCGCCGGTTTGACAGGTCTAGAGATTATTAACTTGATTAGTACACGGGTTGACGTTCAACCTATCAGCGCTAGCAATCCTCTTTGGTCATTACCATAAGAATCACACACATGCTACGGAATGTTCATATCGAACCGTAACTGCTCCTCACCACCGCGGCCCCTGAAAATTCGAGATTGGCGAGACAGTTATCGCAATCCAACCCAGATGGTAACATTAGCCCCCCCACACGTTGGACTCAGGCCCAGGCCCAGGAATAGGCCCAAAATCACTCCGGATCCCGAACGTTGAACCCGATACCGCAACATGGATTCGGGTCTCGGATCTCTCGTGCTTATCCACTGGTTTTTTGCCTTCCCCATTTTTCATTTTCTGTTTTCAGTTCCGTTTCTTGCCTTCTTCTTCTTCCGGTTCCTCTTCCGATCACCGACGGAGAAGGAAAGGGCGGCGGCGATTTCAGCAAACAGGAGGTATGGGGGTTTTCACTCGCTTCTCTGACGATTTCTTTGTCGGTTCTCGTCATTATCATCGTTCAAGCGAGTGATGTCCTGGATAGTTTGCGTCTCGGGTTTGGTGCGAGCTCTTGCGCTCGTGGTTTTGATTGTACTTTCGCGAAAACTGTTCCTGGAATTTGCTGGTGGAAATGAGTCCTCAGGAGGAAATTTTGCGGCTAACGATCGCTTGGGGAGCTCTCTCTTGTGGATTTGCCGGGTTCTTGATTTCCGTGGCTTTGATCTGTCGATGCTAGTAAAAAATAAAAACGGAAAAACCAGCGTAAAATTGTAATGGGGTGATTTTAATGCTGCTTGAAGAGACTTTCTTCCATGGAACGCCTTGAACTTGGTGATGTGTATAGCTGGACAGCGATGAATGGGACATACGTGAGCGTGGCTGCTGCGTCCTAAGATGGGAAGTAGAGTGTCTGGACAATTTCTTTTTTCTTCTTCACGTGAGCAGATGGTGCGTTTGCCGAATGGGGGATGGATCGCCTTCTTACCGTATTTTAGGATGTTAAAGAACTAGTGTATAACTGTATAAATAGTTTATGCTCACCTATATTGTACTGGATGCGTGAGAAGTGCTTTGGAAACTTATTAAGTGTAAACTCAGCAATCCATTCGCTTATTTGGGATGCTAGAGATCAAGTGTATGTATGACAGTATATGCTCCTGTAAATACAATGTGGGAGCATATAGGGATAGATCAACCTATTTCTGAAATTTAGGTTGTTACAGAACAAGTATATATAATAGTATATGCTCCTATGTAGGAGGAAAGGTGTTTTATTAGCTTATTAAGTGTAAACTCAGCAACCCATGAACGTTTCTGGGAGAATCATTCTACTCTATTTCCGTATGAAGCTTTAGGGTCAGGGAAGCTTGTGATAAGAGTTTGAACTTGTCGAGTTGCTTTTGTGTCTCTTTGAAATGTGATCTTTTCTGTGGAGGTGGGGTGTTTTATGGCTGAGCTCCGGTGTATGGCTGATTTCATGAGGATGCCCTCTTTTCTAGTGATTGAATTTGTTATATCAACCATGTATTGTTGTTCTTTCTCTAGATGCTTTGTTCTATAATTTTATTCTGATTCTGTCTACCACCGTCTTCTAAATTCATGTTTGCCAAATCAATCTTGTTATTTTTTCTTTATTGGTGTATTAGCACGGCAACTTAATTCTTGGTTCTCATGCTTCGTGTTGTTACATGAACGTTTTGTGTACTCATGTTAATTGATTCTTTTTAATAGTTTCCTATAGGTGTCGAGCAGAAAGGAGATGAAAAGCCAAAGCAGTTACGTGCCGCCTCCTTATATTCCATTAGATCGGTCTGAACCAGAAGTAGAGACTCTTCCGAGCAGCGGTGACCCAGCTATTCGTCAGCCCATAAGTGCTGGGCCAACACACTGGTCTTCTGGAATCTGTGCTTGCTTCGATGACATGCAGAGCTGTATGCTACTTTCTGTCCTGAGACCTTGATTTATCTGGAGGGAAAGTTATGAAGGTGCATCTTGAGTTAAGAAGATTCGATTGTGTTTTCTATAGAAGTATGATTATATGGGGTTGCTTGAGACTTTGAAGTATATTGAAAAGATAAAATGCTCTGTGTGCTTCTACCTGAAATCTTGGGTTTGTACTCTGGTTAACACGGTAAAAGGTACATGTTCATTTTGGCATAGTAATACTTAGGCGTATATATTCTACTTTTGAGGTTAATATTTCGATTTGGATATATGAAAGGTCCAATCAAACTACAATTTGTTTGATATTGTGGAAATAAGTACTATTTTGATTAAAATTGTAAAAGAGATAATACTTTTCTAGTTTTTGATAGCTTGCACCTAAAACTAAGTGCGTTGTTCATAGAAATTACTATATTCCTATCTGGCTCCCATTTTATTAGGTTGGAAATGAAAATAATTGCTCGTTATTGTTGTATAGGTTGTATAGGTCTTTTCTGTCCTTGCTATCTGTTTGGAAAGAATGCAGAGGTTCTCGGTTCTGGAACTTTAGTGGGATCATGCTCGACCCATTTCTTGCTGTGGGCTCTTGTCAATACCGTATGTTGTTTGTTGACTGATGGCATTTTATTGGGGCTACCTGGATGCTTCGTTGCATGTTATGCTTGTGGCTATCGAAGGGCTCTAAGATCAAAGTACAATTTAGAGGTATGATTTATTTATTTTGTCAAGAATTATAATACCAGCTATAGTTTCCTGCTAGCATTATCCACACTCTGTTTTGAAAGATCTCTCTCACGATTTATATATGGCTCCTATTAACTTAGCTGATCTGTTATCACTGTATCAGTACGGTTGATGATATGAACAATACGTGTATTTCGAACTAGTTCATGCTTAGGGTTTTACATCCACACGGTTATCCTGTCCAGTGGGACAAAGGCACTGTGTGCTTGTGCTATACAAATAAATGTACCTTTGAGGAAGCTTTTAATTACTGGTGGATATGCTGTAGCTTCATGTGCCTGTCTCTGGTAAAATTGCACATCTAGCCAGTTGAAATGGATCAATTCTAGAGTATGAGGTCTTGTCATTTATTTGTAGTGAGAGGCATGCATACTGTTGCCCTATGCCATACAGAGAGTCTGTCGCTTGAATATAAGATTCTAGAGATCGTAGTTTTTCTCATTCTGGAATTCTTTTTTGGAGCAAAATCTGTAGGCAGTTAGATACTGGATTAAATCTCATCCATCCCTGCACTAGAACGGGATAATGGTTAGTTGCAGGTTTTAGAATTATTAGTTCCTGACCGTTAGAAATAATTGCCATAAGAAAAGTTTTGAGTAACATTAATCTTGACTATGGTTAGTATCCTAAAGGAATTGCAACTTTAATGCACTAATATTATATCACTTGATTACCAATGTCATACAAGCTGCACGCCACACCCTCCTACTGTCCAAAATGCCGAAATGTTCTGATTCACCTGACGGATAAATCCTTGATGACTTTCTTTTTGTAATTGGATGCACTTAGTGGCATAGAAAGTGATGCAATTGACGAGTTCAATGAAACTGGCTTTAGCGTCCTATGTTACCTTGCAATATACTTTCAGCAAATAATAGAAACTAGCAGCTTCCACACTGGCTATGGTGTAGTGATGGACTATATCGGAGCTGGTTTATTTCAGCGTAACTAGGGGTGATCGGTTTCCTAACCTAGAATAGGGAACCTACCCAGTAAATCCCAGTTCCAAGGGGAACCAAACCGGCTGGTTCCTGGTGGACTCCCGCGTTTGGGTAAAACTAAAATATAGAAGTTGCATTGTTTCACTACAAAACTGTCTTTGGTTAAGTGATTTTGTGGTTATTTGTCTATATTGAAGACCATAGTTCGAATCGTGGTGAGTGCAAAAAAAAAATTTTCAATAGAGGCTTCAAAACCAATTTAACCTGGGAACCGGCCTGGTTGGATCGGTTTCAGGTAGAACCATTGGTTCTAAGAGCTGTACCAGGAACCGAACTAGTCATAGACCGGTTAGGATCCCCGAAGTGAAAATTGAATCGATTTTCCTGGGACTAGAATTGCCTTGAAACCGAACCGATTGGGTTGGTTCCTGGGTTGAACTGGACTTCTTGTTCACCCCAAAGCTTGACCCTTGGCTCAAACCCCACCCGTAAAAGCAACTGACAAGTTACTGCTTGAAGTCGAAGGCAAAAAAAAGGGTAATAAATAGAGAATTGGATTGGCTTGCATTAACAAATGAAGAGAGTTATAAAAGTTCAAGTCATTAGCCACTAGAATGAAGGGCATAGACGAAACCTAGTAGACGAAATGAAGGTAAGATACTTATGGGAGAAGAACAACAGGATACGTAGGTAATGGGACAGAGGTAGGACAGAGACTACAATGAGTTAGGTTTTTTAGCTTAAAGGCTTATAGAGTACGAGACTATATTGAATTCAGCTTTTTATTACTTTTCCTTACATCCTTTTGAGTAGTAGACTAAAGCAAGTTTCATATAGAAGGGTTAGACAAAAGGCTTTTAGAACCATGGACGGAGGTAAGGATTATTATAGAATGACGCAAACAAAAATGAAAAGCAGCAGCAAAAGAAAGGATCGTATGTGGATTGTCTGTCAATCTGGGCCTACTTAGACTGGCTAACTGAGATTTTGGGTTTATAGACAACCTATGATGAGTAGGATAAAAAATATTATACGTTATGAGATCACTTCTATGTGATGATCCACAGTAGTCTAATGGATAAGGACCTTGCCAAAATAATCGAATTAATGAAAATCGTCCACCATGCTAAAAAAAGGCATTGAAGATGTTTTTTCATAGCGTAGCGTAATATAACAATTATATAAGTATTAGCAGTAAACATTTTAAACTAGGGTTTTCCCATACATGTGAACATAACAAACAAAACCAAACAAATATAGTTAGCATATATTGAAATCTATCTCGTGTTGGTATCAAAATAAATCGCTTCTTGAAAAGACAAAAAGCACCACAAATTGAAACACACTAATTTGCATGTAAAGGCGCTTATTTTAATATTCTAGAAAGAGTGGATGGACTCTTCTATTCTAGTGAACTCGGTCATCGAAGGTGGCAACCTGCCCAAGGAGCTTTTCTTGTTCATTGAGGATGCCCTCTTCCTATTTACGCAGGAGCTTATCTCTCTTTATATAGAGAGCATATAATCTCGGATAAGATTTGGATCGATCAGCGGCTTATGTTCCCAGAAAAGATTAAGCCTTTGCTCGCATTGGAGCTTTTTGTTTTTCAGCCGACCTATTTTTTGCTCAATTTCGCGAAGTTTGTTCGCATTATCCATATTTACTCAATTTCTTTTCTATTTCTAAGACCCCTGTGCCAAATAGAGCTTAAAGAAGCTTCTATTTACAGGCCTTGGAGGGCCACGACTCTTTCTTAAAATTAGTTAGAAGGTACTTTTGGTCGACTAAGATAGTTCAATCCTGGCTTTTCAAGAACTTAGAACCACATCCACTATATTTGAGTGCATTGAGCAATTCTCCCTGTCAGATTTGAGTTCGGAAATCCCGCCCAAAAAGGTGAATGCCGCTACTCGTATTATTTGATTTACTAAAAAAAATGCAACTCACATGGAAGGTTAGGATGGCATGATTAGCGAGTTGGTTGGAAGATAAGGATAGCATAATTGGCTGGATGCGAGTTCCTTGGATCATGGACAAGAGCTATTTGGGTTTAAATCGCTAAAATCAGCTCGACGGACCAAGACTATACGGGCTTAGGCCATTTGTTGGCTGTCATTTTCTGGGCCGAGACTATATGGGCTTAGGCCAAGTTTGAGCCATTACTCTATTAAGACTACCTTTCTTACTAATGATAAGAAAGAGTTAAGGGCTTTCAAGGTCTATAAATAAAAGCTTTTTTTTTAGCTCAATTTGGTATAGGGTACTTAAAAGTCCGCAAGAAAATGAATGTTTATGTATAATACAAAGAGGCTTCACGAAATTGAGCAAGAAATACATCAGGTTGAAAAGAAGAGGCTCCAGTGCGAGCAAAGGCTTGATCTATTCTAGGAATATATTCCGCCAATCGATTCAAATCTCATATGAAGTTATATGCTCTCTCTATAGAGAGATAAGCTCTTGTGAAAACAGGTTAACAACGCTCCTTGACGAACAAAAAGAGCTCCTTGTGCTTGCTGCAACTTTTGTTGACAAGCGATTAGAATGGAAGAGGCTATCGACACTACTTTGCGGATGCAAAGTAGTGTGCTTTATATGTATGGTGCTTTTTGTCTTTTTCAGAAAGGATCCGCTCTGATGCTTACCAGATATAGAGTACTATTTATGGTAAATATCTTTGTTTAGTTTTATTTGTTTTGTTTGCATATGTGGAAATTCCTAGTGTAAAAGGTTTATTTATGTTTATCTAACCATTATTGTATGCTAGTCGATGAAAAAGTCTTCACGACCTTTTCTTCGGCACAGCTGCTGATTTTTCATTAATTCGATTGTTTTGACGAGTTTCCCATCCTTTAGGCTATTATGGATCACTGTACACAAGCAATGTCATAAATTATAATGTTTTTAATGTTGACAGCATGGGCTGATCATCAAACGACATGACGTCCCTTCTTTTCATGCTTTTTTTCATTTTCGTTCTCGATCTCCGTTTTTGCGACTAGATCTCCCTTCATAAAATAGAAGTTTTGAACGTTCATGGATGAAAAATTGGCTATCGGAATCATGTCACCCAGAGCTTTAGAAAAGCACTTGAAAACTTTTAATCAGTTTGGGCTAGACCCTTCACATATTACGAAAAGGTAGTCAAGCTTCATAAATAAGTGGTTTGAATGGTTAAGTCAACTCAACTGTTTGCGTCGCTCTAAATTCTTCCTTACCTTTGTTACACAGTTCCAACTCAACGAACTCTTGTCCCTTTTATTTGGAACTCACTTGCAGTGACTAGATGGAAGGATGTATGGAATAGGAGTAGCAATCAGAATTCGCTGCAATCTCTTTCTCTAAATGTCTCTTAGCTAACTAGCCGAAGTCATTAAAGTTTCTGTCCAATCCTTGTCTCATTACCTACGAACCTTGTCATTTCTGTCCTACTAGTATTGTACTTTCGTTTCGTTTTCTAGGTCTCGCTTAAGCTTTTTGTCACAGTGGTTGTTCGACTTAGTCCTTTATAAATCTCCTTCAGTTAAACCAAACCCTTCCACTTCTGTATCCATTATCCCTTTGCCGCCTTCAACTTCTAGCACTTCAGCCCTCTTCTCTAATAGGTGGGGTTTGAGCCAAGAGGTCCGCAAGTCGTCATGATTGGAATAAAAAATAGATTGAAACAGGAACATATGAGAGTTGGAATCCTCAATCCCTTTTCATAACTTTCTTGCTTTCCTATTAAAATATAAAATATTATTCGAATTTCAAAAATTATGCAAAAAAGTTACATATATGGATCTAAGTGTCGACATTTACATTTTGCAAAAATTGTAAGTGTTTTAAATTTTAAAAAAGAAAAAGCCCAAAGTGCATGAACCACAAGATTTTTTTTTGGTCAAAAAACCGCAAGATTTTGATTAGGTAAAAAATAAACAGTCAAAGTCAGTCTAGATTGACCCTAAAACTTCTAGAACAGTCACAAGATTCCTTTGAACAAATAAGTAGTTTTATGTTTTTAGCTATCAAATGGCCCGTGTGATCAATCATTCATCTCATGCAGGAAGCGCCTTGTGGGGACTTTGTCACTCATTGTTTCTGCCATCTCTGTGCAATTTGTCAAGAATACAGGGAAATCCGTGAGCGATCTGGTGATGCAAACCCTCCTGATCTTACATTAGCAGTGGTCACGGCTCCGCCCGTGCAGACAATGGACTCTCGTCCAAAACAGTAGGGTTATCTTTTAAACCAGTCCTGCAGCATGCCACTTCCTCCTGCATTGACTTCACTTTTGGGGTCTGGTCTCTCTTGATACATCTGTATGGCGCACTGTTGATTGAATCCTTAGGTTAGAACTGACATGAATAAGCCACACTTCATGGATTCTTATTTTCTTTGGAGACTTCGTTTTCTCAGGCGTTATTATAGAGTTGTCTTCAGTCCTTCGCCAGGAGAGAAAGAAACAGAACCATCGGCACTCTTGTATTCTGTACGTGCCTTTTAGTTCATTGTTGCAGGGAGGGTGTACATGATGATTCAGCTTGACTTGTGTTATGGTGTTGTTTGGTTTCATTGGGAGCTTCTAATAAAAGTATATTTGATCTGCGAAGCAAGAGTAAGCTAATTGTAGAGTGATTCGGCTTGCATCTCTACCTCGAAAACAATCTCGCAATTACTTTTTAATCAAAGATGTCGTTGGTCTGGCATAAAATGCAGTATGTTGTTAATGTTGTTTCTTGATAATTCAACAATACGAGGCATAGTTTATTGTAACTTCGAAAATTCTGATATGACATTTTATTGTATCGTCACATGACATTTGTGTGTTGCGCGCGCAAATGCATGTTCATTCGTTTGTGAATTGCTCATTGACACTCTGAAGATTTGGATAGTAGTAGATAGGGCTAGGCGGAACGAGAAGGGTTTTCCATGCAACGCGAAATGAATGCTAACTTATGACATAGTCTTTTACGAGTTTATGTCTTGAAAATCCTATGCTGCATGACACATCGACAAATCAACAAGGTTCAACATTAAATTCGTGACGCGCTCTCTAATTGTGAACGATATAAGGAAGAAATGAACTTGATGTTCAATCAAAAAACGTGCTAGATATAGATTGGGGTTTGCACAGTAACCAAAGTACATGTCACATATAAGTTCGTAAATCCTTGTAAACTCGCACCAAAAATTAAAATTCTGTATCTTGCTATCCTCTTACATGGTAGACAAATTTTCAAATTTTTCTCTTCTGAAAGATAAATATCATTCATTTGAATTATATCGATATCAGAGTCGTGAATAGAACCCACATTGTATGTTTATACACGAAACTACTTTTACTTCTCTCTCAATGACATTCATTTTGTGGGGAGCACCCATATCTCCCTTGTCCATAGAGGCGAAACATCAGACTAGTGCCAAATGTCAATGACTAAAGATCTCGTTGGATACGGACAACTTGATAACTGATGAATACTAAACTAATATAGTCGAATATCAAATCCTCGAAAGATCATGATGCTCCCAATAATTGCTCTTCTTAATTTGCAAATTGACTTGCGCAATCTAACTTGTGGACAGAATCCTAGGACCTACAAAACATAGTATAAAATTACACCATATACTTTCAAACGGGTCAATCTTAACATCACTAGAAGCGATTATACAACTTCTCTAAGTTTTGAAAGCTCTCAGTCCCCCTTCGAAATAAAGTTATAGGTACACACGACCATCAAGCTACATATCGCCACACATTTTCCAGTTTCACGTGTTTCCCACGTATCTTAGAACGTACGCAACGGTTAATTTAATATAACCATCTTAGTCTCCTCATGATGCACGAAACAAAAATCGTCTCAGGAGTTAATATATGAGAACAACAATTCCATGCTTGCACGAAAGAAGCGCCAATTACATCTACTTCGCAAATGCAGCCATTTTAATTCAAAGCACGTTTTCCCTGATGCGTTCTTTTGTCAACAGGACTTCGTGTTGGCAAATATCCCTCTGTCAAACTATTACATATAAAATTAAGCAATTAGTAAAATATTAAGCTAATCACCTCTATCTTCTATATAAAGGAAGCCGTCGAGCTGCACCAAAAGCCACCACTCCCAGATATTCATACTCTCTCCCTCTCGATCGATCGATCTCAATCTCCATCGCGACATGGCCCCGGCGGAAACTCCATGCAAAAGGTATCGAATTCTGATGTTTTTCAATTTGTTCATATGGATATATATATATATATATATATATATATATATATATGTATGTATGTATTTATGTGATTGTGCATGGTTATATCTTGACATTCATCCATGCATATGTACAGATTGCACGTTGCTCGTCTCCTTTGAAAATTTTGATCGTAGACAAAATCTTCCTACAACCATATGCAGCTATTAGAAGTTATATCATATCTTTTGTCTGCGTGAATGATCGTATTATCTAACACGGTTATGCTTCTTTCATCACTTAATAACGTAAACCCTTCGTACCGCAAGATTACTTGATAATATATAAAGGGAGATCGACTTTCCTTTGCATGCTTGGCATACCGAAAAGAGGAGAGCTGATTCAGTTTACTAGACTAGCTTGCAAGATCGGTATACTACAATCACGTGGGAGACTATCGTACTGAATATGACCCACTTGCTTAGATGCTTTCTTACGGTCTATCGTATCACTTGGGAAAAGTGTCAGAAAAATCCTAAATTTTTTGTATTGATGTCAATTAAGTCCTAAATCTTTTTTTGGTGCCAATTGAGTCTTAAACCTTTTATCTTTGTGCCAATTCAATCATTCTGGCTAATTTTGACCGGATTTTATTGACGTGGACGTTGGCCGGCCTACGTGGCACGGCCGGCGCTGACGTATACAATTTTTAATAACCTTTTAATATTTTTGAATTTTTTAATTAATTTTCTGATTTCTTTTTCTTTTTCTTTTTTCACTTCTCCCTCCTTACTCCAGTCGATCGCCGGTCCAGCAACCGGCCAGAGGCCAAAGAACAGAGGCCGCCCACTGGCGAGGCTCGCCCTCGCCAGATGGCCGCAAGGGCGGCCTCGCCGGCCATGGGCGACGCTCGCCCTCGCTAGCGACGGCGAAGGCGAGCCTCACCATGGCTGGGCGACGGCGGCCGGCCATGGGCGAGGCTCGCCTTCGCTGTCGCTGGCGAGGGCGAGCGTCACCCATGGCTGGCCGTCGCCCTCGCCAGCGGCTGTGCGAGGCCCGACCTCGCCGGATCTAGCGAGGTCAAGCCTCGTTGAGCCATGGCAAGGCTCGCCTTCGCCGTCATTGGCGAGGGCGAGCGTCACCCATGGCCGACCGCTCTCACCACTGGTTGGGTGAGGCCCGACCTCGCCGTATTTAGCGAGGTCGAGCCTCACCCAGCCATGGAGACACTCGCCTTTGCCGTCGCCTGGCCAGCCGCCCTCGCCGGCCATGCCACATAGGCCGGCCGGCATCCATGTCAGCAAAGTCCTTTTTTTAAAATTAACCGAAAGGACTGAATTAACATTATATCAAAAGATTTAGGACTCAATTGGTACCCCAAAAATGTTTAGGATTCAATTGGGATCAATGCAAAAGATTTAGGACTTTTCTGACACTTTTCCCCATATCACTTAGTTAAATAATTTTACAAATTGATCAACATATGTGTTGCTCTACTAAGAATGTACTAAACTTCGCTCAATGAATGACGTAACACCCAGGATGACAATATTTATTGTCCCCTTAAAATGTGCGCTATAAACCATCACTGTGACCTACAATGGTGTTCAATTTATCCCTATTACACTTACCATGTACTGAGCTTATTGTAATCTTTGATATCGGATGATACTCGCTTTCATATAACCACTTAAACTTTAAAAATCACTACTTATTAATACGATGGCAAAGTTAGATTCTTCTCTACTTGCCCACTTTACTATTTCATGATGGTGCATGGATCGTTTGTTTATTTTGTTCTCGACTTTTCATAAGGTGATGGTAAAGCTTTCATTTTTCATTTTACATGAGATCATAATTGCACTTTCTTTTAACTCCGTGCAATTGCTCATCCACATTTCATATAAAAAGAGGGTAGTTGTCTCATATTACTTATCCTATGCACTCTTCTCTACTTAACCCTAAACTTATAAATTTAGTGGTGACATACTGAAAAGATCAACCGTAAATCGGAGAAAAGTAAATCAAAACCCTCCCTAGGGCAGTTGCTTGGGTATAAGGAGATTTTCACCTAAGAAATCGGAGTCATCCATTCAAATCTCACAAATTGCGTCCAAACTGCTTTGATCATGCCCATCTACATGATCAAAAGGCCTATACTTAACCGGTGTACGAGACTTGTAGGGTCTTCCATTGGCCTCCAGATAATCTGGTATCTGCGCTTGCGTATCTGGATTATAGAAAAATGTGTACGTATATCTCTAAGTATTTCTCAAACAAGGTGGATGGGCTAATCTTGGTGGTGGGGGTGTGGTGGGTGGCTTCAGATTGGTCAAAACTAAGGGGTTTTCTTTGTCAATCCAACCTTAACGAGGGCTTTCGAGTGTAAGTGGAAATTCCACAGTCGATTGACTTTCAGCCCCACCCGTGGTACTCGGTTGACCCTCTTCTGAATTCCCCTTTACCCAAAAGAAAAAAATAAACAAAGAACAATCCTATCATCTTTCCATCATCCATGCATTCTTGAAACCCTAGCGACTATTAGCTTCTCTTCCTCACATTATACATATGTTTTCAACCACTTTTAAGTGAAATATTTATATTTGTGGATATGATAAGGCTACTATTGATTTCTAGAACATACCGCATGACATGGCACATGCTTGGTGCTACATATTGTAAAGCCGAGAGATCTCCTGATCAGATTTGAAGATCATCCGTTCGAATCTCATCGACTGCGTACAAATTGTTCTGAATCAGAGGCCACCTGAATGTCAAATGACTTAACCAGTTTACGAGATTTGTAGAGTGTTTGGTAGGCTTACATGTAGCATAATCGTCACACTCGCGCCCCTAAATACTATTAACAGATAAAACATGTGAACAAAAAGACTATTATAGGCAGCGGGCAAAATGGAACCAATGGAGATCATAAGTCAAAAGGGTGAGAGAGAGAGAGAGAGAGTTTCTTTTTAACATTTTAATGAGTTTTTTTGACATTTTAATGTGAACTTTCCCAAAGTGCGACAGTATTTACAATGGGAAAAAGGGTGGACGGAATCCAAATCCTTTTGTCCCTCTCACTACAAAACATGGGTGTGGCCCCCTATGCTAGTTGATGATGAATTTAGTTTGGCCAAGCAAATATTAGCTCCTTCTTTTCTTTTCTTTTCTTTTTTTGCTTTTTCTATAGTTGAGTCAGGCAAATATCACTTCTATTCTCCTTATATATACATGCACCTTAGTATTGGAGATGTGCCAAACCTCATTATATAGCGCCCATAATCAAAATCTATAACGTCTCCATCTTTCTGCTCCTAATCGTCTGTCGCTGCATATATTTCGGAAGAGATTAAGCTTTTGGTTATGGCGGAAAATTCGTCTAAAAGGTATTAACATGACATTGCTGAAATGTGACCATGCATGCAACTCGTCTGTTTATTGGCCTTGCTGTGGCCTCGATCGTTTCATGCATGGAAAGGGAATGGAGATTCCAGTGTTATCCAGTTAGGGTTTTTGGTGGTATTGATCTGTGATTTCCCTTCATACAGGTTAGAAGGCAAGGTCGCCATCATCACCGGCAGCGCGAGCGGGATTGGCGCGAGCTCAGCGAGCCTCTTCCACGAGCACGGCGCATGGGTCGTGATCGCCGACATCCAGGACGAGCCGGGGCATGCCCTGGCCGCGAAGCTGGGCCAGCGGGCCTCCTACGCCCACTGCGACGTCTCCGTCGAGGCCGACGTGCGCGACCTCGTGGATGCCACCGTGGCCAAGCACGGCCGGCTCGACATCATGTATAACAATGCGGGGGTCCTCGACCGCCCCTTCGGGGGCATCCTCGACATGTCCATGGCCGACCTTGACCGTGTCCTCCGCGTCAACCTCTACGGGGCCTTCCACGGGGCGAAGCACGCGGCGCGGGCCATGGTGCCGCAGCGCCGGGGCTGCATCCTGTTCACAGGAAGCAACTGCACGGCGATTGCGGGGGTGTCGACCCACACGTATGCCGCATCGAAGCACGCGGTGGTGGGGCTGGCTCGGGGGCTGGCCGCGGAGCTCGGGGAGCACGGGATAAGGGTGAACTGCGTGTCCCCGTTCGCGGTCTCGAGGACCGGGATGTCGGGGCTGGGGAGGATGAGCGAGGCCGAGCTGGCGAAGCTGGACGACGGGATGAGGGTGATGGGCAACCTGAAGGGCCGGGTGCTGGCGCCGGAGGGCGTGGCGCGGGCGGCGCTGTACCTCGCCAGCGACGAGGCGGACTACGTGAGCGGGCTCAACATGGTGGTGGATGGTGGCTACAGCGTGGTCAACCCGTCCATGATGATGGCCCTTGCTGCGGGCCGTTCGAACGGGAAGGTTTGAACGTGCGAACTGCGGATTTACGGGTCCCTGGGGAAAAGAGATCGTGGCCGTTGTTTGTGCTGAATAAGGAAGGGATCGTGTGTCGTCGTGCGCCCTTGGATTTGTGTTGTTGGTCTTGTGGTGCTTTTATCTTTTTTCTTTGTCCCGCCGAAAGCAATTTGATTAGATCTTTAATCAAATACCCTGAGCGGATCTTTCAGAGTCCCAGTTTAGTTTTGGTCGGACTCGTGCTTCTTGTCTGTGTATTTTAAGTAAATCCAAGTACGTTAAGCACGGTAGATTGAATCCTAATCCTACTTGATGCCCACGTCAACCAAAGAATCGTCCCGATGCCATTCCATTCCCCCGGCTTTTGCTCCTTTTAACTTAATAAAATGACTGGAATCGCCGTTTCATTTCATTCCATCGTACCAAACACTATTCGATTTTACTATCAATTAGCTCTCTACCCAAAACCCAAAGTCACGGGTTCTCGATCCGAGATCGCTCTCGACACCCATGACCAGATTGCGACCTATTGAGTTTCCTATGCAGTTTTGCATTTGGTCAGGCATACTTGACTCTTTTGTTTTGTTCGTTCTTGAAATTATATCAGGTGCTCGACATATATCTCGTGAAATGAACCGAAAGTTCACAAATGATTCTTCTATTATAAACGTTTAACCTAAAAATTTAAATTATCCAGTGAGGGACACTACATGTACATAATGCGCATTATGATTCCATGTTTTAAGCGACGTCGAAGTGATGTTTCCATGTAGCTTTTTTCCTTTTTTGATCTTCCAGTTATGCAGCAGATGTTAATAGTCACTAATTTATAGAGTTTCAATTTCCTTAAGTCTATTAGCTTACGCCGATCACAATGCATACTCAGGGTAAGTCTGTTTCACTGAAAATTTCATGATAAAGATAAATATTTTTCATGGAAATTATTCAAGGAAAAACTGCTAATTTTCATTTGTTTGGTAATTTAGAAAAAGCGTTTTCCTTCTTTCTAGAAGGGAAAATTATTTTTCCGCAATCTAAACTTATTTTCAATCCACGAAAAATATATTTCGCAAATCGATGAGTTTTTCATCGTCTAAATATCGAGAAGTCAGAAAACATTTCAGAAAACAGTTTTTCTTCGACAAAGGGACCCTTCTGACTTTCCGCCTATCTTCTCAATACTAGTCAATGACGTGTTCATCGCACATCATTCTTCCATCTCCAAAATGCTCCACAGCCTAATAACATCTATTCAAGCCAAAGGCTCCATCATATGAAAGTTGACTTCTAGCGGCCAGCCTCCCTTTATATTCTCTTCCGAGTGATTGTTGTAATTGCTTAGTTTCCTTATTTTTGTTTGTACTTTCTTACATTGTAAACCTTAATTTTAGCTTATGTTGTTCCTTTGTCTTCTTTTTTTTCTTTTTAGGGCATTATTTTAGCTTCACAGGTGACACTAAATCTCCATTTTATTCCACAGCCACAAACGTTGTACCGATTTTTGAGCTGCTGTTCTTATCTTATTAACCGAAATAATTGCATGTTACATTTACTGAACTATTTCTGTTGTAAATATGCATAATATTTCAAGACACGATACATCAGAAGTTCAGATTGCGCTGGCTTCAAGTTGCGTTCAGATAAAAATTACATTGATCAGGTCTTTCTGTACATTTTATTCGGAGAAAATCGCGTTATACTACTTCATAAAAAGATTCAGCCTGTACATTTTGATGCGGTAATTCTTATGATACCCGCGAAAAATACGGGGACATAACTAGTCATGTGAAAAGCTTGACAACGGGTTATAAGGATGTAACTAGTCATGAGAAAAGCCGAACACCGGATTCGGCAACGTAACCCCTAACTAATCATGTGAAAAGAAAGACGTTCAATGAGAACCTTTAAAGGGAACTCGACTGCTCTTTATATATGTTGGGAATCTTTGGCCGGTGAGGACATATTTGTCCATTTTCTTCGTTATTTTATGTATTACGGCAATTTATGTATTACGGCAATAAAGGTGATATTGTAATTTTGGCATCTTAGCTTTATTATAAATAGCTAGCTTAGGGTCACATTCACCTAAACAAGTATTCAGGTTTTTTTATTTCTCGGCATGGTATCAAAGAAAGAGCTAAACCAAATCCCTAACCCCAATCTCTTTAGTGCAATCTTCTTTTCTCTCTCTATTCTCGCCTTCACCCTCTCCCACCGTAGCTCATTTTCACTTTCTCCTTTGCCCTCTGCCCTCTTTCATAGTGTAGGGCAACGCTAATGAAGTGATTCTTTGAATTTAATGTCTGCCATAAACCTCACATTTATGAGATTAACTAAAGCTTCTTTGTAGTCTGTAATAGGTTGTTCAACCTCTTTGCGATTTTTTGGACCTTCTTGTTTGAGATTGTCTCTGCCTTGCCGCTGACCTATTATTCTCTCGTGTGTGAAGACCAAAGTACTTCAGTTTGTAGACCACCATATTCCTTTTTTTTTCAAAGTCTTTGGAAAAAATATGAATTATTGATTCTTTTTAGGTTTCCAAAACCCTGCAAAAATCGACTTCCATTGATCTTATTTGGATGATTTTTTTGGGACACCTTCAGCCTACTACTAGAGGACTTCAATTCAATGAATTAGCAGTTTTTTATCCCTCTGATCCCATTCTTGATCCAATGTGGAGACAAGGTATGTTCGTTATACCCTTCATGACTCGTTTAGGAATAACCAATTCATGAGGCGGTTGTAGTATTACGGGAGGGACTATAATGAATCCAAGTATTTGGAGTTACGAAGGCGTGGCCGGTGGTGCACATATTTTGTTTTCTGGCTTGTGCTTCTTGACAGCTATTTGGCATTGGGTGTATTGGGATTTAGAAATATTTTGTGATGAGTGTACAAGAAAACTCTACTAGATGCTATTCTTTGCATCCTTCGGTATTTGAAGTCTGCTATTGGGAAGGGATTTTTTTGTCTTCTCACAATGGCTTGAAAGTTAAAACCTAAACAAATGTTGATTGGGGTGGATCTCCTGACCAAAAGTCTATTTCTGGGTATTATACTTTCTTAAAAGGGAATATTGTGATTTGGCACGGCAAAAAGTAAAATGCAATTGCTTGGCCTAGTGCTCAAGCAAAGTTTCATGCAATGGCACAGGAAGTTTGTGAGTTGTTATGACTTAAATGATTACTTGAAGGTCTTAATTAGTATTGCTCACAATCATATACAGCATGACCAAACGAAACATGTGAAGATTTACAAGCGCTTTATCGAATACAGCATGACCAAACGAAACATGTAAAGATTTACAAGCGCTTTATCGAAAAGTTACAGAGTGTTTAATTTGTACTCCCTTTGTTTGGTCTGATAATCAATTTATGGGTTAAGTCGTTTCATCCTACTTTAGTCAAGTTAGGCATGTGTCAGATCTATGCTCCAACTTGAAGAAGAGTGTGAAAAGTATTTGGCCAATGATCTCCATTTCCTTTTATTATTTTATGTATGGCGGCAATAAGGGTGACATTATTATTTTAGCCTCTTGACTATATTAGAAATAGATAACTTGGGATCACATCAATCTAACCAAATATTCAGTTCAATTTTTTTTATCTCTCTACAATATACCGTCTCAACAATACACCGATGCAAAACAGACGAGAAAACAAACACATCATACGATGCTTTACTTACCACAAAAGTTCTCGGACCAGTGATTGATCAAAGCATCTCTTTGAAAAGAAAGAATATGCCATGAACGTGCTCACCGTGCAAATAGCTAAATAGCAGACTGTATTGGCCTGCTGGCTATCGCGCAGAGGCCAACGATATGGCACTCTCGGTAAATTATCAGACTCCATTTACGTCATTCAAATACCTTTAAAAAGTAGCAGAGTCTAGCTCAGGTCTTAACAAGTGTTTATGACAGGATATCAGCGAATTCTCTCCTTCAATTCCAGTACGTGACTATCAAACTTAGCCTGGTGGCCAGTTCATTTGTCGCCCTCCGAGGAGGTGGACGTGAATGTGGTAAACTGACTGACCTGCAATCCAACATCAGGAAATCAAAATTTAAGGTTCGACTCTCAAAAGACCCCATAAAGAGGAGAATCGCAAGCTCAAAATTGGTCCTTACATGCACTTGGTCCATCATTAATCACAACACGATAGCCGTCTTCCAGGCCTTCCTGCTTGGCAACAAGTTTGGCAGTGTAAAGAAGGTGCCCAAGAATCTCACAGTGCCTCTCCTCAGCCTGTGAAGGTAAGCTGACCACGAATCAGGAAGAATTATAGAATAACAACTGGAAGCAGTTGCTGAATCCAGCTTGCGATCATCATGCATAGATCATTCCATTGGCCCGTAATTTAAGAAAAGAGAAAATATGCGATTGCTTACGATGTTCTAGTTTGCATATCTAGAGAGCTTTGTAAAGATGATAATCAAAATATTTTACTGCTTATAAGAATCATGGAAACATTGGAAAACTTATAGACAAGTACCAGACAGGAAAATCTGATCAAGTATCTAATAACTCAGCATTAATATGTCAAGCAATAGAAAACCCAAATACAGAACTCAAAACATGTTGAATGATCATTGAAATAATCATGTAGCCAACAAGAAAGGCCATTCCTGTTAAGTGACACAATGGGACCAAGCCTAGCCATAATCAGCCTCTTGAATTAGCAGTCGCAGCAGAGTTTTCGTGCCAGAGAATAGTTCAATCTGTGACTGTGTTGCTCAACTTTAAAGCCAGGCCATTGAACTACAACATGCATTTATGGCGGTTTTTTGAGAAGAACTTGGAGTCTATCACTATGATCGTCTTGAGAATGCTAACATCTGTCAACTATTAATTAATCTATTCCACATATAGTTCTGGTAATTCTTCTTCAAACCACAGTACTAGGCACACACCCCCTGCGAAGTTATTGGCGGGTGTAAAACACAAAGTCCTTTAGGATCAGTTTGTTTCACGGAAAATGAACGATTTGGACAACATTTTTCTAGAAAAAAAAAATAAAGTTAGATCGCTTGGGATAAATAGCCAATAAAAATTGTTTTCATTATCGATAACTATTTAGGCCAAAATATTTTCATGGACAATGAAAATATTTTTTGTTCATACATTTTTAGAAGCGATACAAGCGATCATTTTTAGGAAAATGTATTCTAAAACGGAGGTTTTCTACGAAACAAACGGACCCTTAAAAAAAATTTCATTAGAGACAGGTTGACACAAAATCCTATCTCGGCAGCCCATTCAATAACCCAAACTATGCACTCTTTAACACATATTACTCAATTAGAATTAGAAGGATAAATAAAAGTAGTATCAGTTAAGTTTGAAACTTAAAGATGACCATACAGCTGGAAATTTTTCTTAACATATACATACAGTAAAACCATTTAAAACAACAAAACTATCCCTGGACCCTAACAAAGAGCTGGCTCGAGCTCAATCAAGATACCAAAAGAAATCCTCTTAGCAAGAATAGCTAGTTAATCTTTAAGTTGACAGTTGGACTTGGGTCAATAGGTGCTAACCAGAGAGTTCCAAAAGGATGTAAGAGTAGAACAGGAAATACCCTAGACAGTCCAGTTAACCCATCCTTCACTTTTGGGATGATCAGAATGTGTGTTGGAGCCTTAGGAGAGATGTCCCTGAAAGCCAGCACCTATTCCAGAAGAATAATACAAACAACAAAACCTTTCAATCAAGAAGATCAACAAATTCCTTCACACAAAAAAAAGGCATGATTATACTTTACCAGTAAGCAGATAAGACGTGAAGTTAATTCTCGAAACCACAAAAACAATTCTACAAGAACAGTTTAAACACCTATCCTGTAATCTAACTGTGGAAAAATGCCCAGCCCAGCCAGAAACTTCTGGTTGTTGATGGAAACAACTGAACCTAAGGTGACGATTCATCTAAGATTTCCTTGTTAGGGTCACACGGCAGTTTTTGTATTAGGCAAAAGCATGAGAAGTTGATTCATACATAGAACAAAATGAATTTTATCATATTGCAAACAACTTCAAATGTTCATGCACGAGTAAGGTCAAAGTTTCTCATCTCTAGCGCATATTATCATCTAGTATAACGCTGTACTGTGTAACGTGTCTCTTCATAACTGTCACCTGCCATCTCCTCTAGTCCAGTTCCATGCAGTCCAAGACACTGAGGTCTAACAAAATTCCGCCAGTCAGAGACATCTATTAAAAGACTAGCTAACCTCTAGCTGTAGGAAGGTGACAACAAGTGATGTGAAGGATGCCGAAAAAACTACTACCCTAACTCAAGCTCTTGCTTAGAATTCAACATAAGCCTCTCTCTCGAGTCCACGATAGATGCAACACACTCGTGCATAAGCCCATCTAATCACCTCGGGGTATACTGATGCAATCCCAGAGGTAACCACATGTTTTTATTTTGCAGGTGTAGGAACACAACCTTTAAATCATACTGTGACATCAAAAGGACAAAAGAAGTTGGAGAATAGAGTGAGACTGGTGCTTCGGCCACGGAAGAACAGGGCAACGACAGCAGAAGAACAAAACTAAGCAGTGTCGAGACGAGATGGAAACAGTCGAGAGTACCTTATCATCCTCAAACACAACAGTGGAAGGAATTTCCTTCTTAATGATCTTGTCAAATCTGCATGTCCACATAATATATACCAGATCAGCATCGCATTAGGCCCAAAAGAAACTCCCTACATAGGCATTCCCCATGAATCTAACAACAAAATCAACAGAGATGTGATTAAAAGGAGGGCAGGGTTCGCAAAATTGGATCTTTCCAACTCAAAAGAACCTCGGCAGCCTACAGCCCGAAGTCCATGCTCGATCAAACGAAAGAGTCCCGGGAAAAATTCGAAAATCTCGAGCGTGCGTGCTCCTCAGACGATTATCCCATCACACCAAGAAACAAAAGGGCCCACGTCAATCCACTACGCAAGCCCCCAACACCAATTCTCACTACCCTCGAGCTCGATCAGCCCGGTCACCCCACGACCCACGAGCGACAGACCCCGCGTCTAATCACTCGACTACACCCATAAACCGTTCGAATCGAAACAGCAATCGATGCCCAGAAAATGGGTGTAGAAGGAAGAGAACCCAATCGAGAGCGCGAGCGGCGGAGCTCCCGCCGGAGAAATGCCGTACGGAAGCGAAGACCAGTCGGAGCAGAGAGAGCGAGAGAGAGAGAGAAGGGGGGGGGGGGGGGGAAGGGGGGACTTACATGGTGGGAGAATCGGAGGGAGCGGCGGCGGCGGCGAGAGCGGCTTCCTTCTCAGACGCCATGAGAGGGTTGGGCGACAGATGAGAGCTCACCAGGGCGAGCCTACATATAGAGCGCGAGGCCATCGCGCTCCCCTTCTAGAAGCCACCACCGCCACTCTCCGCTCACTAAAACCTTAAACTCCACGCCAACAGGCACGCGACATCGCTGATACAGAGATGGGGAGATGAGGGCGCTCACATGATAAGTACGGGGTTCGACTCCCGCTTATTTGTTTGATATGTGATGATAACATTGGTAATTGCTATGGTAAGAATTACTTATAAGATACGTATCGTGTGATTTTAATTTTCAAAACGAAGATTGATTTACTTGCCACTAGACCCGTCGAACGAGTGGGTCGAGATAAAAAATAGTCCAACCCAAATATATCCATTTAACTCGATTTTCATGCGAAGCAAATTCAGTGACCCGTACTCAATCCAACCGTCCTAACCCAATATTAATATTTCCATAGAAAACTCGTACCCAAACTAGAAGAGAGAGTACAGAGTGAATGAGTGAGGGCGAAAGAGTAAAAAGAAAGTTATAGAGATGGGTTAGATTTAAATAAATTTAAGTTATTATGTGAGTTAAAAATTGGTATATGGGCCATTTTGATATGTCTACTTACCACGACATTAAATAATCAGTGATATGTTATCAAATGTGAAGATAAAAGTTTTACGGCTAAGCATGATTTTAAGTTTGATGAGCTGAAAAGGCGGAAAAATGTCATGGCTAGTTCCTGAACTTTTGCTTGAATGTTCGATGTAATTTTTGAAGGTTTTTTTTTCAATTTGGTCCCTAGACTTTTTAATTAGGTCAATGCCATCCTTTTGCTGAGTAGACTACAGGAAATTGTTGATATTGGCGTCTAACATCGATAAGGGCCGTTTGGCGCGTCTTAGAACAGTGAAAATTTGTTCTTTTGTTCGAAATAGTTTGGAACAAAATGCGTTTAGTAAACTTTTTGTTCCGGGCACATTTTGTAAAAATTTGTGCTTAAAAACGATTTTGGAAGAGAAACAAGAAGTAAAAAAAGTTGCTTTTTGTTTCTGGCACAATTTTGAGAATCGGTTTTTTTCTTCTTTTTCTTTTTTTCTTTTCTTATTTTGTGTTGTTCTTCCACAAATTTGGAGCTTCGCCGTGGCAAGCCACGACCAGGCCGGCGAGGCGAGGCGGACCCTCGCCGTCTCTAGCGAGCCGACCTCGCCGTCGCGGCCGACAGCGAGGCTCGGCCTCGCCGTCTGGCGAGCCGCCTCGCCCGGGCGGCGAGGTCCGGCCCTCGCCCTCCGGCGGCCGACGAGGGCCATGACGCCCTCGCCGGCCTGAGCCGTGGCCGGTCGCCGCGGCCGGCCATGGCTAAAGAAGAAAATGGGTAGAAAGAAAAAAAAATTAAATAATTCAAAATATTATTAAAATATTATTTGAGAACAGAAATTTTGTGTAGTTATCAAACGCATTTATGTTCTTTTCTACTCTAGGAATAGAAATTTTGGTCGGTTTATCAAACGCCTTCAAATACTCAAAATTGTTTCCGGACATGAATAAAAAAATCATTTCGTTCGAAAATAGTTCCTGAAACGAATGGTATTCATGCGCACCCTAAGTGTCCGAGTTGGCATCCGATGTATCCAATCGCCGAGTTCAAATGCCTCCACGTCCTTCAATAGAAGGGCCCACGAGATGAGTTGGCCCACGGAATGATGAGTTGGCAATTCATGTAGGCAGAAAAAGCACGTGATTTGGCAGTGTATGTAATAGTAGGACTGCATTATGCGGATTTTGAAAAATTTGAGAACTAAATTGAATAAAAAAAAATTTAGAAACGAAATTGAACATTAAGAAAAGTCTAGGAACCATACAAGGAGTCATCCCAAAAAAAGCATAACCTTAAGTTTGTTTGGCTATTAGATACACTTCTCTATGATTTAAAAACAAATTTTCATTTCATCTCGTGATTATTCGGTCTTACATATGTCGATGGATCTAGATTAATCATGATTGCGAAATAATATCTAGAAAATGATTTAGATTGAATGCATTATAGATGAAGCCTTAGATAATCTCCATTCAAGATTAGATACTTACAAATGAAGCTTTTGTTTTGTGTATAAATCTTATTTTTCGTGGAAAATAAAGTTATCATATCGAGCATAAAAGTAATGAAAAATTTCTTCTTTATCTCCATATTGAGTCAGTAATATTGGACAAAAGAAGTAATCGTATTAGAATTATTGATATTTGGCTTGAGTATTAAAGAGAAAAAATTACCATAAAAATTATTGCATTTAGTTAAATCATCGTCATCCACCCAAACCTAGTCTGCGCATTTCGTGCTCGAGAAGGAACCGTGGAGAGATCTCGATCGCCGTCAAATAGTAAAAGCTGTTAGACTAATATTTTAGGTTAGTATCATTACCTTTTTATATCCCTGTCAGCGTACTCTCCAAATAGTGTTGCGAACCCTCGGTAGTCCAATCACTTATTGATAAAGGCAAGAGGGAATCGGAAAACATTTTCAGGACCAATATATGAAAGCATTTTTGGGTTGGTCCCATTGGAAACGAATAAAAATGAACTATCAAATGCTTCTTTTGTTATTTAAATATATGTATTTAAAAATAAATATATATATGAAAAAATTAGAAAAATATATATTTATCGGTCCGGTCGGTCCGGTTCCACCCTAGAACAGAAACCGGACCGTCCGGAATCGGTTCCACTTTTAGGAATCGGGAGCAGGATCGATATTCGAGAACCGGACCAACGTGGTCGTCCGTCCTTTAGGCGGTCATCTTCTCACTTGTACTCGGTAGGCCTTGTCCTCCACAAGCCTCGCGGGGCCGGAGTATTGTCGGATGCTCAACAGAGGAGGGAGGTTGGCCCGACCATCCACGGCATGGCCGCCATATTCTACTCCAAAGATCCGGGCTCACGGTGCTCTGGTCTCGAACCCTAGCATGCGGGGGCCGATCCGTTCCAGGCGAGATATTCCCCTCTCGAGCACATCGTTTCTCTCGAACAAGCTTTAAACGGGCCGCCGAGTTGGATCCGAGCCCGACGTAAAAAAGGCGAAAAACTCTTTCCGACAGAAACCTCCTCCGCCCGTAAAAGTTGGAAGATGTTATCCAAATTATTTTACACACCTCTCTACTCCCCCTCCCTCGTCCTTTCTCCAGACGAATCTCGGATTTCACGAATGCAACGCCGGCACTGAATACGCCATTTGGGGGGGTCCGACCTTTTTCCAGGTGTTCTTTTCGGGACAGTTCGAGGTTTTCCCTTCTAGACAGTGGGGGGGTCCCCTTGTTCTTTTCTTCTTGTTTTTCCTTTTATCTCTTTCGCTCTTTGGCTCTTATTAAGTAATTAATTAAAGAAATTAATAAAATTTTCAATCAACCGTTCTCTTATACGTAATTTATATTTAAAAAATTAAATTTACTCTTAATTTAATATATTTTAGAGATGACATTATTGGTGAGTATAATCTGAATAGGCGGTTCTCACCGTAAAACCGAAAACCGCCCATCAAGGATCGGTTCAAAAAAATTAAGCAGGTCACTACAGAACAGTCGATTTCAGGCCGATCCGATCCGATTCCAAGCGATCCAGCCTTTTTTGCGCACGCCAGATAGCATCACCTGGCGATCTGGGTTCCTCAAACGCTTTCTGGGAAAGATTTCTTCTTTTCTACCTCTTTTTCGCTTTGGCAGGTTTCGGTTCTCCCTCCTTTTCCTTTTCCTTTTCGTCACTGTTTTAGTATCTGTTTGCAAAGCTTCCCTCCCTTTTCTCTTCCTCTACCCGCATCTGGAGCCCCTCCCTCCTCCTCCTTCCTTCCTTCCTTCCTTCTCCTTCGCTTCCCACGTTTTTCGTTTCTCCTTTTCTCGAGTGGGGGCATCGGAATAGACAGCGGGAATAAATTCCATCTCTGCATAGTACGAGGATTCCGGCTTAAAATATTGGGACGACAGCACCCTAACACCCTCTCTCTCTCTCTCTCCCTCTCTCCGTTTCTGGGGTTCCAAGATTTCGCCTGCCGATCACTCACTGGTCGCCGCTGATGCGAAAATCTGTGCAAAGTTTGCTTTTTTTTTTTTTCTTGTTCTCTCTCTCTCTCTCTCTCTGCTCTTTGCTTGCCGGAGCTGAAGTGGATCTCAAGATCGCTCCTTTTCCGCTCCGGCGCCGGCGCCGCTCCAGATTCGCAAAAGGGTGTGCGCTGATTCGTCGTCTGGTTTGAAGCGTTCGAAGCAATGCCCTCAGATCATATACGAGGTAGGTCTCGCAATCTGGCTCCATGAGAATGGGATCTCAAGGGGGTGGTTTCGGCGGCGGCGCGGTTCCGCTGTCGAGGCAGGGCTCTCTCTACGGCCTCACGCTCGATGAGGTCCAAAGCCAGCTGGGGGGTTTGGGGAAACCGCTGGGAAGCATGAATCTGGACGAGCTTCTCAAGAGCGTGTGGAGTGTGGAGGCCAATCAAGGCCCGAATGCGGGCGCTGCCGACCCCGAGGGTATGCAATCCGGCCTACTCGCGCCGCTGCAGAGGCAGCCGAGCTACACGCTCTCGAGGGCTCTCAGCAAGAAGACTGTCGATGAGGTGTGGAAAGATATTCAACAGGGCGAGATTGATGATGGTAGTGATAAGAGTAAGAAGAAGAAGAAGGATAGCGGTCCTGGTGACCAAGATCCAAAGCCTTCATTGGGTGAGATGACACTTGAGGACTTCTTGCACAAGGCAGGAGTGGTGGCTGAATCTCCCGTGATCGACATGAACGGGAGTCATGTTTTAGGGGTTGATTCTGTGAATAGTGGCGGTCCTCAAAGTGCTCAGTGGATGCATTACCAGCTCCCTTCAGTTCAGCCGCAACAAAACGTGGTGCCGGTCTTCATTCCAGGCCACCATGTGGTCCAGCATCCCGTCCCAATCATCGCGAGTCCCTTTCTGGATTCGGCATTCGGGGATGCGGCGCAGATGACTGTATCGCCCTCCTCCCTGTTGGGCACATTATCGGATACCCCGACCTCGAGGCGCAAAAGAGTTGCCCCAGGAGATGTGGTGGAGAAGACTGTGGAGAGGAGGCAAAAAAGGATGATTAAGAACAGGGAATCTGCGGCTCGGTCTCGTGCGAGGAAGGAGGTCAATCTTGGTTCTGAGATGTGATTACTAAGAAGAGAGTTGTTTTGTGATGCTTTCAATGCTTGATGTGATCCTAAAAGATGTTTATGATGTTGGACAGGCATATACACAAGAGTTGGAGAATAAGGTTTCCCGCCTAGAGGAGGAAAACGAAAGACTAAGAAGAAAGCTGGTATGTTCATTGTCTTGTCTTTTAATACTGAGCACTATTTGTGGTGAATCCTTGTGACAATAACAATGCCTTTTATGCCACCTTAGTCCTTTAAATTTAACATGTTAAGTGATAGGCAATAGCATAAATTGATATGTGAACCCTGTTATTGATGAAATTGAGACATGGCGAAATCGAACAATACTTGATATAGAACAAGTATTTGTCAGTCTGGTCCATCTTGATTACGGTTTTTGAATCACATTGTCGAGCCTTTGGTCGATCATGCGATTAATGCGTGCAATGATGCATATCAAGCAACATATTGCTATGAATGGGGAAAACTAGACTATACAACACCCTACTTATTGGTACAACAAAAGGCTGTATTGGGTAAAGAAAGAGATAATTGGATCTGATCTACAGCCCTAAACACTCTAATTTGTTACACCCATTATAGTGTTTACCATTCTACAGGCGATACAAGTGATCGTTTTTAGGAAAATGTTTTCCAAATCATTTATTTTCCGCAAAACAAATGGAGTCGAAAGGTCAGTTTCTCCTTCCCCACGACTTTGATGCTTGAAGAAGAACAAAGAATGAGAAAACTATACTTTTGGTGCCTTACTTTTTATGAATTTTAATTTTCAGTAATAATTACTTTGTAGCAAAACCTAGTTATTGTGGTATTCTCCAATAATGATTGGGAGTCCAAGTTATTTTGGATGATTAATTGCTCTTAGATTGCTACTGCAGAAGGAAAATCATTTTCTGTCAATTGTCTAAGTTATTCCTCCATCAGATAGGTTTGTGACTTGTGTCATTTACTCTGTCAAGATATGTCCAGATAGGTAGTTTCTCTTTTCTATTTTGTTCTCTTTTCCAGATGAGTGATTTTATTCTAGAGGAGCATTCAGTTGCAGTGACAAGGCATTGATACATTTTTCCTTATCTGGTACTATATTGTTCTGTGGCCAGAACTGGTTTTTACTCTGTTTGGTACTCTCTCATGGTGCATCCTTAATTTTCAGGATACTGCAATTTCGGCTGTGTTTTTTTGTTGCTATAGTTCATAATGCTTCCAAAGTCCAAAAGTACTGAAACTGATATCGATGACAGCACTTTCAGATGTTAATAAGGCGGAGAACACTGCTTGTCATTAGCAATCCACGTTTCGACACTTGTTCCTTTTATTTAAGTCATTAGACTCTGAAAACATTCGAAGATGGTACTCCAATTAGGATCTTAGAGAGAACCTGGCAATGGTATAGTTTCCTCATGGAAACCTATGTGGCAAAACCCTCCAAATGTTCCAGTTTTCGCTCCTATCAGCTAAAATTGGCCGAGAGTTGATTCGAAAAAAATTGCATAGAGTAGTTTTGATACTCAGTTTTACTTATTGGCACAACCACGTTGATGCTTTTAGCCATCCAATGGCTTCTCCTTGCAACTGTTACTACTCAAAATTTCGTTCGCCATCCCTGTGGCTTGGAGGCTGAGCAACATCTCAGACAACTATATTTCTCTTCTATTCTGATCATTTAAGGGCTGCAATAACTATATGGAGACTCTGTATTGCTCGATAGTCTATTTAGTGATGCCGTTGTGGTAATGACAATCAGGTAAAGTCGATGCTCTAGATAGACAAGCATTTAACACGTATCTGATGTTCATCCCCTTGAGGCTGCACCAAAAAGTAACATCTTGCTTGGACTTGCTACTGGATGTTGGTTGCTGCAAATGAGATGGTTTCACTTCTTTCTATGATCTGTGAAATAATTTTATCTTGCTTTGCTTTCCTGGTTTCCATGAACGCTTGTAATGTGAACACCATGAATGCACCCGCCACTTTTCACCTGTAAAACTCAAGTTTCCGGTTTTCTTGAGCTCTCAAGATTTCTGTTTTCTCCCTTTCATGATGTGCTCTCCCTTTGCAGGAGGCAGAGAAAGTGTTGCCATCCACACCTCCTGCCGAGCCGAAGAATCAGCTCCGAAGAACTAGTTCGGCCCCACTTTAACAATGTACCATACATGACTGCTAGGGATGAGACTAGGCCTAACCTCTGTTGTTTCTTTGACTGACTTCAGCACGTCGATCTCCTCAATTATTTCAAGTCGATGCTTCGATGCTCTGCTGACTGCAGTTCGTACTTCTAGGATTGCGCATTTTCTTCTGCCGGTTCTAATTGTCTTTGGTGTCCTTCTATGGTGTTTACTGTATGTACATTAATTATGATAGCCCAGTTTTTGCAGCATTATAGATGACAAAACTTCTCCTTTGTTTGGAGCAGGCTTGTTCTATGTACTTTGCATAGATAACAAAACTGAGCAGAAGATTGCAATCTTTATTATCTTTGCAAATCATGCACGAAAGACAATGACAATTCATGCCGCGTCATTCGCATAGCTGTAAAAGCAGCTTAAATCTGACCTGTTTTCTTTTTTTCAAAAATACATATTAAGTCGTGTCAGTTTTCGAGATATTCATATTTATCTTTACGAAATATATTAAGTTTGGACAAAATGAATCGCCAGAAGTACCCAATTTACTTTTTTTCAAAAGATATGGTACAATTTGACCCCGCCAAAAAAGAAATATGGTACAAAAGTTGAGTTGTACAAGTAGGATGTGTGCTATACTTTCCCTTAGTTCCCCATCCCCAGGAAACATTATAATAGAAACACGCATTTTATTTTGTTTATCTCATTTCATCATTATATTTCATGCTTCTCGAATAGCACCTAATCTATGTAAAGCTAGGTTCTCTATATATCGGTGTCCTCAAATATGCTACCTTGCAACCCCATCGTTTATCATACATCAATTAAGAAGAAAAACATAAAATTAGATAGTGTATTGAAATTGCTCATTGCAATAAAAGAATCCATTTGAGTGACTACTCTGTCGAAAATTTACACTTTTGGTCCTGTACTTTGTGGGAAATTTAATGGAGGTCCCTGTCATTTGTTTCATGGCAATTGTAGTCTTTTTACCAATCTCTAGTGATAATTTATTTTATGACAATTCTAGTATTTGTACAAATTCTAGTGATCATGTTTTTTAAATCATTCATTTTATGAGAAACAAACGGAACTTTCACTTGTTGTTCAATGGTAAGTGACTTTCAATGTCTTCTGATTGAATTGGGATTTACACACATAAATATAGCACGTGCGTTATTAGTCAAAGTTACTGAAACTAAACGACAATGGACCACTTTTTGCGAATGCCTCCATCGTGCCTGGACCAGGTTAATCGCAATACTTGCCATAATAATCTCGACAACCATTGGAGAACGGACCTTCTTTTCTGTTCATAATTTGAGACTAATTACACAAATGATCTACGAACTTTGACTCAATATGTAATATAGTCTATGAACTTTAAACAAATGTGCAATGTCATCCAACATTTTTCAGTACAATGTGCAATGTCCCTGCGTTATAAATGGATTTTCATATAATTCAGGGATCATATTGAATATTTACAGAAAGTTGAGGCACCACATTAAACAAATTATAAGTTCGGGGACGACATTACGCATTAGGCTAAAGTTCATTGATCACGTTGAACAGATCAAAAGTTCAGGGACGACATTGAATATTGAGTTACAATTCAAGAGTAATTTATGTAATTATCTCTTCAATCAGACGCCGGTGGACTTGTCCCACATGGGTGAACGGCTCTATGAAATTGAGACGTATTGGGCTCTCAAGCGAAAAGCTCCACGTGGAATACAGCATTCCCGTCGACTTCTTTGCGAATTTCCCCAAATGGGGCCTACCCCGGCCCGATTTGAGGAAGCCCGAAAAAAATGTTGGGCGGCCCCTATCTGTTCCGGCGAGACGGGCTTGGGCTGCTCGGGCCGGGCTAATTTTACAGAAAAAGCCGGCCCGCCCATCTGCTAATCATGGACTGTTTGGACACCCAGACCTAGTACGAACCACCTTGGCAGTAGACTTCGTTTCTACAAGCTAAGCGTGAAATTGGTAGGTGTCGGGCGATCGGGTACTCGTCTTGCCCCGCGTTGATCTCGTCGGAACACAAAGTTCCCACTCACGACCCGTGTCACAAGCTCTATCAAGTACTATTCATTCGAAAGGTTGACATATTCAGAAATCTCCGGATCTGATCTATGCTTATTTTCAATTTCCCAAAGCATCTCATCGAGATAAGATCAAAGAGGACGTATGAGGGGCGGTAGTGAATGGATTCCCAGTCGATAGTTGTCATGATTTCTAGGTACCAACAAGTGTACCAAATCCTGACCCCTTGAGGATATGACATTAATCCTCTCGTAGGTACTAATCGGTGTACTTGAGATGCATTTTCATATGAAAAGGAGATCAAATTTGAATTCGAAGCCATGGAAAATTTGTAATCCAACTACGGTTCATTCTCTTGAGTGAATTGAAATTCTATTCCGGTGAGGTCTTTCCCCAGGAAGTCAAAGTTTCCGTGCTGATCATAGCTATTTCGTTCGAATCTCTTCGAAATATTACGAGATAAGAAAATTATGTAAGGAAAATAGCAAAATTTATCCAAAAAAAAAAATTAAAACAAGAGAATAATTTCATAACTTTACTACTTATAGAAAATGTTTTTACAAGAAATCATTTTTCAAGAAAACAACAATATTTTTCTAGTATTTGATTGAAACCTGAAAATGAATTGGAAAATATTTTTAGTGGTTTAGTTAAGAAAATTTGATTTAATTTTCATAAATAGACATACCTTATTTAGGCGCAGCCGAGAAATTGAGTATGGGCACCAAGGTCTCGGGTTTGGCTTCGATGGACCCTAACTCGAGCACGTGTACTTGGGGTCTGGGGCATCAATTCCGGGCCTGGTCTTGATGGACCTGGGCGCAGGTGTCGGGGACCCAAGCAAGCGCGCTAGAGTCTTGGGCCCGACCTAGATAGATCCAGGCCTGGTCTCGATAGATAAGAGAGCGGGCACTGGGTCCTAGACTTGACCTCGATGGACCCGAGCCTAAGCGCCGGGGATCCGAGCACGACCACAGAGGTCACGGTTCCGGCCTCAATAGACACGGGACCGGCCTCGATGGACCCGGGCACTTGCATCGGGGTCCCAGGCCCGGCCTCGAAATCGTACAGTCTCGGAAGTACTTTGGCGTCTCCCTTTGACCGACATAGCATAGCTTTATTCCTCTTAAATAAAAGCGAAAAGAACCGGGGAAAAAGGGAAACGAGCGAGCGCGTAGGATGAAAGCTCGCATAAAGATAAAGATGGGATCATCTTCTACGTCGGCTTTACCTCCGTGGGCGGGGAGGGGCCGGCGGCCATGGAAGTCTTCTAGATGACGGCTCCTGTGACGTCCTCTGTTCTCCCTTTTTTTCCGTAGGTGGACCAGACAGAATCGCGTATAAAGGTAGGCCACAGTGCGACCTGTGCTTCCGCGCGGCAACGGGCTTTGGGTCCACCGCCACCGCCATTGAAGGTGTTCGCATGTTTTCCACGTCGGCAACCTCCGCTTCTTCGCTTTTGCCTTCCGTGGACCGGTGGTTCACGAAACACGGTGGTGACTGATGAGACGTGGTGACCGATATAACCTCTCTCTCTCTCTGTCTCTTTCGGGACCGGGCCATCTGTGACTCAACCATTGCTTCGTGGTTTGGTCGCCTGCGAAGCGTCGTGAGGGAAGGGGAAGCGAAGAGGGGGAGGGGGAAGAACGAACAATGGCGGAGAACACGGAGGCGTTGCTGGAGAAGGCCGAGAGGGCTCGGGCTCAGGTCGAGGCTCGGTACCGGGAGGGTTGTCCTGGATGCAAGATCGATCGGCTCAAGGAGACGAACCGCGGCGTGCCATACAAGCTTTTCTTCTACGTCTGGGTCATCGTCCTCTGCGCAGGTCGCGATCGTTGTGCTTCTTTGCTTCAAGTACACGATAAAGCGAAACGGAACGAAACGAAAGAAAAATCGAGGGTGTGCCTGACGTGACAGTGGGAGTTCGACGCTGTATTTTTTTATTTGATTTGGTATCTGCCCATTCTGTCGCGTTTCGTCGTCGCTGCACGTTAAAGGAAAAGAGAGTGCGTACGAGGATGAGCGAAAAATTTGTGTGCGCTTTCACCCGACAACGGATGTTTTGTCCTGCCTGAAGTTGGTCCGCAGATTAATCATGTCCAGGAGACACGCCTTGACTTAGAGCGAACTGAAATGACTGATCTCACTCAACAACGCTCACATCACAGTGCTCACACTAGTGCAAAGTATCAGTCAAGCCTCGGACGAGGATGCTGATTTTTGTGGATATATGTTCGGGACAAAGTCGGGAGGCCCTTTGGCCCGGTCTTCGTCCTGTTCTGTTGCGGTAACTTCAGGAAAAATCAGTGGACGCTAGGCTGTCGGGGTGAATATTTATGAATGTGGGGAATGTGATTACACTGGGTGGATAATGTTTTGTGGACCATATCTTGTATTGAGAAAATGCTGAAGGAAAAGATTGGAGTGGAAATTAAACAAGCGATGGCAAAGAGTATTAGTTGGAATAGGAGGTCAAAGGGAAGGCGAGGTTTTCGACTCGTTAGTGTGTCTGTTGGTGCAGAGGATTAGAGAAACTACTGTGCTTAGCCTAAGAGAAGTCTGCTTTTATATACTTAATAGCTGTTCAAGTACTGTAAAACGGTTTGCAGTTCTTGTTTCTTTGCATCATCATGTGCCCGTGGGACTTATAATGGTCATGGATGTTTTATTTTCATTCGCTGCTAATGTAATTCCTTTTGATTCTTGCAGCTTTGCCTATATCGTCTCTTTTCCCTTTCCTGTATTTCATGGTAGGGTATCATTTTCTCTCTTAGCTTACTTACTGATCATTATAAATTGATAATATTTGTTTCGCTCTAGAAAATCAATGTCTCAGTTTCTGAAGTTGGGTGTTATTTGCAGAGGATGAGAACGCGTGCGCATTTCCTTCATTTAATCTCTTAGATTTCAGTCACTCGCCTCTAATATTGTATCTGTGTATGGAGATAAACATGCATGTGGAGTAATCCACGTTTAGATACACGATCACACGGTTTTCAATTCGAGTTTTTTATTCAAGCTCGCTTTCTCTTTGAGCCTTACCTACGCTTATTTACTTATTTTAATGTCTTAGATTTCAGTCACTTGACTTTGATCTTGTATATGCATATGGGAATAAACATGCATGTTGAAGGAATCCACGTTTAGATACATGAATGCAAGGTTATCAATTCAAGCTTTTATTGAATCCCGCTTTCTCAATGAATCTACCTAGGTTGGATTCCCTTTGGTGGCATGCATATCATTTCTGATGTGCTAATGATTAGCATTTTATATGCGGTTGTTAATTAAGGCTGTGGTTCACTGCAAGTCAATGTTCTTCGCCCAACCCCCTAAGATCTGTGAGATGTTAATACTGTTGGTGGAGCAAGTTCCACTTTTTCAGTCCTTTGGACCCAAAGAGCCTCGGTCTTTGTTTCATTGACACATATCCAAAATGAGATGAATACCAAGATTATTTCTTGATGATCTCTTCTATTTGACTTTTGGCCTCAGACCATTCTATATCTATGAGCTCGAGTGTTTGCACCAGATGCTATTTTAGTTGAAAATCTTCATTTTAGCTTTTTAGGCTTTACTAATGCGGAGCTTGCTATTTCACCTTCTCCAGATAAGGGACTTCAAAATAGCCAAGAGAGAAGAAGATATTGGCTTCTATGCTGGATATGTAGGTGAGCACTTGCAATTTACTTCATGTCGATCTCATATGCATTTGTTTGTGCAAATATTTTTATGTAGTTCAAGATTTCTGTTTGGATAATTCAAATCCATTTAATTTTGTCTCCCCGAAGGTTCTGCTTTTATGTTTGGAAGAGCATTGACTTCTGTACTCTGGGGAATGATAGCAGATAGATATGGCCGAAAGCCCGTGATACTATTCGGTACAGTTACAGTGTTAGTACTTCTAGACATCTGTTCTAGTGTGTATAATTTCCCAGACACATGCTCAATGAATATTCTCATAATCTTGCGTTCCATCTCTTGGTTTGGTCAATAATCAGGGTGGTTTTCAACACACTTTTTGGCCTCAGCACAAACTTCTGGATGGCAGTCTCCACAAGGTTTCTCCTAGGAAGTTTGTGTGGCATACTTGGCCCAATGAGGGTACACTCTTCTTAACCCTTCGTGTTAAACATATCTATACTCTCGAGTCCAACTGTGCTTTAGGTCGTACATTGTGTTTTCATAACTAATTTAGAATGTTGCTGTCGTTGCTGCCTAGTGATGGTCTGGGAAAAATGCTGTGAGGGCCACAACCTCATTATACTCGAGATTCACACCTCTTTTTGTGAAGCGTTGTCAGTTCATGTGGCCATCTGATGCATAAACTCTCACAATTCAACAATCCGTTTTATTTGTCACTGTGATAACAATAAACATTTGAAGTAGCTTGAGATCTCATAATGGGACAAAAGGAGTTTAAAGTAGAAATCAGTCCTAGACCATTTGCATATTTGTACGACTGCTGGCTACCATTTTGTCCTCATGAAACTAACTGTTCATTTGCGGCATCATGTTGATGTACACAGTGATCTGTGTACTAAACAGCTGTTGGGAGCTGTCATTATGCCAACAGGTTCCCACGCCTTCTCTCGACGCATGTTTCATTATCAGGTTTTTGTTGGTTTTTCTCGGTCTGATGCTCATATGTGGGATAGTCATTCTGAAACTACACTATTCACTTAGCTTTTTAGTTTCCGCACTGAATCTCTATCGTCTTCCTGAAAGCATGATGAGTTAAAGGTGTTTGGAGATGTCTTTGGATTTGCCTGATGAATTATGGTGGAAGAAACTGCTATAGACATTCATTTATTTTTTACATTGCCAGGCATACGCTTCAGAAGTTTGTCGTAAAGAGTATCAAGCTTTGGCGATGTCAATTGTATGGAAGTTCCACACTCCGAGTTTCTATTTGATAATACCTTCTTCAAGTGCGAGTATGATGCAATCTGAATGAAGCATAACTTTGCAGATTAGCACATCATGGGGTATTGGATTGGTCATTGGTCCGGCTATTGGGGGTTATTTTGCCCAGGTACTGTTTCTTCTTAACTAAAATGGATCATGAATGCATGGTCAAAGCACATAACTAGCAAACGATTTCATGATTGAAAACTCACAAATTGCGTACCTGTATGTAATGATGATATCACCCGGAGTTTTTGCTATGAGAAAATGATCCTTTTTAACATTTAGAAGATTTGCACTTCCTAAATTCATTCGGACTGATGATTTGACAGAATAAGGGATATCATCTACTCTGAACAATGTTTTTAAACCCAGACCCAATCGGCTAGTTCAACCGGTCGAACCAGGAGCCGGACCGATCCGGTTTTTAAATTGAAAACCAGAGTGGTCAAGAGCCGGTCAAACCTGGCTTAAAAAATTGAGCAGAGACGTCAACAAGAGGGATTGAACCCTTGACCTCATCGATATAGCAATAACTCCCAGCTCGTCTAATGACTTCTATAGTTATATAAATAAGATAATTTAGTTCTATGATGGGAAAACTTATCTACCTGGTGGTTGGACTGGTTGAATCAATTGACCTGCGAACCGGAAGCCAGACCGGTTCTTCGACTGGTCCGCGCTTATAGACACTGATTCTAAATCTAAGTCACGGTCAATCTGGTTGCTGTAAATTTCCTTGAATGTAAATGAGATGCTGAGATCGCATTGTGATGCGATCCCTCTGGGCTAAATGCAGCTTTTGAAATCTTTTCAATAGAGGATTCGTCTACTAACTAAACACTGGTTCTTTTTTTTGGTCTAAAAGCAAAGTATTTCATTCATTAACTAACGAAAGGATAACATAAGTTATGGGTTTCTGAACATAAAAGATCCCATAGAGGTAATGGCAGCTTTACGAGCCAATCTTGGGGCAGGGCTTTTTTGCTATGAGTCTTGGCTATCCAGTCCGCCACTTGATTTGATTTGCGTGGGCTGTAGACCAGCACTATAGCTTTGGACCGGGAAAGCTTTTGTTTACATTCTTCAAGGATGGCCTGAAGCTCCCACGGGCCTGGAGTGCAGAGCAACTAAGCCGTTTCCAAGTCTCATCACTATAACAAAAAGTGAAATTACTCGGTGGAAACAATCAAACACTGAATCTGATTTACAGCAAATTATATCATTGTATCAGAGAACTATAGAAATATCTTGTAAGCTATTCCCTGGATTTCACGGTTCATCTGGTTCGACATACTTGTTGGCTTAACATGTGCCTCTGGTCCACGTCAATTCACTCGAGAAGCCTCTGTCATGTCACCAGTCATTTGGACTTAATATGATGCCTCAGTCATCTACATTTAGGTGGCCTAGGTAGCTAAGTTATTCCTTGATTCAATGCTTATTCTATAAATTGCGGTCTCTTTCTCATCTATTGTTTTTATGGATCCTTTGACCCATCCAATGTTGTGTTTTTAATACTATTTTGCATCCTTCTCTATGATATGCATGAATTATTTTGCAGCCTGCAGAAAAATTTCCTAATGTGTTTCCCGAAAAATCCATTTTTGGGAGGTAAGTGATGGTTTGCAATTTCCACTTTCCATAATAGTTTGTCCTTTCGTCACTTGACGTTGCTGACTTCCAAAATGAATGAAATGTAGGTTTCCGTACCTTTTACCATGTCTCTTGATATCAGTTTTTTCATTGGGGGTGATGGTTGTTGCTTGTTGGCTCCCGGTATGTTACTATATTAAACTTAAAGCCTTTCATATGGCCTTTGCATGCCCCATAATTGCACATATCATGTGAATGTTGGAGAGAATAGTGCATAACTTTTGTCAATCATTTTTTTGTTGCATGGTAATTTTCAGTATCTAGAAAGTATCATGCAAAAAGATGCTAAATAAACATGAAAGGATTAGTGTACAAGAAATTTGGAAAGTATGGGGTTACATTACTTCTCTTATCGCAGAACTAAAGAGTAGACTCAGTGTTGTGAGTTCAATTTCTTCTGGGTGGTCGATAATTTGAAACATCTCTGAAACTTAAACTTTTCGAGGGAGCACTAGTGCATTGAATCTTCACTGGTCTCTGCTCTTTTTATACTAATAGTTTAGTTAATATCCTTCAATCTATCATTCTCAAATGGCAACAGTATTATGGTGCACTATTCTAGTTACAGTGACTCACATAATGATCTCATTTTTCTTCGACATTTTTTTCTTGGTGCTTCTGGTCGATGATATAGCATGACGTTTGCAAAGTTGTCCCGCAACTCTCATTTGAATGAAAATTTTTTGCATCTGACCTGCCATATCTTTTTGAATGTGCAACTTGTCCTAATATATGCTCTCTATAGGGAACTTTTATCTGGTAGGGGTGTGGCCTTAAATGTTATCATTTCGAATTATCAACTACTTCTCATGTCAAAGAATTCTTAGTATAGTGAATGGATCAAATAAGTGACTCAGAACTCCAATATTTACCCAGGAAACCCTTCATATGCATGGTGAAAACAGCAAAGAATGTGATATACCATACGAGGCACTTGAGGCAGAGGAAAATAAAACTTCAAAGGAAGAATCACAGCGAAATGAGGGAAGTCATCAGACGTCTTGGAGCCTTCTCAGAAATTGGCCATTAATGTCATCCATAATTGTCTATTGTGTTTTCCAGCTTCATGACATGGCATATACAGAGGTACTTGTTTGAAATTGTTGTTCCTTTCTTATGCTGTTTGCAATTTTGTCTTTGTTTACCTATGGGCATAAATTTCTGAGCTGGAAAGCTGGAACATTTCCACTGGCACCTATCTTGAAAAATCAACTTGTCTGGTCAATTATTGCTGGTGCAAAGAGCCATTGTGCTTTTGACAATCTGTCATCTTGAACATTTTTCTTCGATAATAATCATACTTGGTCATTCACAGTGTTTGCTTATTGATCTATTCTTTGTTAACCACGTACTTCAGATTTTTTCACTATGGGCTATCAGTCCTTGGAAGTTTGGCGGATTGAGCTATTCAACAGCAGATGTCGGTGAAATTCTTGCTCTTTCGGGTAAAAAGGAAGAGATTTATATGAAAATAGTTATTTGATCATGTGAGATATTGTATCTGGTTAACAATTTTATTTTGGCACTGAGGAGCATCCTATTTAACCTTCAGTCAGACGATCCTTTTTATAAATCTAGTTGGAAATTTGATTGTCAATTTGAGTCTTGAACTGGACATAGGCCAAGGCAGGTTTTTTCTTTGTTTAAGCTGTCTGAGTTGTACACCCCTGGATGAGATAAGTTAGGACCTGACGTGCTCAATCCTGTCAATCCTGCATTTTGGGTACGTTATTGATCTGTAGGCTGATAGTCTTTTGTTTGATCTGGGCATAGCTGGGGGTCTTGTACCGCATTTGAATTGTGAATGTTACAATCTTAGGGTAACTAGTAGGGTTGTTGTATAGGAGTTGGATCGTTTTGTGAAGGTCGGCTCTGTACACACGTTGGTACCCCTAAGTGCCGCGTCTTTCTAATCTTATTTTCATAAGAAATCGAGACCTTATATATGGCAATGAGATCAGTGGTTCCTTTAGGATGAAATTTGTTACTATCTGTTCCTTCCCAATCTATTCAATATTTGCAAACATAGGTGCACAATTCATGTAGCCCAACTCGATTTGGATTTGATCTCATTTTTTTTCCATTCTTTGGTAAATATTAGGTTTTGGGCTCTTATTATTCCAGCTATTTCTGTACGCACGAGTGGAAAGGATTTGTGGACCAATTGTAATTTCTCGAGTTGGAGCTGTATGCCTTCTTCCCACTTTCCAACTTTTTTCACCAAAAACGGTGTACTACATTTGTCTCTTATTTCTTGCTCTTACATTGGTATTTTTTTTTTCCATATAAAAGGTGTTGAGCATAATTCTGCTGTCAAGTTACCCCTTTATAGCTACACTGACTGGCATTATTCTCACAATACTGGTGGATTCAGCATCTATTCTGAAGAATGTGCTTGCTGTAAGTTCAGCATGCTCTCGAACCTTCTTGCTGCAACTGTTATGGGTGCACATGAGCCAGTGCGTGCATGTGTTTGTGTTGGTATTTGAGTGTGTTGGAAAGAGAGGGGGGGAAGAGAGAGCGAGCTCCAATTTTGGTAATCAATTCACTATGGAGTATCTACTTTGTTAGTACAAGGAACATGAGAGGTTAATTGCACAAGAATGATAATTGTAAGGAATAGAAGGAAGATGACTAGCTTTTCAGGAAGTAATCTGTACTCTAGATTCATGTCGATCGACAGTTTCTGCAGCAGTGCAGGATATGATGCTATTATAGTTACTCCATCCTAGAAGTTTGGCTTATAATGAAAAATAAAAGCGGTTTGCTCATGTATGTTACTTAACTTAGGTAATGGATAAGTATAAGTTACAGTTGTTGTTTATTCTTGCTTTGAACTTGTATTGTGTTCCATGTATGTGAAAGAGTTTTATCCTCTTTCTTGCTACGCCACACTTATTCGGCATTCTTTGTGCAAATTAGGTATCCATAACCACAGGCTTATTCCTACTTCAAAACAGAGCTGTGGTAATATTCTTTCTTTTTGATTGCTTAGTTTTTGGCAAGCCCAATGCCACTGTGACTGATCTTCGAATAATCCTGATTTAAAATGATTAGACTCAGGAGCAGAGAGGAGCTGCAAATGGTATCTCTCTGTCTGCAATGTCTCTTTTCAAAGCAATGGGTCCAGCAGCAGGAGGTTCAATGTAAGAAATTTCATTAATATAAGCTCCTGGAGCCCCTTGTTTTAGGATGCTTGGCAATCCAATTACTCGTAAGCCTATATATAAATTTAATTTGGGGGAGGAATGTCAACAGGCTGACAGTGGCAAGTATATTTTCCTGAATAGAGTGGACTCGTAGTCTTTTAGTTTGAAGTATCTATACTTCCTGTTATTCATGCACAAGATTTCTGATAATGAACGGCAGGATTGGAAAGAAAACCGCGTGTGCATTGGAGACCGCACATTTGTATTTATACTATATTTAGGTGTTACAAGATAGGAAACTCAAGATTGCAGAAAATTTACTATCAAATACACCTACTATGATAATACTAACAAGATTTATTCGTGCATAAGATGAAACTGACTTCAAGTTGTGCACATATGCAGATACTACCATTTGAGGATAACTTTCAGAGAGATTGTGCTTAGCACACGGTTATATAACTCTTATGATTTTCCCAATCTAAATCAAGCCGGTTCTCCATGAAGATTATTAAACTTCCTTTGATTGATATCCGGGTCAACGTTGTAATCAATCACCATTGCATGGAAAGTTACATAGTTGTTATAAAAAAAAAAAAGAGTTGAATAATGTACAGGCAAAGGCCTCATATGGTCATGCCTTATTAGAAGCACAGCCGCCCTCTCCTAATGATCTCAGAGCTAGATGCTTCCGTAATAGGAAAAGGAAACTAGTGATGCAGGTTACATTTTCTTGTATTTGTTCAATTGTCTTAGTCATAGGGAAAGGATTGACATTTCAAGTTGGTTTATATGTGCAAAGTTAGAAATTTCAGGATGCTTTGTATGCAATATCTGCAAATTAAATTGAGCATGTTGCGTGTTAGGTCCAGTTGATTGTCTAGCTAATTCAGGTGTGAGTATAGACAAGTATTTTGTGTTCTTTGGGATGGAATCTGTATTAAGACTATGTAACTGAGATTTCATCTTCTGAAGTTTCTGCTTGGATTCATGCCGTCATTTGTTAAAACATCGCTGTCTGGTTTATCTGTAAAAAGTTATATAAGAGCTCTGCTGCTAATTTCTTTCATCAGACATCCAGCCATTTAACTAGTGAATAACAACTTCGAATTTTTGCCAATGTGCTGCATATGAGAATGACTTTGCTGAAATTGTTTTTTCCATCATTTGGTGGTGGGTCCGTAAATAGGCTAAATGGATGCATTCTGTGGCTCTGTGAATTTTTGCCTCGTTGAGATCACTATGAAACTGAAGCAGCTGAAGATAGGGCTTATGTGACAAGTTTTAGTTCCTGACTTTTAATTGCTTTTGTGTAACTGCAGCTTTTCTTGGGCACAAAAGCGTCAAAATGCTTCTTTCCTGCCCGGTAAAGACCACTCTCTATACCTTACAAATATCTGGAAGTTTTTGTCTAACAGTAGCTAAAGAAGTGATCCTCTGCATCGTCTATTTGCGCAAGTTTCCTGGTACCAATTGGCTGTCATCTAAAGACAATTCGACTAATATAGTCGTGTTGAACTACTAAAAGATCTGTACTGAATTAGGAGGTGCATGTTTCTCTTTCCAAACATTGGAATCTTCTGACTTCTAATCAGACTTTAAAATCTTTCTTAGCTTGCTCTCTTAACTACTAGCGATGTGCGGTTCAATATCTTCGGTGTCATGCTTTCAGATTTTGATTTTGTTAGAATGCTACCGTGACCTGAACCTATTTTTTTTGGATCTGAAAAGTTTTTCTTGGCTGAAGCAACCCCCTAGTTCTCCAATCTCTTGACCTGCAATGATTGAACTACCACATTTCGCAACTCTGGTTTCTGAACAAGCCGGTAGCCTTGCAGACAGAAACATGCACACTTGGCTATACTCGCATCAAATGCTTATCGTAGCCTTTGCATATCAGTATAACCGCGCATGCCTATCCTTTCTGTGCATTATTTTTAGTCTCTTCTCTATATTTTCTTTATCGATTGAAGTTGAATTTATGCTCTCAAAATTCTCCTCATCGAAAGAAAGCTGAAATCTATGACTTTGTTGGGATGCAGGTAGTCACATGGTTTTCTTCCTCCTGAACGTTATCGAGGCATTGGGATTGCTGATGACCTTCAAACCTTTTCTGGCTCAGCCAAAGGACTAGCACTTTTTGGCAATACCGTGTTCCATTGCAGCCGTCATGCACCGCAAAACATAAAAACTATACGGTAATAGGTTAATATCCTGCAAAGTTAGACCTTTGCCTCTGTAATGCGGCGTCACAGTATGGGCCCATTTTTGCTCCGTGATGCACAAATACAATCCGAGGCGTATAAGTGCAGTGTTTTCACTGTTTGCCACATCGATTCATTCATGTGATAGCAAGCGGAATTGCAGTTCCTGTATTTGAGTATCTTCTTTGCCTCCATGATTTTCATCTACGTTGTTGCGGGCAGCCGTAACTTTCCAGTTTTGCCTTCTTGGTATATATGCAAAGCCAATGCCTCCTTCGTGGTATATATGCAAGCTTATATGCAAGCGGAAGCTGCTTAGAGTTTGAGTAGCCGTCGGACCTTCGATCTTTTTCTTTTCCCTCGTGAAGAAACTGCATTCCTCATTGTTCATATCACTAGCGTACGGTAGGGGAGATAGGAATCCGAGAAGATTGTGAATCTTTGGTGCAACTTTTGGGGTTATAATTTTTCTTCTCTTGGGAGGTATTCATCATTTGGCTCCTATTATCTACGAGGCTACAAATTTAATTCACGTTGTAAGAGAACCGTCGTGCAATTCGGGTTGCACTGCCTAATGACTTCACGATAGCTATCGATAGTGCCGCTTATGATTAGGGGGCGAGCAGTTTCAGTGTGGGTGGGTTTCAGGTCTGGAACTCGATTTTCTTTTTTAAGAACCTAGAACCTGTCTTGTACAACCTGGAACCGATTTTGTTGATCTAATCCGATTCTATGTCTATTTGGAACTGGTCAGTTCCTTTTTTCTTTTATTTCTTGCAAGGACAAAACTTTAGTAAAACGTCTCCCAGTCAGCAACAACATGGTAAAATTGAAAGAAGAGAATTAAGGTTTCTCGGTCCGGTAGTAGCCCGCTTCGAAAATTTGAAACCTTAAGAGAGAGAGAGTGGGGTCCAAAATTAGTTTAAAAAAAAATTACCAAAATTCAAACCGCGTGGATCAGGGACTCGAGGTATGGCTTCTAGGTCTCGATGGCTCGGGTCAGGAGCGGCAGCAAAGGTCGGATCTCGGCGCTCAGAGCTCGGACCACAAGGAAGGGGATGCCGCCGCCGCATGGTCTTTGGTGAGGCAAGCGGGCCTTCATGAAAAGGGTAGTCTCCGCCATGGGGATGGGGGGCGGGGGCGGGGCTTGGGCTTCAGTTCTCGTTTGCGATTCTTTGATCGAGGATGACGAGGAAGAAGAAGGTGGTCTGCTCGCGCCTGCCGTGCCGTCGTTTGTCGGGAAGCGTCGGGCTTTCTTCTCCTCTTCCCCCCACCTGGACAAATTCTACGACTAGGTTCAGAAATTTCCGATAGTTCCTCTAGGCTCCGGCAATCGTGGGCTCGAGCAGAACACGGCCCATGATCTCGGCCCAATCCAAAGAAAATCAACCAAATTTCAAAGGAAAGTTACACAAGTGATGAATGAATTTTGGCTCAACATGCAATGTCGTTTCTGAATTTTTAATTTGCTCGATGTAATCCCTGAACTTTAATTCGATATGCAATATGATCCCAAATATTTTAATTTGTCCAATATAATCCTTGTACTGTTGGTACGTATTCAATTTAGTCCCCGAACTATATAAAAGTATTCGATGTTATCTCTTAACTTGAATCGATGGAAGGATGATCTTGAATGTTTTCATCTAGTTCGGGAATTAGATTGAATATTTACTAAAAGTTCAGGGATCATATCGAACAAGTTAAAAGTTCAGGGGCGCGATATTACACATTGGACTAAAGGTTCATGGGTTATATTGAACTAGTTAAAAAAGTTCAAAAATGATATTATACGTTTGGTCAAAGTTCAGGGACTATTTATGTAATAATCCAAAATTTAATATAATATTTGCCCGCCCATTCGAGAACCGAAACTTGAATTTCAAAAAAGGCACACAGAGACTCAGAGAGACAGAAAGAGAGAGAGAGAGCGAGGGAGATGCAGAGATGCCACCGCCATTCAAGGTGTTCGCATGTTTTCCATGTCGCCAACCTCCGCTTCTTCGCTCTTGATTTCCGTGGACTGATGGTTCACGAAACACGGTGGTGACTGATGAGACGTGGTGACCGATATAACCTCTCTCTCTCTCTCTGGGGACCAAGCCATCTGTGAGTAAGCCTTTACTTCGCGGTTTGGTCGCCTGCGAAGCGTCGTGAGGGAAGGGGAAGCGAAGGGGGTGGAGGGGAAAGAACGAACAATGGCGGAGAACACGGAGGCGTTGCTGGAGAAGGACGAGAAGGCTCCGGCTCAGGTCGAGGCTCGGTACCGGGAGGGTTGTCCGGGATGCAACATCGATCGGCTCAAGGAGACGAACCGCGGCGTGCCTTACAAGCTTTTCTTCTACGTCTGGATCATCGTCCTCTGCGCAGGTCGCGATCGTTGTGCTTCGTTGCTTCAAGTACACGATAAAGAAACGGAACGAAACGAAAGAAAAATCGAGGGTGTGCCTGACGTGACAGTGGGAGTTCGATGCTGTATTTTTTATTTGATTTGGTACCTGCCCATTTCGTCGCGTTTCGTCGTCGCTGCACGTTAACGAAAAGAGAGTGCGTACGAGGATGAGCGAAAAATTTGTGTGTGCTTTCACCGACATCGGATGTTTTGTCCTGCCTGAAGTTGGTCTGCAGATCAATCATGTCTAGGAGACACGCCCTGACTTAGAGCAAACTGAAATGACTGATCTCAGTCCACTATTAGTTTAAAGTGAAATGACTTAGAGCAAACTGAAATGACTGAACTCACATCACAGTGCTCACATTAGTGCAAAGTATCAGTCAAGCCTCAGACGAGGATGCTGATTTTTGTGGATATATGTTCGGGACAAAGTCGGGAGGCCCTTCGGCCCGGTCTTCGTCCTGTTCTGTTGCGGTAGCTTCAGGAAAAATCAGTGGACACTAGGCTGTCGGGGTGAATATTTACAAATGTCGGGAATGTGATTACACTGGGTGGATAATGTTTTGTGGACCATATATTGTATTGGGAAAATGCTGAAGGAAAAGATTGGAGTGGAAATTAAACAAGCGATGGCAAAGAGTATTAGTTGGAATAGGAGGTCAAACGGAAGGCGAGGTTTTCGACTCGTTAGTGTGTCTGTTGGTGCAGAGGATTAGAGAAACTACTGTGCTTAGCCTAAGAGAAGTCTGCTTTTATATACTTAATCGCTGTTCAAGTACTGAAAAACGGTTTGCAGTTCTTGTTTCTTGCATCATCATGAGGCCCGTGGGATTTATAGTGGTCATGGATGTTTTATTTTCATTCACTGCTAATGTAATTCCTTTTGATTCTTGCAGCTTTGCCCATATCGTCTCTTTTCCCTTTCCTGTATTTCATGGTAGTGTATCGTTTTCTCTCTTAGCTTACTTACCGATCATTATAAATTGATAATATTTGTTTCGCTCTAGAAAATCAATGTCTCAGTTTCTGAAAGTGGGTGTTATTTGCAGAGGATGAGAACGCGTGCGCATTTACTTCATTTAATCTCTTAGATTTCAGTCGCTCGCCTCTAATCTTGTATCTGTGTATGGAGATAAACATGCATGTGGAGTAATCCACGTTTAGATACACGATCACAAGGTTTTCAATTCGAGCTTTTTATTCAAGCTCGCTTTCTCTTCGAGCCTACCTGCGCTCATTTACTTATTTTAATCTCTTAGATTTCAGTCACTTGACTTTGGTCTTGTACATGCATATGGGAATAAACATGCATGTTGAAGTAATCCACTTTTAGAGACATGAACGCAAGGCTATCAATTCAAGCTTTTATTGAATCCCGCTTTCTCATTGACCCTACCTGGGCTGGATTCCCTTTGGTGGCATGCATATCATTTCTGATGTGCTAATGATTACAATTTTATATGCGGTTGTTAATTAAGGCTGTGGTTCACTGCAAGTCAATGTTGTTCGCCCAGCTCCCTAAGATCTGTGAGATGTTAATACTGTTGGTGGAGCAAGTTCCACTTTTTCAGTCCTTTGGACCCAAAGAGCCTCGGTCTTTGTTTCATTGACACATATCCAAAATGAGATGAATACCAAGATTATTTCTTGATGATCTCTTCTATTTGACTTTTGGCATCAGACCATTCTATATCTATGAGCTCGAGTGTTTGCACCAGATGCTATTTTAGTTGAAAATCTTCATTTTAGCTTTTTAGGCTTTACTAATGCGGAGCTTGCTATTTCACCTTCTCCAGATAAGGGACTTCAAAATAGCCAAGAGAGAAGAAGATATTGGCTTCTATGCTGGATATGTAGGTGAGCACTTGGCATTTACTTCATGTCGATCTCTTATGCATTTGTTTGTGCAAATATTTTTATGTAGTTCAAGATTTCTGTTTGGATAATTCAAATCCATTTAATTTTGTCTCCCTGAAGGTTCTGCTTTTATGTTTGGAAGAGCATTGACTTCTGTACTCTGGGGAATGATAGCAGATAGATATGGCCGAAAGCCCGTGATACTATTCGGTACAGTTACAGTGTTAGTACTTCTAGACATCTGTTCTAGTGTGTATAATTTCCCAGACACATGCTCGATGTCTGTTCTCGTAATCTTGCGCTCCATCTCTTGGTTTGGTCAATAATCAGGGTGGTTTTCAACACACTTTTTGGCCTCAGCACAAACTTCTGGATGGCAGTCTCCACAAGGTTTCTCCTAGGAAGTTTGTGTGGCATACTTGGCCCGATGAGGGTACAGTCTTCTTAACCCTTCGTGTTAAACATATCTATACTCTCGAGTCCAACTGTGCTTTAGGTCGTACATTGTGTTTTCATAACTAATTTATAATGTTGCTGTCGTTGCTGCCTAGTGATGGTCTGGGAAAAATGCTGTGAGGGCCACAACCTCATTATGCTTGAGATTCACACCTCTTTTTGTGAAGCGTTGTCAGTTCATGTGGCCATCTGATGCATAAACTCTCACAATTCAACAATCCCTTTTATTCGTCACTGTGATAACAATAAACATTTGAAGTAGCCTGAGATCTCATAATGGGACAAAGGAGTTTAAAGTAGAAATCAGTTCCTAGACCATTTGCATATATGTTCGACTGCTGGCTACCATTTTGTCCTCATGAAACTAACTGTTCATTTGTGGCATCATGTTGATGTACACAGTGATCTGTGTACTAAAAAGCTGTTCGGAGCTGTCATTATGCCAACAGGCTCCCATGCCTTGTCTCAACACATGTTTCATTATCAGGTCTTTGTTAGTTTTTCTCGGTCTGATGCTCATATGTGGGATAGTCATTCTGAAACTACACTATTCACTTAGCTTTTTAGTTTCCGCACTGAATCTCTATCGTCTTCCTGAAAGCATGATGAGTTAAAGGTGTTTGGAGATGTCTTTGGATTTATCTGATGAATTATGGTGGAAGAAACTGCTATAGACATTCATTTATTTTTTACATTGCCAGGCATACGCTTCAGAAGTTTGTCGTAAAGAGTATCAAGCTTTGGCGATGTCAATTGTATGGAAGTTCCACACTCCGATTTTCTATTTGATAATACCTTCTTCAAGTGCTAGTATGATGCAATCTGAATGAAGCATAAATTTGCAGATTAGCACATCATGGGGTATTGGATTGGTCATTGGTCCGGCTATTGGGGGTTATTTTGCCCAGGTACTGTTTCTTTTTAACTAAAATGGATCATGAATGCATGGTCAAAGCACATAACTAGCAAAGGATTTCATGATTGAAAACTCAGAAATTGCGTACCTGTATGTAATGATGATATCACCCGGAGTTTTTGCTATGAGAAAATGATTCTTTTTAACATTTAGAAGATTTGCACTTCCTAAATTCATTCGGACTGATGATTTGACAGAATAAGGGATATCATCTACTCTGAACATTGTTTTTAAACCCAGACCCAATCGGCTAGTTCAACCAGTCGAACCAGGAGCCGGACCGATCCGGGTTTTAAATTGAAAACTAGAGTGGTCAAGAGCCGGTCAAACCTGGCTTAAAAAATTGAGCAGAGGCGTCAACAAGAGGGATTGAACCCTTGACCTCATCGATATAGCAATAACTCCCAGCTCGTCTAATGAATTCTATAATGATATAAATAAGATAATTTAGTTCTATGATGGGAAAACTTATCTACCTGGTGGTTGGACTGGTTGAATCAATTGACCTACGAACCGGAAGGCAGACCGGTTCTTTGACTGGTCCGCGCTTATAGACACTGATTCTAAATCTAAGTCACGGTCAATCTGGTTGTTGTAAATTTCCTTGAATGTAAATGAGATACTGAGATCGCATTGTGATGCGATCCCTTTGGGCTAAATGCAGCTTTTGAAATCTTTTCAATAGAGGATTCGTCTACTAACTAAACACTGGTTTTTTTTTTTTGGTCTAAAAGCGAAGTATTTCATTCATTAACTAACGAAAGGATAACATAGGTTATGGGTTTCTAAACATAAAAGATCCCATAGAGGTAATGGCAGCTTTACGAGCCAATCTTGGGGCAGGGCTTTCTTGCTATGAGTCTTGGCTATCCAGTCCGCGACTTGATTTGATTTGCGTGGGCTGTAGACCAGCACTACAGCTTTGGACCGGGAAAGCTTTTGTTTGCATTCTTCACGGATGGCCTGAATCTCCCACGGGCCCGGAGTGCAGAGCAACTAAGCCGTTTCCAAGTCTCATCACTATAACAAAAAGTGAAATTACTCGGTGGAAACAATCAAACACTGAATCTGATTTACAGCAAATTATATCATTGTATCAGAGAACTGTAGAAATATCTTGTAAGTTATTCCCTGGATTTCACGGTTCATCTGGTTCGACATACTTGTTGGCTTAACATGTGCCTCTGGTCCACGTCAATTCACTTGAGAAGCCTCTGTCATGTCACCAGTCATTTGGACTTAATATGATGCCTTAGTCATCTACATTTAGGTGGCCTAGGTAGCTAAGTTATTCCTTGATTCAATGCTTATTCTATAAATTGCGGTCTCTTTCTCATCTCTTGTTTTTATGGATTCTTTGACCCATCCAATGTTGTGTTTTTAATACTATTTTGCATCCATCTCTATGATATGCATGAATTATTTTGCAGCCTGCAGAAAAATTTCCTAATGTGTTTCCCGAAAAATCCATTTTTGGGAGGTAAGTGATGGTTTGCAATTTCCACTTTCCATAATAGTTTATCCTTTCATCACTTGACGTTGCTGACTTCCAAAATGAATGAAATGTAGGTTTCCGTACCTTTTACCATGTCTCTTGATATCAGTTTTTTCATTGGGGGTGATGGTTGTTGCTTGTTGGCTCCCGGTATGTTACTATATGAAACTTAAAGCCTTTCATATGGCCTTTGCATACCCCTTAATTGCACATATCATGTGAATGTTGGAGAGAATAGTGCATAACTTTTGTCAATCATTTTTTTGTTGCATGGTAATCTTCAGTATCTAGAAAGTATCATGCAAAAAGATGCTAAATAAACATGAAAGGATTAGTGTACAAGAAACTTGGAAAGTATGGGGTTACTTTACTTCTCTTATCGCAGAACTAAAGAGTGGACTCAGTGTTGTGATTTTGATTTCTTCTGGGTGGTCGATAATTTGAAACATCTCTGAAACTTAAACTTTTTGAGGGAGCAATAGTGCATTGAATCTGCACTGCTCTCTGCTCTTTTTATACTAATAGTTTAGTTAATATCCTTCAATCTATCATTCTCAAATGGCAACAGTATTATGGTGCACTATTCTAGTTACAGTGACTCACATAATGTTCTCATTTTTCTTTGACATTTCTTTCTTGGTGCTTCTGGTTGATGATATAGCATGACGTTTGCAAAGTTGTCCTGCAAATCCCATTTGAATGAAAGTTTTTTGCTTCTGACTGCACCTGCCATCTCTTTTTGAATGTGCAACTTGTCCTAATATATGCTCTCTATAGGGAACTTTTATCGGGTAGGGGTGTGGCCTTAAATGTTATCATTTCTAATTATCAACTACTTCTCATGTCAAAGAATTCTTAGTATAGTCAATGGATCAAATAAGTGACTCAGAACTCCAATATTTACCCAGGAAACCCTTCATATGCATGGTGAAAACAGCAAAGAATGTGATATACCATACGAGGCACTTGAGGCAGAGGAAAATAAAACTTCGAAGGAAGAATCACAACGAAATGAGGGAAGTCATCAGACGTCTTGGAGCCTTCTCAGAAATTGGCCATTAATGTCATCCATAATTGTCTGTTGTGTTTTCCAGCTTCATGACATGGCATATACAGAGGTACTTGTTTGAAATTGTTGTTCCTTTCTTATGCTGTTTGCAATTTTGTCTTTGTTTACCTATGGGCATAAATTTCTGAGCTGGAAAGCTGGAACATTGCCACTGGCACCTATCTAGAAAAACCAACTTGTCTGGTCAATTATTGCTGGTGCAAAGAGCCATTGTGCTCTTGACACTCTGTCATCTGGAACATTTTTGTTTGATAATACTCATACTTGGTCATTCATAGTGTTTGCTTATTGATCTATTCTTTGTTAACCACCTACTTCAGATATTTTCACTATGGGCTATCAGTCCTTGGAAGTTTGGCGGATTGAGCTATTCAACAGCAGATGTCGGTGAAGTTCTTGCTCTTTCGGGTAAAACGGAAGAGATTTATATGAAAATAGTTATTTGATCATGTGAGATATTGTATCTGGTTAACAATTTTACTTTGGTACTGAGGATTATCCTATTTAACCTTCAGTCAGACGATCCTTTTTATAAATCTAGTTGGAAATTTGATTCTTAATTTGAGTCTTGAACTCGAGATAGGCCAAGGCAAGTTTTTTCTTTGTTTAAGCTGTCTGAGTTGTACACCCCTGGATGAGATTAGTTAGGACCTGACCTGCTCAATCCTGTCAATCCTGCATTTTGGGTACGTTATTGATCTGTAGGCTGATAGAGTCTTTTGTTTGATCTGGGCATAGCTGGGGGTCTTGTACCGCATTTGAATTGGGAATGTTACAATCTTAGGGTAACTAGTAGGGTTGTTCTATAGGAGTTGGATCGTTTTGTGAAGGTCGGCTCTGTATACACGTTGGTACCCCTAAGTGCCGCGTCTTTCTAATTTTATTTTCGTAAGAAGTCGAGACCTTATATATGGCAATGAGATCAGTGGTTACTTTAGGTTGAAATTTGTTACTATCTGTTCCTTCTCAATCTATTCAATATTTGCAAACATAGGTGCACAATTTATGTAGCCCGACTCGATTTGGATTTGATCTCATTTTTTTCCATTCTTTGGTAAATATTAGGTTTTGGGCTCTTATTATTCCAGCTATTTCTGTACGCACGAGTGGAAAGGATTTGTGGACCGATTGTAATTTCTCAAGTTGGAGCTGTATGCCTTTTTCCCACTTTCCAACTTTTTTCACCAAAAACGGTGTACTAACTTTGTCTCCTATTTCTTGCTCTTACATTGATATTTTCTTTCCATATAAAAGGTGTTGAGCATAATTCTGCTGTCAAGTTACCCCTTTATAGCTAATCTGACCGGCATTTTTCTCACAATACTGGTGGATTCAGCATCTATTCTGAAGAATGTGCTTGCGGTAAGTTCAACATGCTCTCGAACCTTCTTGCTGCAACTGTTATGGGTGCACACGAGCCAGTGCGTGCATATGTGTTTGTGTTGTTATTTGAGTAGAGCGAGCTCCAATTTTGGTAATTAAATCTCGATAGAGTATCTACTTTGTTAGTACAAGGAACATGAGAGGTTAATCGCACAAGAATGATAATTGTAAGGAATAGAAGGAAGATGACTAGCTTTTCAGGAAGTAATCTGTACTCTAGATTCTTGTCGATCGACAGTTTCTGCAGCGGTGCGGGATATCATGCTATTATAGTTACTCCATCCTAGAAGTTTGGCTTATATTGAAAAATAAAAGCGGTTTGCTCATGTATGTTATTTAACTTAGGTATTGGATAAGTATAAGTTACAGTTGTTGTTTATTCGTGCTTTGAAATTGTATTGTGTCCCATGTATGTGAAAGAGTTTTATCCTCTTTCTTGCTACGCCACACTTATTCGGCATTCTTTGTGCAAATTAGGTATCCATAACTACAGGCTTATTCCTACTTCAAAACAGAGCTGTGGTAATATTCTTTCTTTTTGGGTTCTTAGTTTTGGGCAAGCCCATTGTCAATATGACTGATCTTCGAATAATCCTGATTTAAAATGATTAGACTCAGGAGCAGAGAGGAGCTGCAAATGGTATCTCTCTGTCTGCAATGTCTCTTTTCAAAGCAATGGGTCCAGCAGCAGGAGGTTCGATGTAAGAAATTTCATTAATATATGCTCCTTGAGCCCCTTGTTTTAGGATGCTTGGCAATTCAATTACTCCTAAGCCTATATATAAATTTAATTTGGGGGAGGAATGTCAACAGGCTGACAGTGGCAAGTAGATTTTCCTGAATAGAATGGACTCGTAGTGTTTTTGTTTGAAGTATCTATACTTCCTGTTATTCATGCACAAGATTTCTGATAATGAACAGCAGCATTGGAAAGAAAACCGCGTGTGCATTGGAGACCGCACATGTATTTATACTATATTTAGGTGTTACAAGATAGGAAACTCAAGATTGCAGAAAATTTACTATCAAATACACCTACTATGATAATACTAACAAGATTTATTCGTGCATAAGATGAGACTGACTTCAAGTTGGGCACATATGCAGATACTACCATTTGAGGATAACTTTCAGAGAGATCATGCTTAGCACACGGTTATATAACTCTTATGATTTTCCCAATCTAAATCAAGCCGGTTCTCCATGAAGATTATTAAACTTCCTTTGGTAGATATCCGGGTCAACGTTGTAATCAATCACGATTGCATGGAAAGTTACATAGTTTATTATAAAAAAGAAAAAAAGAGTTGAATAATGTACAGGCGAAGGCCTCATATGGTCATGCCTTATTAGAAGCACACCCGCCCTCTCCTATTGATCTCAGAGTTAGATGATTCCATAATAGGAAAAGGAAACTGGTGATGCAGGTTACATTTTCTTGTATTTGGTCAATTGTCTTAGTCATAGGGAAAGAGATTGACATTACAAGTTGGTTTATATGTGCAAAGTTAGAAATTTCAGGATGCTTTGTATGCAATTTCTGCAAATTAAATTGTGCATGTTGCGTGTTAGGTCCAATTGATTGTCTAGCTAATTCAGGTGTGAGTATAGACAACTATTTTGTGTTCTTTGGGAATGGAATCTGTATTAAGACTATGTAACTGAGATTTCATCTTCTGAAGTTTCTGCTTGGACTCATGCCGTCATTTGTTAAAACATCGCTGCTTGGTTTATCTGTAAAAAGTTATATAAGAGCTCTGCTGCTAATTTCTTTCATTTGACATCCAGCCATTTAACTAGTGAATAACAACTTCGAATTTTTGCCAATGTGCTGCTTATGAGAATGACTTTGCTGAAATGGTTTTTTCCATCATTTGGTGGTGGGTCCGTGAATAGGCTAAATGGATGCATTCTGTGGCTCTGTGAATTTTTGCCTCGTTGAGATCACTAACAAACTGAAGCAGCTGACGATAGGGCTTATGTGACAAGTTTTAGTTCCTGACTTTTAATGCTTTTGTGTAACTACAGCTTTTCTTGGGCACAAAAGCGTCAAAATGCTTCTTTCCTGCCTGGTAAAGACCACTCTCTGTACCTTACAAATATCTGGAAGTTTTTGTCTAACAGTAGCTAAAGAAGTGATCCTGTGCATGGTCTATTTGCACAAGTTTCCTTGTACCAGTTGGCTGTTGTAATCATCTAAAGACAATTTGACTAATATAGTCGTGTTAAACTACTAAAAGGTCTGTACTGAATTAGGAGGTGCATGTTTCTCTTTCCAAACATTGTAATCTTCTGACTTCTAATCAGACTTTAAAATCTTTCTTAGCTTGCTCTCTTAACTACTAGCGATAGGCTGTTCAATATCTTCGGTGTCATGCTTTCAGATTTTGATTTTGTTAGAATGCTACCGTGACCTAAACCTATATTTTTTGGATCTGAAAAGTTTTTCTTGGCTGAAGCAACCCCCTAGTTCTCCAATCTCTTGACCTGCAATGATTGAACTACCACATTTCGCAACTCTGGTTTCTGAACAAGCGGGTAGTCTTGCAGACAGAAACATGCACATGTGGCTATACTCGCATCAAGTGCTTATCGTAGCCTTTGCATGTCAGTATAACCGCGCATGCCTATGCTTTCTGTGCATTATTTTTAGTCTCTTCTCTATATTTTTCTGTCGATTGAAGTTGAATTTATGCTCTCAAAATTCACCTCATGGAAAGAAAGCTGAAATCTATGGCTTTGTTGGGATGCAGGTAATCACATGGTTTTCTTCCTCCTCAACGTTATCGAGGCATTGGGATTGCTGATGACCTTCAAACCTTTTCTGGCTCAGCCGAAGGACTAGCACTTTTTGGCAATACCGTGTTCCATTGCAGCCGTCATGCACTGCAAAACATAAAAACTATACGGTAATAGATCAATATCCTGCAAAGTTAGACCTTTGCCTCTGTAATGCGGCGTCGCAGCATGGGCCCTTTTTTTTTTGCTTCGTGATGCACAAATACAATCCAAGACATATAAGTGCAGTGTTGTCACTGTTTGCCACATTGATTCATTCATGTGAAAGCAGGCGGAATTGCAGTTCCTGTATCTGAGTATCTTCATTGCCTCCATGATTTTCATCTACGTTCTTGCGGGCAGCGGTAACTTTTCAGTTTTGCGGCCTTGGTATATATGTAAAGCCAATGCCTCGTTCGTGGTATATATGCAAAGCTTATATGCAAGCGGAAGGTGCTTAGAGTTTGAGTAGCCGTCAGGCCTTCGATCTTTTTCTTTTCCCTCATGTCTGTGCTGTATGGTGAACATTCCGGTCTCCAAGGAACTGCGTCCTTCATTGTTCATATCAGTAGCATACAATGGGGGAGATAGGAATCAGAAAAGTTTGTGAATCTTGGTGTAACTTTGGGGTTATAATTTTTCTTCTCTTGGGAGGCATTCATTATTTGGCTCCTTTTGTCTACGAGGTTACGAATTTGATTCACGCTGCGAGAGAACCTTCGTGCTATTCGGGTTGCATTGCCTAGTGATTTCCCCGTAGCTATCGATAGTGCAGCTTATGATTAGGGGCAAGCGGTTTTAGTGTGGGTGGGTTATCGATAGTGTAGCTTATGATTAGGGGTGAGCAGTTTCAGTGTGGGCGGGTTCGAGGTCTGGAACTTGATTCTCTTTTTTAAGAACCTGAAACCTATCCTGTAAAACCTGGAACTGACTTTGTCGGTCTAATCCGATTCAGTGTCTATTTGGAACCAATAAGTTCTTTGCAAGGACAGAATTTTAGTAAAACGTCTCCTTATTCACAAGAGGCAGAGTTGGCAATGGTAAGCATACAAAATGCAAGGTAAAATTAAAAGGAGGGAATTAAGGTTTCTCGTTCCGGGTCCAGATCCGATTCCGCATTTGGAGTCTGGACTCGGACCGGTAAAAGCCCGCTCCAAAAATTTGAAACCTTAAGAGGGAGTGAGATCCGGAATCTGGACCCGGACCGGTAATAGCCCCGCTCCAAAAATTTGAAACCTTAAGAGATAGAGAGAGAGTGGGGTCCAAAATTAGTTTAAAAAAAATACCAAAATTCAAAATGGCGTCGCCCACTATATTCACAGGCAGTGCGATGAGGTGGGCTAGTGGGAGACCTAAAAGAAGAACCTCCTCCTCCTCCTCCGCCGAAGCAGCCGCTTCTTCTTCTTCTTCTTCTTCTTCTTCTTCTGCTCGCAGTTGCAGCCCCGCTCGCCAAAGCCGAGCACGCCCATGTCGCCGCCGCCGCCGCCGCGAGATTGAACGCCGTCTAGAGGCCGTCGATGGCGAATCCGAGGAGGCCGTCGTACTCCGCGGCGGCCGGCCCGGCCATCAGCCTGGAGAGCGGGCAGGGCGGCGCCGCCGCGCAGGCCCCGAGGGGCGCCTTCTCGTCATCGGCCCTCGTCCACTTCCTCAAGAAGCCCCACGCCTTCCCCTTCCTCCTCTCCGCCTTCCTGCTCCTCACCTGGATCTCCCTCCGCCTCCAGAGCCGCCCTTCCGCCTCCGCCGCCGCGCGGTTCTCTTCCAACCGCGACAGGGAGCGGAGCAGGGAGGAGGACGACCGCAAGGCCAATCTCGTCAGGTTCCCCCTCGGTTCCTTCAGCGATAAGCGCGGGTGGCTCCTCGACCCCACCTCCGTCGCGCTCGATTCCGGCATTCGAGGTCTCTCTCTCTCTCTCTCTCTCTCTCTCTCTCTCTCTCTCTCTGCGCGCGCTGGGTTATGGTGGGATGTGAACTTCGGAGCCTTGTTGAGTTTGCTTGTTGTTGCTTGCTTTACTCTCCTTTTGGTTGATGACTTTAGATGGAGGAGTGTGGTTTTTTCGCTTGCAGGGGGAGCTGTGACCTGTGCTTCGATCCATGTTGGCGAAATCCGCCCTGGCGGTGTGAGGGGGAATCATAGGCATCACACTTGTAACGAGACGTTCGTCATTTGGGGTGCTAAGACCAAATTCAGGGTAGGTTACCTTTTTCCCTTTCTCCAAGTGTCTCAGGATTGAAGTGGAAGTTGTTTCTGAAAGCAAGTTGAGCGAGAATGGTTTCTAGTCATTGTTGCCGTAGACAGGATTTTCAGTAGTTCAAATTGAAGGCAATCGTTTCTAGTGAGCATTATTTGAGGATCTCATCTCATTTGTTGAATTTGGGCTATTGGTATGGCCCGAGTTTGACTTGCCAAACCTGTGGTTTAACTTATTGGTTATGGGTTATCAGAGTTCAATTAGATATTCGCCTGAAGTAGCTGACAAGCCTGATATGGATATTCATTGGCTGTGTAATGCATCATATAATGTGCTGTTTGAAGTCTAAGATATCCATGGGAAGTGTTGTCTTCAGGTTTTTTTTTTTTTTTTGTCATTCCTGGTTGTTGATGGAAAGAAAAAAACCACCATATGTGGCAGTTAATATTCAATGGTATTTTCTTTCTGGATGTTATCTTCGCCATATTACCTCATAGGAAAAAGATTGCAGTGCTGCGCACATTGTCTAGGAGTGATGAACCATTGGAGAGACCAACACATTCTCACGTTGCACTTTGTTTATCTTTTTCTGCTAAAAGAAGAATAGGTTAGAAGAAATAGAATCCGAGGGCTGGTTCAAGTTAATTGGGGCAGAGCGATGCAGAGTCAGTGGCTCTGAAATACCTGTGGGTTTTCTACAGGGTGCCCCCAGCTCCACGCCCTCAACATCAAGAAAAGTCAATGGCATCATAGTACGGGTTTTGTGCTCTATCAATGGGTGTTCCTGGAAATTGGAGCTTTTCAGGGTTTTTCTGAAAGCTTCTCTATCCTCTCTCCTCCATTGGTTTTCTCTTCACAAATCCGCCTCCAAATGCCATCACATATCTCAATCCTGTTTTGTCTATCTGTCAAAAGAATGAAACGCTGGCTGCAGATGGTGTGTGTGTGTGTGTGAGAGAGAGAGAGAGAGAGAGAGAGAGAGAGAGAGGCTAAAAGAAATGGAATTCGAGGGCTGGTGCAAGTTAATTGGGGCAGAGCGATGCGGAAACAGTGGCTCTGAAACACCTGTGGGTTTTCTACAGGGTGCCCACAGCTCCACGCCCTCAACATCAAGAAAAATCAATGGCATCATAGTACGGATTTTGTGCTCAATCAATGGGTGTTCCTGGAAATTGGAGCTTTTCAGGGTTTCTCTGAAAGCTTCTCTATCCTCTCTCCCCCATTGGTTTTCTCTTCACATATCCGCCTCCAAATGCCATCACATATCTCAATCCTGTTTTATCTATCTGTAAAAAGAATAAAATGCTGGCTGCAGTTGGTGTGTGTGTGTGTGTGTGTGTGTGTGAGAGAGAGAGAGAGAGAGAGAGAGAGAGAGAGAGAGAGATTTGCACAAAGAAGAGGCTAAAAGAAATGGAATTCGAGGCCTGGTGCAAGTTAATTGGGGCAGAGCAATGTGGAATCAATGGCTCTGAAACACAGAGAGAGAGAGAGAGAGAGAGAGAGAGAGAGAGAGGCCACATTTGCACAAAGAAGAGGCTAAAAGAAATGGAATTCGAGGGCTGGTGCAAGTTAATTGGGGGCAGAGCAATGTGGAATCAATGGCTCTGAAACACCTGTGGGTTTTCTACAGGGTGCCCACTGCTCCACGCCCTCAACATCAAGAAAAATCAATGGCATCACAGTACGGGTTTTGTGCTCAATCGATGGATGTTGCTGGAAGTTGGAGCTTTTTACAGTTTCTCTGAAAGCTTCTCTATATTCTCTTCCCCATTGGTTTTCTCTTCTCAAATCCACCTCCAAATACCATCACATATCTCAATCCTGTTTTGTCTATCTGTCAAAAGAATAAATTGCTGGCTGCAGTTTTTGTGTGTGTGTGTGTGTGTGTGTGTGTGAGAGAGAGAGAGAGAGAGAGAGAGAGAGAGAGATTTTCGCAAAGAAGAGGCTAACAGAAATGGAATTCGAGGGCTGGTGCAAGTTAATTGGGGCAGAGCGATGCGGAATCAGTGGCTCTGAAATCCCTGTGGGTTTTCTACAGGGTGCCCACAGCTCCATGCCCTCAACATCAAGAAAAATCAATGGCATCATAGTACGGGTTTTGTGCTCAATCAATGGGTGTTCATGGACATTGGAGCTTTTTAGGGTTTCTCTGAAAGCTTCTCTATCCTCTCTTCCCCGTTGGTTTTCTCTTCACAAATCCGCCTCCAAATGCCATCACATGTCTCAATCCTGTTTTTCTCTATCTGGAAATAGTATGAACCACTAGCTGTAGTTCTCATGCATGGTTCTACCTTCCTTAGATACTTCTCCTTGTTCTTTTGTTTAAATTGTTTTTATTTTGGTGATAGCTTGATTCTTGTAGAACTACAATCTAGCAAAGGAGATAAAGAAGAAACAGGAATAAGGGTACAGTGCACATGTAAAGAGTCAAGTGTTTTCGTTATTAGAGGGCTTTTGTGTTTCTTATACGATATTGAACTTGTTGCAGCTGGAGAGCAGTGAGATGGGTGACAAAACTTATGCTGAAGTAGTTGCTGCTGCTGATGAGGTTGTTGTTGCAGCAAGTCCAAGTGGTACAGCTCATGCCTTGATAAATGTGGATCCTGTACATACTACATTCTTCATTGGGTGCCAGGATAGTGTAATAAACTATAACAGCTCCAGTACAGACTATCGTGTTTGGAAAGATCTGTAAGTCGAAGTCGTGTCAAATATGGCTCCGCCTCCCTGGCTGTCCAACTCATGTCTGATTAATTAACTAACTAGTCTAGTTTTCTTTCCCTTTTGCTCACATCCGCGAGTCGTTGTAATCGGTCACGTTCAATCTGATGTAATTTGAAAGTTGATATGTAAATAAAGCAATGGCCCGCATCTGGCTTGTCAGCCGCCCTTCCTTTTCTTGTTCTGGCAGTCGACAATGATATTCTGCTAGGTGCACAAGCAGGTTAGCGCCAGTGCCACGAGAAATCCAAGCTAGAAAATTTGATGTATTTCATCTGATACCGTCGTACCATAATTTCTTGGGCGGATGATTCATTGCCTGTCACTCTCTCTATTTTTCTATTTGTTAATAGTGAATTTGTGGTCGGACTATAGATTTATGGTGGGTTATTTGTCTGGTGATACAGTATTAGTCTTTCTATGATAGGGGGAAGGAAATAGTCATCAGTTTTGTGGAGTGCAAAATGCTCAGAGGCGCACTTCTTTTGCTCAGTGATTTTGCAGTGACCTAAGGACAAAGGATAATCAATTCCCACGCAGTGTTGAAAACTGGCCTTTTGGTAGAAATTGCCTTTTCGTTTAGGACATCCTTTTGGCCATGTCCAGTTCTTGAACAACTTATTTATATAATTTTATGTAGACATGAAATTTTAAGTATCATTCGTTAGAGGCTGCACTGTCTTGCTCGCCATTTCCTTTTTAAATAATCAACGTTACAGGTGCAAAGCTCTCGTGCGAAAGGAGAATCCATGGCGTTAATAGTCTCCGGCTTTACCGGGGGGGACGTTTGAGAACAACATTTAACATTTCATATAATCCAAGAATTAGTTTGAACATGTACAAAATGTTTAATGACCAAATTGAACAAATTAAAAGTTCAAGACGACATTGCACATTAAGCTAAAGTTGAAAGACCGCATTGAACAAATTAAAAGTTTATGGATTACATTACATATTTGACCAAAATTCGAGGACAATTATGGTGCGCATTTGAATACCATTCTCGTCTGGGCTAAATTTCAACGTAAATGATTTTTTTTATTCTCATGTCTAAACAATTTCTCGAGTATTTGAAGGCGTTTGATAAACCTGTCCAAAATTTCTATTCCTAGAGTAGAAAAGAAACGTAAATGCGTTTGAGAACTACTGCAAAATTTCGTTCTCAAATAATATTTTGAATTGTTTAATTTTTTTTTTTTTTTTTACCCATTTTCTTCTTTGGCCATGGCCAGTGTCTTGCGCGACCGGCCACGCCCCAGTGGCCGGCGAGGGCGTCACGGCCCTCGCCGGGCGAGGGCGAGGGCCGGACTCGCACTCGCCCGGGCGAGGCGGCTATGCTGGGCGCGAGGCCGAGCCTCGCCGCCGCGACCCACCTGCGGCGGCCGACCTCGCCGTGTCGTCGATGGCGAGGCTCGGCCGCTCGATCCGGGTGAGGCCGCCTCGCCAGGGCGGCGAGGTCCGGCCCTCGCCGCCTCGCCGGAAGGCGACCCTCACCTCCGCGCGGCCGGCGAGGGCCATGACGCCTCGCCGGCCACCCGGGCCGTGGCCGATCGCCGCCGGCCACGGCCACCTGGGGAAGAACAACACAAAAATAAGAAAAGAAAAAAAAAAAAAAGAAAAAAACCGATTCTCAAAATGTACGTAGAAACAAGAAGCAACTTTTTTACTTCTTGTTTCTTCCAAAACCTGTTTTCTCGGCACAAATTTTTGCAAAAATGTGCCCAGAACAAAAAGTTTACCAAACGCATTTCGCTCTCAAACTATTTCCTTGAAGTATTGCAGGGAGCGAAAGAACGAAATTTTCACTATTTGGCACGTTACCAAACGGGCAAACAGTGTCATTTTCCCAAAAAACAATTTTCTTCCTAACAGATGTCAAGGACTCAAGATCCGGATAGACTTCCTCGTGAGAACTCGATTCGGTGTGCATTTATGCCTGACCATCAGGAAGGTTCGAGCACGGTCAGAAAGAAAGTGACAGAGGAAGCTCTCTCCAAGACCATAATGCATATGTTCTCTTTGGTTCCAACCTTGCTCTTCCATGCGAATCGGCCTCCCTGTCGTATCCTGTTTCTACATCACTATTCCCTACTAACATAGTAGGCAGCCTCGTGCATGAGGACGTCCCATTACATGTTTGGTCGGGAGAAAGCTTTGCGACACCTCGACTTTCCCTATCTAGGTGTTCTGGAGTTGTTAACGTCTGCTATTGCTGTTTATGCTCAAGGCAAGGCAGTGCAAACTCCTAATGCTATCTAATGATTGGATGTAAATAGGGATGAGTTGCCCAAGTCTTCTAGGAAAGGAGAAACTTTAGGTCGTAGGAGGCTACAAAAGAACCATTGAGTTCACAAGAAAGAGGGCAGGCAAGCTGGGAAATCCCTCCTATCTGCAGATTTGTTTCTTCAGGCATGTCTCGATGCCGTCGCTATAAGCAGCAATGGAACGGGGGTATCATGGAGACTCGGATAGGCTTGGGGTGGTGGTTGTTTAAGGGCGGACTCGACTCCTGGATTATACCATTGCGATCGTTGAATCAAGTAAGATGGCATCGGCTCTACTCAAGTCGGGGAATCCATTGTATGAACTTGATCGTATGATCACAGTCGTCGGATGATGCGGGCCCGCGGAGGGTGAAGAGGGTGCTCCCCTCAAGCTGAAGCACGCTGGCCCCCTTTGAGAGAAAGCAAGGGCAAGAGTGCAGTCCAAGGCATTGAGAATGATGTCTCATGAGTCCATTGCCTTTTCCTTTATCTCATACTCTCTTCTTTTTACTGTTCGTGTCTCCTGCAATGCAGATTCTGTGTTGAACACATGATATCTGCTCCTGCTCAATGCTAGGTCCATCTCGTAGCGGGCAGTAAATGCTTGCCCGGACTCGGGTCCGTATAAATTGATCAATCACGATCGTTAATCATGTGGGCCTCACAGAAATCAATGGCTGTGATTGCATACGGTCCATGAGTCCACGAAAGTACAATCAATCCATGTGAAAATAAGTCTAGCCATATCAAACTTTCGGTTATTCATCACGTCATTGCTCATTATTTATTTTGGAAGCACGTTTCGAGATGATGTTGCGGCGAGGAGAAATTGTCGCCCATTTATGAAATCAACAAGTATGTAGAGCCAGCTTATTTATACTCGCAAATAAGAAAAAGTATATTTGTCTACTTTCTCGTCATCTAGATTTTCGCTCAAATTTAGAAAGATTAGGAAAAAGTTGTACTCGAATTTACTTACCGGCATTTGACCGTTGCGAAAGTTTCGAAAGTTCAGAACCATAAAATATCAAACCGGGTAAGCAGCGAGATTTAGATTAAGCGAGAAAAACGAAAAGCAAGAAGTGTCAATTCGGACCGAGATCGTCGGCACACATCGGAGTCGTATGGATCCCAAAAGCTTATCGCGAAAGGGGGTCAGGGTTAGGTAAACCAAAGTGGGAAAAAAGAAGGACAAGCACAGGATGCCACCACCCCCCCCCGCTCTCATTTTCATTGACCAAAACTCATGTTATCTCTGAATCCTAAGCTTACCCACTTTCGTTAAAGGGAGACAGCTAAAGACATCGATGGAATGGAGAAAGCGATGACCTTTATTGATTGAATTGGGGGTGTTGAATGGTGAGAAACGACAAGAACAGGAGGATTCAGATCGAAATGATTCGGGGATTCAGGGCGAATCATAGTGGTTTCGTTCGACTTTTGGTCTTGTCGTTTGACGCGATTCGGGGACATTAGGGCACTGTCGTTGGATGATTATCCTAAAGAGATTTCAAGTGGATGCTCTGTAATCCTGAAAGAGATTGGGGGGGAGCTTCTCTTCTAATGTTGAAATCTGGCCGTTAACTCTCCGTCCGTATCCAACTCGATCCTTAGATATTAGTTTCGGTCGATTTAGTCCTGTAACCGTTTGGTTTGAACCGATTTAGTCCTTCCGATTGACATGGTAATCCAACTCGGTCATAGAATCCAGATACGCGGGCGTGATTGTTGATGTGTAAAACTGGATCAGCAAAAATTTGATATGGAGAGAGAGATCTGGGTCTGCGGCATTGCCACCCAATTGGACCGTGGAAGGCAAAGGCCTCGCATTATGTGGTGGTGCAACCACTCGCTACCATCGACATCAAGCGATAGCCAGACTAGCCATTGGTGGATGCCGCCCCCGCCGCCGCCACTGAGCATTAGGACAAGCAGTTAAGGTGGCGGTGCTAGCATGATAAAAACAACCGCATGAGGTTGACGGTGGCATTGTTGGGAGCGTACTACAGAAGAGGTCAAGTCCGAGCTCGTCAAACGTGTCTAGTCGGATTCGTATTCACCCAAAAGCTAAAGCTAACCGAGTTACTGACCAACTAGCCAAACCGATTCTCCAATACAGAGGTCTTCCAACACGATCCATGCGTGCATCTCAACAAAAACTAACGACATATCGATCTTACCTTGAATTCTTGAAATTCGGCAATAAAATACACACACATAAGTATATGTATGTATAAGGAAATAACATGCAGATGGGCTTAAAGAATGGACGTGTGGGAATTAGTATAGCATGGTACTAAACAGTAGTAACAAAATGTACTTAAAACACACTCTCATACGGCTGCGATAACGCCGGCCCTCTTACAGAAAAGAGGAGCGCAGCAGCAAAGCAGCAGCGACCGCCACCAACACCCTCTCCTCCTCCTCTTCATCGTCTCCTCCCTCTCTCTCTCTCCTTCTCTCCCGTCCGTCGCGCAACGCTCTCTGCAACCACTCCTCACCCTCCACCGCAGCGAGCGAGAAGAGAGAGAGAGAGAGAGAGAGGATGAAGAGAGAGAAGACCATCCTCCTCTCCTCCTGCTCCTCTTCCTCCTCCTACCGTGAGCGCAGCGCTGCCGCCGCCGCCACGACACCTGACGGCCATAGCAGCTGCCTCCACTCCCAGAGCATCGGGTGCATGTCCGGCCTCTTCCAACTCCTCTCCCGCTATCAGCACCGCCGCAAATCCCTCACTTACGGTATCTATCTTCCTTCTTCTTCCTCCCTCCTCCTCCTTTCAGCTTTGAAAGGATGATGATAGGTAGAGGCTCTTTGGTTGACATCATGGCTATTCCTACTTCTTCCCTCGCCTTCTTCCTTCTGCTTGAGATTTGGCCAGTTTCGTTTGCCTTCGAACTTAAACCGAATTGCTGAGAGGTTGCTTTCTTGAATTTCCCAGGTAAAAGGCAGCAGAAGAACACTCTAGTCTCTCCTCCCACCAAGGACGCAACCGCGGATCTAGTGCCCGCCCTACTGCGAGGAGGAGCCGATGGGAGCCGAAACGACGGCTCTCCCGCCGCTGCCGATAAGAGGATCTCGTGCGAGGTGCCGAGGAGCCCCACGCTGCCGGCGGAGATCCGGCGCTCGCGCCCGCCGGTGGGGCTCGCCGCTCCCCAGCAGACGCCGCCGCCACCGACGCGGCCGACGGTGGTGGCGCGCCTGATGGGGCTCACCTCCGGCGATGCGCCGGAGTCCGCCGCGGAGAAGAGGCGGGAGCTGCTGGGGGCGCTGGACAAGTGCGACCGGGACCTGAAGGCGCTGAAGAGGATCATCGACGTGGTGCGCTCGGCCGAGCAGCTCCGGCACGAGCAAGGAGCCGCGAAACCGAACGCGAGCTTCGACGGCCGGCTGCAAGAGCTGGCGAAGGAGGAGGAGGGAGGCGGGGAGGCCGAGGGTGACGGCGATTCCGGCGACAACGAGAACAGCAACAGCGGCGGGGAGGAGCAGCAGCAGGAGCCGCCGGAGCAGGCGGCGGAGCAGCCGAGTCCGGTGTCCGTACTGGACGAGTTCACTCGGTCGACACTGATCAGCGGCTACACGAAGCGACATTCTTCCGCTGGTATGTTCTCTTCTGCCGCCATTAATGATCGCTCGTCTTTTCTCTCGTGCGCATCTGCATGCCCCAGAAGCGCTGGACGACAAAGGTTTATCAATGCCCCCCCCAAAGGTCAACTTCATTTTTATCATTTTACCCAAATTTTTACGCAAAAAAATCACAAAAATAAGCACGGTAATCTTTGATTTCTAATGGTAATTGCGGCATAATCTAATAATAAGAGACCTAAATTGATGCGTGTTTAATCGTTATTATGTAAATATTAATTATAGGGTTAGTTTGTTGTGTATCGAAACTCGTTATTCAATTGCAGTGTTATAATATTTATTTCATCACAACTAATTATATTAATTGATTATAATGATTTTAACCAGGTATAGTATCGTATTTACTGTTTAAATTATGATAAATATATATCATTTATTGTTTACTTCTTAATGGAATGATATATAATAGCGTAATTATAATAAATAATCATATATATGATGGGCATGAATCGTTTTCTTAAATAAATTCGACAGATAGGATGCCCCCGAGGTATTTGTCATGCATGCTTAATTAGGAATATTTTAATTTTTAAGATGATGATTATGCATAACAAGAGAAAACGATACACGGAAAAATCACGAGCTTTTCTTCGTCGGTTGGTCAACAAGTACACCCGGGGCACTCAGTAAAACAAAGTCCTTTTATATTAAAAAAATGTTACGTAGTAAAATCCTCCGTGCCGAAACCACTAAGAACATCATAATGAAATCAAAAAAACAACCCGTCTGCCAATGACACGAGCCTAATTTCGAAAAGCAAAAATTAACACGCAGTCTCTACTTCACGGCATGTTCACACAAACAACTTTTTTGCATGAATTTCTTTTTTACTCTGGCATGAGTAGAGGAGTGGTGAGATTTAACACATGATTTAACCGAAACAAGCTGGGCCAACGGGTCATCATCAGGTCCTAAAACTTTCATGTTCTACTTCCTAGGAGTCCCACAGATGTTTACTGTGGAGTTTTGCAAGTTGCAAGCTAATTGCCAAAAGGGCAGTTAGTTATTATTCCCCAGGTTTCAAAAGCTTTGTCGTATAAGAAACTCCTTTTGGCCATATTGTCTTATGATCAGTCAGTCCATCCGGGACAGGTCCGACCACAAACAAGCCATTATCTGATCTGATCTGTTGTTCCAGGAGCCACAAGAAACGATTCTTTAAGCCATTCGTAGGGGTTGTCTACGATCGACAGTAGGGGAGAGCTTTCTGACAAGACATTGCTTTTTAGCCACATGCCATGTTTTGTTTTAGGATTCCAAGTAAAACAATCGAATGGCCTATCGGGTTCGGATCCATTGCAGCTATAGTGGATGACAACCCGACTGAAACTCTTCCCTCCATAGGTCACTTTATGACATTGTTGTGGCATATACCCAATTCGGATCCAAAGATGACTTGTCAGTTCCTCCCTTTGTCGTTATGATGATAACTATGAAAGAAAACATAGCCCATTTAGACCCGACATTGTAAAGGGCGTCATCTCGGTCCTCATCAGAATTCTGGGATCACCGGAAATGTAAAACACCTAGAGCTAATCCCTCTTCCCGAAGAAAATAAAGATTCGGGAGAGGGGGGGAATTGGGAGCGCAGCGCGTGCAGTATCGGCACGTTAAAATAAGAAACGCATTCATGGAGCCCGCCGTTCTTGTATATCAAACAGAACCCATTTAGATCCAACGTTCGAGATGGTCTGCTGTCCGTTCGGGTCGGGGCAAAGCTTTTGAACAGTGGTATGCATCAATGTAGAGTGGGGAGCGAATATTATGCGCTGTCCCTGTCCTGCCCCTTTGCTTTTTGCAAGGGGCGGATTCAAAAGGGGTAAAAGTGAAGGACCAAACAGAGAGAAAAAGCTAGGAGGCACACACCATTATTACTTTCACCGTTTGCAGGTGTCTGCTTTAATTAGTGCCAGGGGGCCACCACATTGCCCGAACACTTGAATACATCTATGCCAGTATCATATGTGATCACATAAACATTGTTTTTTGCAAATTTTGTGAAACTTGCAATCACAAAACCCGCAAAACTTTTAAGATATTAAACTATTGACGTGTGAAATGGTATATGATCTTTTCATGGCTATGCGGAATCTGTATAATGACATTTGTATTTTGAATTTTTTGTTGCGAAAGTCACGAGTCGAAATCAGAAATAGCTCGATGCGAAGATACTTTCCTTGGGGTCGGCTAAGTAGATTGACCGGGTAAAATACTTTGGCATGAGCCATCCTGAAAAAGGTTACCTTTGTGGTCCGAAAGAGATTTCTAGATAAACTTTGTAGCATGTTTATTGGCTTTAATTTTCGATTTGGTTCAAGTTCCGTCGGTATTGTGATCGATCAATCTTTTGTATGTGCAAATTGGCATGATAAACTTGCTAATTGTTGAAGACTACTCTTCATGGCACATATCTTCTTAAACTATGCCCTCTAAGTAGGAACCTGAGCTGAGACTTAGAAGGACTTGCTTAGGATCCGTACAAGTATGATTAGGGTCTGTCAGGATCGTTCTACCTTAGGTATCTAACAAATAATTATGCAGTGTGTTGTAACAATTGATAAAATCAGAATTTGTCCTGAAAGTGAACTCATTTCTTCAAGCCTCCTTTAACATATTTGAATCAATAATTTTCAAATTGAAATTTTAGACAAATCCAAATATATGCAAAACCTATGAGATTCCTATGGAGGAGAATTGGCCTTATACTTTTGTTCACTTTTTGCTTTTGAAAGCTCATCAAACGCGCCCCAACAATTTCTTGGCGTGCCACGCAGAACGGCTAGTGCCACCGCCCCAGAGGAAGAAGCCCGGAGAAGACTTAAGCTGCAGCATATGCCTCCTGGACAGGATCGCCTACGAGCCCTCGCCGGTCCGGGCGAGGAGCGGCGAGGGCCCGTCCCCGTCGCCATCGCCGCCCCCGTCGTGGGTCAGCGAGGCCATGAGGCAGAGCGTGGAGCAGGTGTGCAGGGACATCGCCTGGGGCCAGAGGAGGGAGGTGGGAAGGATAGGCATGGCCCTGCACGACCACATCTGCAGGGACTTGATAGAGGAGACTGTTCGGGAAATGGGGTCGTCTTGGTGCATCGTGACCTCCTCCCCACTCCCTTTCGATGCTTGTAAACGAAGACTCCGTTTTTAGTGCGTTGTTGTGACAAATCTTCTTTCCCTTTTTTTAGTTTCCTCCTCTGTTTTTTTCTCTATTGGGCTACTACGAAGGTGATTGTCATGTTGTGGTTGAAGAAGTAAGAATTAGGGGAATAGTCAAAGGCTTTTCAGATTTGCTTTCGTGAAAGAGCACTAGTTTCTCCATCTTCAAGCTTTGAGAAGTACTTGTTTGCGTGCGTTTTCGGGTACAAAATCTTGTGAAAAGTTTGAGCGAAAGGGCGATTAGGAAAGCCCTTTTCGGGCAATTGAGGGGAATCGAGGGAACGGGAGAACCCGACCACGAGTCGAGAAAGCGCAGAAGGCGAGAGTTTATTTCTACGGATACTAATCTCGGTAACGACACGATGATGAAATCTTTCACACTGCAAATTAACTAGGAAAAGAGTTTTAAGTCCTCCTTTAGGTACGCAACCAGCGTCCATTATCATTGATATTGAGCCCACCACCGTTCATCGGTAGTATCATCACGACTCTCAAAGCCATGCACAATCGCAATACCAAACTAAACACGGCGAGTGGTACGATCCCGAGTCAAGCCTTGGCCAAACCTCAGAAATCCAAATGTCGTGACGCTTTTCGAATCCTGTGGCCATTATTATCCTACGCCAATAATTCCTGCTGTAAGAAGAAGCTATACTCGATAACAATGACTAATCGGTTCGATTCGCTTTCGTCAGTCCACAATCAAACCTCCTACGCAATGAATTTTTCCCCGACCAACGTTCATCAGCCATCAAGGCGTAGAGCAGCTACTCGTCAATGGGCCGTACAGTGCCTAAGAAGGACAAATTCGAGCCCATTAAAATGCCGTAAAGCCCACGAAATCTTGTCTCTCCTCTCTCTCTTTAGGCGATTTTCCCACCCCGCCCATCATAAAATTGATACGTATAAATCTTCGGGCTCGACCGGACTTTCTCACTAAATGCCCTTGTTGAAGCCCGTCCAAAAAGCCCTCGGTCCTTGTGGCTCGGGCCCAATCGACTCGGTGGGCCACGAGACCCATGATCAGATTTAGTCGGCGAGCATCACAAGTCACGTGAAGTTATCACATTGTTGATCATAAACTTAGCTGCATATCTCTAGAGAATTATCTATGAACTTCTAACTCGAGCACTTGTTACCTCACAATGGCAGATTTACCGACTCTTGGCACGCCGTGTCTCGCGAGGCTGCAACGATGGATTGGTCGACTTCGAACCTCCGGATTTATTATAGATAGCGAGCATTTCATAACAAGTTTGAGACTCTCATGGAAACCCTTGCCCGTGACTTGTCATCTTCTTAATTACAACTTGTCATCGTTCCTGTAATGGCCCCCCAAAAAAAGAAAGTTTATGTCCGGACTGCGACCCGGATTGTGACCCTCGTGTGATATTTCCACGAGACAGCCGATATTTTCACTTTTCCTCGACTATATTTCTTTTGATCTAATCACAAAACTTGTTGCTTTCCTATAAACATTATAAAAAAAAATTTAACTTAATATTCGATTTTATATAATTTGAAAAAACATGCATGTTATTAATCGAATCAAATGTCAAATTACCATTACCCCTAAATTTTTTTAACGCTTCTGTAACAAATTGAAATCTACAAAATCACTATTTTTTTTTTCCGATATGATGAAATATTATATAAAAAAGTGGTGCTTTTTTTTTTTTGGTTAAATTGACACCTTGGACCCGACATCAATTCCTCCACAAAGCCGCCGGCGGGGGGAATAGCGCGATGGAGGGCGACGGGGAGCTGACGTGGCGGTCAACCGTTGGTCGGGGACCACATTGTGCGGGCCCCCGTCGGTTGCTCCGCGTACAAACCGCGTGAAAGCGCCAGTGATCCCATTGGTTGGTCGGATAAGGAGGCGAGAGAATAAACCGATTTTATTATGACCCCCAAAAAAAAAGAAGAATAAAACGATTTTATTTAATTTTGAAGGAAAAAAGCGAGAATTATTACTGTCCCCCCTTCAATTTTAATTCCTCTTTTTTTTAAATTCGGAAAAATTGAAAAAAAAAGGAAAAAGCCACACAAAAAAAATACAAATGATACCCACTGCAACGCATTCACCCCGATCTTTTTTTTTTCGTGATATTGCTTACTGTACCACATTTATCTTGAACTTTTTTTTGTGACATAAAAAATCCAAAACTTGCACTTATGCGATATATTTACCATTCGCCAAAATTCCGTTAGATGATTTTTCAGTAAAGACAAAGTCGTTTTTATTTCACTTAAGTTAGGTGAGCACTATGCTATGCCAACCCTATTTGCTTTGTGGCGTTCTTTTAGGTAGATTTTTAATGGGACGCGATATAAATTTGAGATTTTTGATGTCACAGAAAAAAGTTTAGAGTAAATATTTCGGGGTATGCAAAATTTATGATTTTTGGTGACTTTTTAAAAAAATAAAAAAATAAAAAGAAAAGGAAAAGGAAAAAGTAAAGTAAAGTAAAGTTCGTGACGAATCGTCCACTCCGCGTAGAGTAAAATCGGCTCATTATGGTTTTGGGGAAGGGGGTGATCGAGTACATCGCGGCATAGCGTTGATGCCTTGCCACGTGCCCCGAAGTCGCTTTCGAAGGCCTTTTTCTTTCGGGGAGGTAGAGCTCTATTTACCATTTCAACCCTTGCCCGGAAATATTTCTGAAGTTTTGATTTTACGGGAATGGAATTCTTTTGTTTTGTTTTTTTTTCCCTCTTTCTGTATCATAATCAAAATGAGGAAAAAGGCGCATTTGTTACAAGAAAAATTCCCATTTTTCCATGAAAAGCACAAGCATTATTTAAGTCCAAAAAGATTAGGAAAGAATTTGCGCTTTGTAAAGGTTTCATGTGTCTCGAATTTTAAAAAGAAAAAGAAAAAGATCGAGGTGCCCAAGTCGCAAGATCCATATTATTAAGTTCCAAAATAAATAGGTAAAATCAATCCGAACTCGCTTTTAATAATCAAATCTCACTTTATTCACTCTCTCTCTCTCTCTCTCCTCTAGTCGTAATCGGCTTATATTCAAGTCTAACACGCACTCATCAATTACTTAAGATCCCTCTACATGATTTTCCCTTGAAAATGTGAAGATAAAACTCTAGCAAGTCACTATGAGTCAGATATTGGCAAGAGAATAGCTTAACTCGGATTGACCCTGAAAAGCGATTTCAGACAAGAACCGGTAGTAGTCATGCACAAGATTTCAATCGTTTTACTAATCCAAGCAAGCTATTAAAGTTAACCATAGCCCACATTTCACCGAGAAAAGAAAAGTAAAAAAAGACGAAATCGGTAGTCCTATAAGACCCTCTTCTCGGACTGAACTCTCGGCGTTTTCATTCCAAAATAAAATCGTTCGCATTCCACGTCACGATATCCGCCACTCGGATAATGAAGAGATCGCAATTAATTCACCCGAGATATAATTACCGAGCGTAAATAAAAATTAGAATTTTAAATAAGAGAAATGAATTTGAAAAGTCCATAGAGAGCAAGAAATCTAAAAATATCGCAACGGTGGGAGGGGGGGTGTCGCGTCAAAAAACGAAATAAAGGGGGGATGATGAAGGGCAAAAGGGTAAAAAGGGCGCGGGGGGGCGACGGGGAACGGACGGTGGCGATGAGAAATCGAGTCCGGTCTCGGAGCGCGTGGATCGATTCCCCTCCCCCCGGTATAAAAACCCCGTCGTCTTCTTCGTAAGATTCACGAAAGCTCTCCCCCCCCCCTCTCTCTCTCTAGCGCTCTCTTTCTCTCTCCTCTGTTTCGCGATCTCCGTTCGCCGTTCGCATTTCGGGAGGAGGAGGAGGGAGGAGGAGGAGGAGCAGGAAGGTTTTGAGATGGCGGATCAGCTCACCGACGACCAGATCTCCGAGTTCAAGGAGGCCTTCAGCTTGTTCGACAAGGACGGCGATGGTTCGCTTCCCTTCCTTCCCCCCTCCCTCCCTTCCCTCTCCCCACCTCTCTCTCTCTATCTCGCGCGTGGTTTCTCTCGCTCTCCATGATCTGTATGTATGCTTCTGTTTGTGTCCGCATGGGTAGGGGGCCGCGCGTCCGCCAGCGACGGCGATGTCCGCCGCCGCTCGCTCGCGCCGCCTGTAGGTTTCGAGTGTTGGATCTGGTCCTCGCCGGTCGCTCGCTCCCTCCGGCTTTTGACTCGGTAGGCCTTTTGAGTTTTTGCGATTCTCTTCTGAGTGCGGTGGAGATGGCGTGTGTTCTCGCGGTAGGGCGCGCGAGGAGCCTTGGCTTTCTTTCTCTCTCTTTTCGCGCTTCTTCCTCCTCGGGGGTGGGGCGGATGGTGGGGGTGGTGGTGGTGGTGTTTCGAGTTCGTAGGGAATTTTAGCTTCTCGTCGCGGTCGGTTTTCTTGCGGCTTCGCGTGGAGAAGAATCCGATCGGTCGTTTACGGCGACGTGTTTGCCTCGGGTCAAATTTCGAGCTAGATCGAATCTGCCGCTTCTGTGCTTTTTTTGATTTTCCCTCCTGATTGACCGATTGGAACTTGCGAGCAAACTTGTGCTGAGGAAATGTTGGTGTTCCTCGTATAAATCTTGTCGCATTTTCAAATGTTTTGATCGATCGGGAAATCCGTGGGAAGAAGAGAGGAACATCAATCGAATTTGTTAATTTTGAGTGGTGGAGGTTTTGGGATAGTAGATGCATGTAACTTGATGAATGACATTTGGGAATTGTGCTTTTTTTTTTTTAGGGGTTACGCAGGAGCAATCCTACATTATTTGACTTTTGTTTTCCTACATTTTCTCATTGAATCACCACAGTCTCTGATGGCAATCCATTTTTTTTTTTTGTCTTGATTTCCATGGAACATTTGTAGGTTATTCGTTTAGCATTGTAATTGCGATAGATGCCCAACCACCTATGATGCGCCAAATATTGTCTACTGTGTTCAAATTCTTACAGCATAGTGTTACCGATCCAGTGCAATCCATACTTTTCCAGTACATCCATCTCCTGTCCCATGATTTGCTTTTGCCCATTAAGTTGCCACTTTTTTTTTTCGGTTCTCTGATCACTGATGAATACAATTTTTCGTGTGCTTGTTCAGTCTCTTTGATAATATCAATTTTTATGCAGTGGATGTGTTAATGGTCACCATGTTGAGATCACATCCACAACCACACACTGCATGAAGTTTCGATAGCAGAGAGTTATCTCAATTTTTCTGAGGATACAGCGTTTATTCTTTTGCATGTAGCTCTAGGGCTTCCCCACCACTTGTGGTCATAGTCGTTAATAGTATGTTAATATGTGGACAGATTATAAGTACGGTCCAAAATAAAGATTGGTCAGGGCAGGGGATGGTCAATTACACGGGCAGGAAATGGCTTCCCTACTCTTAACTCTACACAAACTAAGCAGTGTGCAGTCTACGATAAATAATATGCCCCTTTCAATCGACTGACATTAATTTTATACTGCTCAAATTCAAGTTGCTCGATATAATATAGTTACTTAAAACAATTTTGAGGTTTTGCCTACATCAAGTTGGTTTCTCCTGGGCTAAGCAAGTTCTTTGTTGTCCTGTGTTTGGAGCAATAGACAACTTAGTTACTTAATATAAACTTATTTGTATCCTGATTTTAGAAGAATTTCGTGATGAATTATGAAAAATTGCGTTGTTGTCATCGTCCATGGTGTCCATATAATTTAAATTTTGAATTGCAATTTACTGCATCATGATCGCGTCTTTCTTTTTTCCCCTTGATAGAAATCACCATGATCTTAGTTAGACATCATTCATTGAAGACGCATTTGTTGAGTTTTTGTTCCCCCTTTTTGGGCCAAAAAATGCAACGGTTTCTTCTATGGATTGAGGTGACTTGTCTCTCTGCTCACTGAAAGCAATTTGATTTCCATCTTAACAGGTTGCATTACTACCAAGGAACTTGGAACCGTGATGAGGTCGCTGGGTCAGAACCCAACTGAGGCTGAGCTCCAGGACATGATCAACGAAGTCGATGCTGATGGCAACGGGACCATCGACTTCCCTGAGTTCCTAAACCTCATGGCCAGGAAGATGAAAGACACCGACTCTGAGGAGGAGCTGAAAGAGGCTTTCAGAGTCTTCGACAAGGACCAGAACGGGTTCATCTCGGCTGCGGAGCTGCGCCACGTGATGACTAACCTAGGGGAGAAGCTCACCGACGAAGAAGTGGATGAGATGATCAGGGAGGCCGATGTGGACGGCGACGGACAAATAAACTACGAGGAATTCGTGAAGGTGATGATGGCTAAGTAACGACTCTGATCCTTGAGAAATGGCAATATAATGGGAAGTCCTACTAAGTTTCTTTCTTCCTTTCCCATTCTTATTTGATGTTACTGTTAAACGTGCCTTTGAAGAAGTAGGGGGTCCGGTCTTGCAGGGTTAAATCCCATCTCTCTTTTTTTCTCTCTCTTGGTTTTGCGTCTTGTAATCTCAAGTACTTTTGGCAGGTCGTGACTTTTGTATTATTCGTATCTTAACTACCTTAAAATGACTTTTGTATACGACTCTTGTTTGCTCGCTATGGTTTTGCCTCTAGAAATACGTCCAAAACAAAAAAACTGGCAGAGACTAATTGCAGCGCGGTAATCCACAAACAGCACGAACACAATGCACATGGTCACCCCATTGTCCAAGCGGTCATCAACAAAAAGCCGGCAGTTTCTTAGCGACAAACCATTCCAGTAGCCGACACTGGAGTATATAGGACTCCACAGACCTCTTACGCATCCACCCACCCGAACTGGTCGAATCTCCTCAGATGACTTTAGGAGCAAGATCAAACCATATCCGGAGATGCAAGAACGTGTTCAGTTCAGTACCCCCCTCTACCAATGCAAAATGCTCCGGAGGAAGAAAAAAAACCAAGAGTAAGGTTAGAAAGAAGCTAACACACAGCAGGATATGAGAATATCCATGAAAGCACAAATTTATTGCGCAAATGTAAACAGAGAGAGATCAGCTCAATTGATCCACTCTCACCAAAGGAAGAAGTCGTACATAAGCCAAGGGGTGAACCAGGAATACAGAATGAAAAGTACAAATGTTACAATCTTTTCAAGCTTTTCTTCCTCGCATCCATCTTCTTTTTGTCAGGCTGGACTTTCGCCGGCCCAAGTTCCTTCTTTTGAGTCGCAGTGCTGCTAACTACCGCAGACCCGCTAACTCCAGTCTCGGCTAATGGAGTCACACACGTTGTCGTTGGATGCTCCTGGCCATTCACTCCCTTGAGTGCTGCTGTATTTGAAGGCAAAGGCACCGCCGCAGCTGTCGCTTGATTCTTCTGGTCAACCTTAAGAAGAGAAGCATTACTCTGGTCGATATTAAGTACCGTGGTCGACTCAGAAATGGCTCCTGACTTGAACTTGGGTTTTGGCTTGAGGGCATGTATTCCCGTGTAGAGTCTGTGAGTAATAAGCACAATCACACATGTACGAGAAAAACACATCAGTACTACTGATGCGAAATTACGATATGTCAGATGGGATTCAAAGAATTCGCGATACAGGGCTCTGTTACTACAATGAAAAAGGAAACTTATTGACAATGACTAAATTCATTGTGAGGGGCAACTCATAAGGAGAACAGAAAAGTTACTTCAGTAGAAAATGGACCAGTCAAATCATTATCAGTATTTTGGCCCTTCTGCCTTGTCTACATGGATCGGCAGTATAACCTTCCTGAAAAGGACGATGACTAAGGTCCCACGAAATGGCTGTTTCTTTACGGGGCAGTCAACACTAGGATATAATTTGTCTCAATAACACTCCAGCAAAGAAATTCAGTGACGATGATTTAATTCATCATAGAGGGCGACTTGTACGGATAACAGAAAAGTTACTTAAGTAGAAAATGGATCAGTCAAATCATTATCACTATTTTGGCCCTTCTGCCATGTCTACATGGATTGGCAGTATAACTTCCTGAAAAGGAAGATGACTAAGGTCCCACGACATGGCTGTTTCTTTATGGCCCATTCAACACTAGGATATAATTTGTCTCAATAATACTCCGGCATCTCATGTGTAAAGGTTCCTGGTCCCATAGATAAATATAAACATGAAGCAGATTATAATTTAGTCTTACCTGGCATGTCTGGCATACTCTTCATAATTTTCAAGCAGCATCTTGCCAGCCTGTTCATTCAGAGCTGACTCGGGAAATGGTTCAATGAGTAAGCACCTAACGACCTGAATTTCAAAGAAGGATGTCAATGGAAAGATATTAATTGAAACTAAAGAAGAACCTTACACAATAAAAAATTAGTTTTCTCAGCAGCATCTACAAAAAAATGGATATATTAAATTCCTGTGGGAGAAAAACTCACAATAAGAACATGACGTAGTCCCAAACTAGGATTCCAGTCCTTCTTCAATGTGTTGACACAAATTTCGCCGTTGGTAGCAATATTTGGGTGGAAAATCTTGGTAAGAAAATAACCTACATAATCCGCGATGGTGTATATTTGAGTCCATCAAATGAAAAAGACTTGCATAGAAAGCTAATAATGCATGAATTGGTCGATCGTACATGCTGTGAAACCGAGATTTTTAATATACAAATGAGTTAAAACCATATAAAAAAGTCACAGACAACATTAACAGAGAAAGGGAATACTTTCAACCATGAACCATTTCTTATGGCAAAACCATTGAACCAAAAGGGAGTTAAAAACAGTGCTATAAGTTCTCTTGCCGTGTAGTAATATGCATGGGCAGACCTTTGGGAGGAGAATGTGGAAAGTCATAAGACAATAACAACTTCATCCGGAAAACACCATTCTCGTATGGAGTCCCAGCTGAAAGACCAAAAGAAATAATTTTATCAACTATGGCCATATATTATTTGCAATGAATGGTTTAAGCAGTCAAAAGAAAGAGAGTAACCTGGGCCTTCAATATCAGCAAATATGGTGGAAAAATCATCATCATTCACACCAACATTTATGCCCTCCGGAGGGGATTCATCAAGATTCTTCAGTTCCTTTGCGAGTTGCTTTATAACATTTGGAGGAAGATTTTCATTTGTAGCCTAAGAAAGAGGAAAATTTTGATCCATCAGAACACAAAAAAGCACATGTTTTAGCCAAACTTAAGGAATGAAAACCATCAGGAGCAAAACTTTTAACAAGGGAGTGTCAGGAAATAGCAGCTCGCACCGACTGTAAAAGCCGCAACTACTCTATTCTATTCTCCGTAATTATTATTTTGAAAGTGCATTTTTAAGTATACTTATGGTAGACTCATATAGGCAATCACGAAACAATATGAAGACAGATATTATCAACTCCACATTCTTTACCCAGACCTTGAGATGCCGAACCAACAAACTTTTTGATTGATATCAAGGCAATTACTGCAGCTGAGACTCATTCTAGCAAAGAAATTACCAAGAAAGCTATGCACACCACACAATTTTAGATTGAAAAACAAGAGAAATTGAAGAGGAGGAAAAGGAGGCAAATTACCATAGCCACACTACCCCCGATAAGAATTTGTGACAACTATTAGTTGGATAAGAGCTTGGAGTGGTGATGAAACCCAGGCTTTTCAAGTTGCTATGCTAACAATTGGCTACTGGCCTAATGTGGTGAAGACCAGACCTGCAGAACAATAACCAGTTACAGAAAGAACTGAACAGCAACTTAAAGGCTTAACTGATAGACTCTAGTTCGAGGAAGACCAATGAAGGATTAGCTGGAATTGTGAATAAAGATGAACTTGTCAACCATTAGGAATTGCAATGCAAACCACCAAAAGTCATAACAAACAGCACCTAAAAAGCACGCCAATTGCTATAACCGAAAAATAGGACAAAAACACACATGTTCCACTTCAGAATCCACGAGTCTAACTGGGAAATGAAAACCAACAACGTCGAAGCACTAGATTTTAACCATGGCCAATAATGGATCATAGAAGAACATTAAGAGTCTTGTAGGACAATCTATCATGGAACAGAATTAATAAAGTCTCACATGATTACTCTTCATGCAATTGTCTATATTTCCATAAAAAAGTGGCTGCTGTATCCTCATTCCACATATAACAACAAGTTTTATGCACAAAATAATTTTTTTTGATAAATTGATTTGAAGAGTTCCATGTGTTGGTCTCGCTTATGTTCTCTTTGAGAGAAATGGGGAGACTTCATTTGCACAAACTTTCGCCGTCATAGCAACCGCACTGCTTCACCTAAATGAATAAGGTGCTAATTCTATTCTATGGATGAGAATGGCTTGACAAATCAGTGAGTGGTCCCATTAGCCCAAATACTTGACTTCTCTTTCCTGCCTTGCCCACCTGCATCTACTCACCTAGTTCTTTTTTTCGCCCTAAACAGTCAAAAGCAAAGGTGATCCTCCATAATGTTCATCTCGCAACTATCAAAGACATAAGGATAAAACACGCCCAGAAATAAGAATCTAAAGTAAAACCCAATACACGCACGCAATATGGAAAATCACATATCCCCAACAATCAAACCAATCTCAGAAAGTACAAAAAAGAAAAAAAGAGAAAGAAAACACAATGAACAAGCCCTCTTGGCAATTTACATTGCAGAATTTGCCGAAGAGAATCAGAAGGAGTAGATCAAATGCTATGAATAATAATCGCAATGAGATAAACGGGCAAGCATGTTAAGTTCCCAAAAAAGAAAAAAATTTGACCCGTCTCAAAGTAGGAGAAAACCCTAAGCCAACTAAAAGTCACCATTAAATCGCAGAAAGGAGGAACCAGAAGAAAGAAAAGAACCCAGGAAAGTAAAATTCCCAATTGGAAACCCTAGAGACGGAAGACACTCCAAGCATTCCCCAGTTGACTGAGGAAGCAATCAAAATGCAATCTTTTCTTCCATTTTCTCTCCTCGTCACGCTTCACACGCCCCACTACTCGTGTGAACGGGAGGAACCCGAAACGGAAAAGAGATCAAGGACGTCGAGAAGAAACGGGCGAATCGATCAGCCAAAAAAAAAACCCACATTTCCACGCCGAACGAACTCGCGCTCAGTCCATCCGAACGATCGCCACCCACGACACGATTCACGAGGGGAAAACGCACGCGAGCTCGCGGCAAAGGAGGAAAACCCAGAAGAATGCCGCACGCATAGGGGTGGGGGGGGAAGCAGAATCACCTGGCCAGGAGCAAATCAGAAGGAGCGAGGGAGCGCCGAGAGAGAATGCGAGGCGGAGTGAGAAAGCAAGCAAGCAATCTCTCTCTCTCTCTCTCTCTCTCTCTATAATTCGTTTTCTTTTTAAAAAACAACACTATTCTTCTTGATTTATGTTTCCTTTTTCTTTTTTTCTTTTTGAAATAATGTTCCGTTGTGCGACGGATCGGCACAAGGACAAAAAACATTAACGTAAAAGAAAAATGTCAGAACACCACGCGACAGAATGGCCAAATTCCCCCCCAAAAAAAAAGAAGTAAAAAAAGTATTAATTTTACCCTATGTGATAATTTTGGCCTAAATATTACTAGCTATCACTTAAACCCAAATATG